CTCACTGGCAAGAGGTTGTTTTGCTGTCAGCAAATAGCTGCCAGTGCCAGGTGAACATATGGAGAGCATCAGAGCACGCTGCTCACGATGTTTGATGAAGTCAATGTTTGTGTTCTGTCAGCAGTATATTCTTCTTGGCCCCTGTCCCATGGGGCTCCTTCAGACACATATGGAGGTAATCTGTTCAAATTCTTCTGCAGAGAAAGAAGTAAAAGAGGGGAAAATGGCCTTGGGATTTTGGGGGTTGAAAATCAGTCTGACAGGCTGGGTCTGGGTGAGGGTTTATGTCTTTGGAGGTACCGGGAACTGGGTTTTCTGTGAGAAATGGGTTTCAAAGAGGGTTAAATAACACCTGGTGGAGCTTGCGTCTTAATTTGAACCCCTGGTTAATGTTGTTTCCAACAAGTGACACACTGCCTTTGTGGAATAACCAAATCCAAAGGAGATCTTCCTTGGACGGTATAACTGTGTTAATCAAAAGCCCTGCTAAGCCTTTTGTATTTAACAAGACAAAATCTAATTTACAAACAGCGATTAGCTTAAGCTACAGTCTCCCTTTGTTTCTTAAACAAGACATTATCTCTGCTAGCTTTGAATGGCTGAAATATAACAAAACTATAGGGAAACTTGTAAAAAAACAATGATAAAAGTTTGTAAACAGTGGAGAGGACCATCTTCTGGAGAGCACGACTGATAAATTGCTTAGAAATTACCTTTTAGCTTTTTCTAAAGTATGGAGTATTTTTTATCCCCTAGGTTTCTTGAATACTTGGAAGCCTCAAAGTTTTTGGCATATATGGCTAGTTTATTGCTGGATACAGTATGACAGTAGCCATTAACAGGATCTACAGCCTTGGCTGGGGCAGGAGGCTATGCTACAGCTCAGACACAACATATGGCTAGCATTTTGGGCCTACAATAATGAGAAGTTTAACAGACTGTTTATTCTGGTGTGGACATGAGGTTGATGACAGTTCTTGTTTAGTAAGTTAACAAAGCATGTTTATCTTAATATTTCAAAGGGATCATCCTCTGCCATCAGTTTGTTCATACTGTCATCAGATTATACTTTCCATTCAAGAGGAACCTGTGAAGTAAGACTGGCCAAAGGAAAGGCTTCAAGAGCAGCCAACTCATAAGGTTTAGCCTCCTGGCAGTGAACAATGGTCGAATTGCACAGAGATCTGGCCAGAAATGAGTTGTCTTGGCACTCCTGTACTTTTGGTTATCCTAATTTCCTCGGGGTCCCAAAATCACTCAATATTTGAAAATTCCAGTGAGTGGCTTTTTGGATGCAGCATCTTGAAACAGTCCATTATGGAAAGTCAACCTGACCTTCTCTACAGTAATATTGGCACCAGGAAAATGTCACAACACTTCTCTTTGGAGTGATGCTTCAAGGGCTGTGAAAGACAAGAACAAATTTCAAAGTGGTAATTGTTTCCTTGAGTTTGGGAAAATGTTTGTGACAAATCAGTAGACTGGCTAACATCATCATCCATGGGCCTGGTTGCCAGCAAGAAACAAAGACCATTCTGCATCCATAAAGGAGGGAAGGTTTGGATGGCCAGCTTCAACTATGTGGTCATACATGACAAACATTCAAAAGGTTGGTCCACTGGAAGGATAGTTGTAATGTTGATACCAAGATGGAAAACATGCCAGGATAAAGTTAAACTATGAACAAAATGCGGGACCATCACAACCCAAACCACAATCATACTTTACCCAATGTATACATTAGACTGTTTCTGGCTCTGAGGCCCGGTCAGTGCAGCCCTGTCTCCGTATCAGCTGTAAGTAAGGTTGTGATGGCAGAGAGTTGGCCTCCCTCACAGTGTTTACATTTTCCAGACACAGGGGAGGATGAAGGGAAAAAAAGACAGAAACACAGAGAGAGAGAATTAGTTACAGCTGCAGCACTCAAACTCAAAGTCATCCAAGAAAAAGGGCTTCTGGGCACGGACACAACATATTATGGCTAACATTATGGTTCTGAGTAGATTTTTATGAGGGGCGTTTGCGTGTATTGTGTGCGGATGAGTGAGGGGGCAGATAAAGGAGACTTACATAACATTTTTCAGGCCTGCTGTCTTCGCCTTGCTTTTGTTTCAGTGTGCTCGAACAGATCTTGTACAAGCAATGACTATTCTTGTTAACAACTAGTGCAGATGGATTTCAAGATGTGGCACATTTCTGTATATGTGTTTCAGACTGATAAAGTCTGACCGTGTGTCATGAGCCAAGTTAAGAAAAACTCTCCAAAAGTACGAGAGCTTGGCATGGCTGAAAAGCTCAGGTCTCCTGGGGAGCCAGTCATCACCATGTTGTTCTGTGAATAAGAAAAACATGCCCAGTGGAGCTGTAATGAGGTCACTTATCAGGCAAGGCATTTGGAGGGTGTGCCGCTTCCTCTCTGCATCCCTCCATCTGTCAGGGAGAGGACAAATGACCTCAGCAAAGACTGCCAATACTGTCATGTGGCGTCAGTCTGTATGACATGCTTCACTTTGACAGACAGAGAAGACAGGCCAAACTTTCTCAAGAACAGTCTGTCCAGGAGAACATCCAGCTCTTAAAATGTAAAAGACAACTAAAAAACAGCTAAATCAGCCTTTATATGTGGTGGGAAAATTCACTCGTTTAGTCATTCAAGTGTTTACAGTTACTACTGACTACAATCTTGGTACAAGAGGGGAAGTTGGATTAATTGTGTGTGTTTGTTGGGGGTTACAAGAAATAGAAGCAGCAGTCAGTTAATAGGAACCTCAACATGTCCACAGAGTTCATGAGAAGTCTTTGTAAATCACACAGGGTAATTACTTCACAAGTAGTAGGGGTTTAACCATGGTGGGAAAACACAACAACATTTTTCCTCCAAACCACATGAAAAGGATTCCAATATTAGAACGCTAAGCGCGGCTGATCAAGAAAGCCTCTTTGAAACCCTGAAAGCAAAATGGCTCCAGCTGAAGATGTGAAAAAAGCAGAACTGTGCCATGTGTTGGTCTGGTGATTACTAAAAATATACTCAGCATGCTGCCTCTATCACATTCAATTACGGCTGAAGATATCTCTGAGAAAATCTGGCACCACTGATGGTCTAATGGTGTGGGTCAAGATCAGTTCACCAAGATTAAAACTGTGTCAAGCAAAGGATTTGGGCGTTTGTTGGTTAGGCAACATTCATGGAAAAAAGTGCACTGCCATATGGTTGCAGAAATTTTATACCTAAATTTGATTACTTTGATCAAATTTGCTCCATTAAGTATAGCAGGAAGACTTTTTAAAAGAGCACTTTAAATGAGCTGCAATAAGTTAGACAGTTGGCATTAAGGTGTAGTTGTTATTACTTAAAAAATGAAAGCATATTTTATTTTGTATTCATACCTTGGATAAAACCATAAAAGAGTAGTCATAATACAAGACAATAGATGTGTAACTGGGACACACTTGTAATCACAAATTCCTCAGGGTGGCCATCAAGAAATATTTTTTGAGACCATTAATGCAGGAAAAAGAAATATCTGCAAATGTTGAGTTAATGGTGAAATATAATTCAACATTGATGCAATATTTTGAATAGTTCAGAGATGTAACACAAAAAGAACAAGGTGGTGTGTGAGGAAAGCTTATCAGTTTCTAAAGTCATGAGGCCAATCATGTCACAGTTTTATGCCAAACCAGTATTTGTTAAGATTTTTTAGAGTGGACCATAAGGTTGAGTTGATGTCAAATTCCCTAGAGCCATGAGGATTGTCCCACCAAAAAAAATAACATAAAAATCTGGAGCACCCAGATTGTTGGGTGTTGTCTTGTATCCAGTCAAGAATCTGTGATTTAGGTGTGGTAACCACATGGAAACTGCCTCAAAACACTGAGTCTTATGCTGGATGGCGGAGAGGAGATAAGGTTGTGGTTTTACTGATTAAAATATGAATTAGATATATGTTGAAGTTTATCACCAGGCAACCATGAATATGATTCCAAACATTTGTGAAGCTTATCAGGAATTATTTCAACAGATACATCCAGTCTTTGGCTTCCTGGTGACACCTGATACATACTGTCTATCAGAGGTCAATTAAGAAATCAAGGTTCATCCCTTGGGGAAGGTTCATCCCCTGGGGATCATGTTGGATATGTGTAAACTCTTGTACTAGTTCTGTTTCGGACTGACATAGGAGAAAATCGTAAAATTGTCTTAATAATGCAAATAGTAATAGAGAAAAAAATTGTAAGAAAGAGAAAGAAATCACAAAGTCACGAAGGTTTAGGTCAAGTGACATTGAATTTCTTGGAGCTGTGTTGATGGCTTAGCTAAAAAACAAAAGTGTAAAGGATACCACACACGTAGGGGGTTAGACTGCTGCTTTAATTCACTGAAATTAAAATGTATTTGTCCTCTTAAAACAATACAGCTGCAACACAAAAGAAACACTCGTGTAGTGACCGTATAAACAAACGCATTTTGCAGATTATCAAATTAATCAACTCTAATCAGCTGGGCAATGTGCCTGACCTTAAGTGATATCAACAAGCTTAGGACACCATGTGAACACACTGACCTAAAACTTAGCTCGTGCTCCACTGGCATAGACCCTTTCTTTGGGATATTCTGGACAACCTTCTCATAGTCCAGATATAAATGCACGTGCTTTATTCAGGCTTCAGCTGGAGACTAAGTGGTCTATAAGGATAACACAAGGAGTTTCAGGCTAATTATACGGCTTTTAAGCATTCTCATATGTGCAGCCCTTGCATACTTTCTGTGTGGAGTCTATATTATTCCAGAGTGCCATTGGGGAGAGGGTTAAAGCCTGGAATGTACACTATTTCCCCACAGGAAGTCGAGCATGGAAGTCTACCCTCGCCCCACGCCCAGGTCTCCCCATCACACGCAAAGTTGGCCAACCACTGAAAATAATCACAATTCTGAGAATGTCATTCATGTGTGAATAGGAAAGAAAAGGAAGAATGAAAGAAACATCACAACATACTCTGTGCTTGATCTTTTGTGCTTTATTAAAGACATTTTATCTTTGATACGTCTTGCAGTTTCATTGTACAAAATTTCACATGACATTACAAAAATATTGAAAAGCATTTTTTAATAAAAATGTACTGAAGCTATCTGCTGTGAGAGCTTTGTTTTTGCATAAAACTTCTTATTCACAAGTTGTCAACTGTACTGGAGGACATTGCCAAGTTTTGCCTCTTTAAAGCAGCATGTTTTACATTTACACAGGTCTCAACACAAGTCATAGTGGGAGTTTCTTTAAAAGATATATCTTTTAAAAGATATATATATATATTCGTATAATGTTTATATACAATGATAGAGAATTGTACTACATATGGCAGCATGAAGAACCTTCCAATGCTGTGTAGAGTACATTTTCAGTTTCAAGGCATGAATATAGAAAAACACTTTTTCCTAAACAGGAGTCAGATCAGAGTCTCTGCCACTTTTTACTGAGCTGGGATGAAGCTTGAAGTCAGTGGTTAAAAGTTTCTCCATTTTTTGCTCAAAGTTTTACCAGGTGAACATATCAGTATCATTATTATTATTATAAAATCCAAAGGGATAATTTTGGTCTGAAACAAAGTAGAGCCTCACGTCTAGCCTGGATGTATTTCTTTATGGGACTTGAGATGATATTGAACAGGTACAATTTGCCAAAATGTTGAGTTATTAAAGCTCCTGTGGGGAGTTTTTTAACACTTATGAAACAGACTGAAATGAATATTTATGGCTTTTTTAAAAAATTCATAAAAGCAGACGAGTCCATCAATGACATGATTAGTCGTCGTTATAATATATAGTATTTAATGCCTGAAACTGGTGGTGGGGGGTAGGTGTCAGCTGAGCAGTTTCAGGAAACACCCCTTATTACATTTAAATCATTATTTACAACTAATGATACCAAAGCAAAGACTGCTTTGTCCACAGGGGGCATCAACTTTGAGCCAAATCAAAAGTTCCCCACAGGAGCTTTAATATTATATTTGGCAAAACTGTGCTTTACCGTAAATCTCTGGAGTTCCCTGCCTTTATGTTGAACTCACATTATACATATGCCTATGTAGCATAGTTTATCACATAATTTTTTTGAAAAACGTGAGTTATTTCTCAGATCTATTACAGTAAAGGAAGTGTATTGTCTATGATACTTTGTTTCCACAGTGTTTCTATCTCTAGTAACATGTCTGTAGGAGCAGGTGCCTGTTTTCTAGCTGAAGAGAGGCACACTTGTAGGCTATAAACACTGAAATATATAGACATGACATTAATACACACTGGCACGCTCACAGAAAAGCCTCACCCAAACATACAGACATACACAGGAGTAACACACATACACTCACGCACACTCTGACCTAACACCCGTGAGCACCCGTCTGGTACATGTAACAGACAGTCATTTCATTAAATGGCTCAGTGGGGGCTCGTCCTTGCCAGCAGAAAGAGGCCCACATCCAACACATACACTCTCGCCGTACTTTCCACCTACTGTAACTTATGTGCGCCTTCTAAGGAACACTATATTATGGACATAATAAAAGCATATAAAGTCTTACAAAGCTTATCAAAGCTTCACTTCAGGTCATTCAAGTGGTGACAAACAGTACTGAGTTTAGCTAAAATAGTGCTACAAATCACACATACTGTACAACTCTTATGCTTGTAATAAAACCAAATAAAAACAACATCCTTCATGACATCAAAGAATCTGTTTTTTTCGTCGTAGATTATGTCCCACGCTGGATGCAGCTGAGGGGGAAAGGCACAAAAGCCACACACAGCCTTGTTGACAGCTGCCGTTTCTCAGTTTTGTTTGATTTCATAATTTTGTCCACAGAAAGGTCTTGATGGAGGAGAATCTCCAGTGATCTTCATAGCAGAAGAGGAACAAGTATCTCGGGTCCCCTCTGTCTCTTTTTCCACATTAAAATGTCCAATGGGACACGGGGAAAAGATGAAAAATTCCATAAAGAGGGCAAAGCCTACTCGCCTGTTTTCCATCCCCTCTTCTCGTCCTCTGAGATGATCAAGACTCCCTATTTGTCTGCATTATCCATACTCTTAGAGTTTCTCTTATCCAGTTTTGACCAGTGGCTGTAGTAGTGATTTAAATGGCACAGGTCAGGATTTTGTAGTCAGTTTGCAGTCTTCTCTATGCTATGATGAGGTGGTTGCTCCGCTCTCTGATATCTGCTGGAGGAACAAGCTCTTTTTTCACAGGGGTGGGCATGATGGTGGAGCGTCTGACTCTGGGCTTGAACAAATCAGAGACAAAGAAAACCTGTTGAAGGAACAAAAGAAAAATGAAAATTAGTCCTTGGATTGGATGCAGATTTACAACTCAGCTTAAAATCAAGACGACCTACAACAAACTGTATTTAAAGAGGGGCTGATAAAATCTGGTTTTAGCTAGAGTGCACTTCCTCCTCTACCTTTTAAGTGTACTAGCTTGAGTAAAAAAAGACAAATGTACAGCTTCTAAAAGTGTTTTATTAATGTTCCTCATTGATACTTAGAGTTTTTTTTTGTTGTTTTTAGCAACTGTGCTTTGTGTTCCTCAGAGTTTTGTGCTAATTCCTTTTGTTTTTTTCATTTACATTTTTTTAACAAAAAAGTTTGTATAAATGTAATTTACTTGTCTGCAGGTTTATACCTATTGACATTACCTGTTCAAACTCCAAATATCAAACTATTTTTTAGATAAATGTTCCCATTTCATTGCGAAAAAAATCTAAGCTTTTTTTGATTATCCTGTGTATATGGTCTGACAGTCAAACTCTGTTACCTTATTTTGCACTTTAGAGCTTGTATAAGACCGTCAAAGCCTTTTTTTCAAATGATTTGAGCTAACTAGCTGACTGGTGTTTAGCCTTGTTTTACTAACAAAAACTGCAGTTTTATACTGAGGTGACTATGCGACTTTGATTTGTCTGTGAAAGCCCTTGTAGCCAACTTTATCATAGTTTTTTAACCTGTTTGGGTCAACCTGTGAGCTTAATAATCATTGATCTAACAAATTAAATAACACTTAATTATGTTAAATTGACTCACTATGCAGTAAGCCACCAGAGCTCCCTGAACAAAACCTGCCAGGACATCAGTGGGGTGGTGCTTGTGATCAGACACTCTGGACAGGCCAGTGTAGAAAGACATCATGATGAGGGTGAACTGGGTCAGGGGGCGCAGCAGGCGGGCTCCATGCCAGGTGAAACGAGACTGCAGGTAAAACTGGACAAGACATAACAGAAATAAGATGTAGAAACTAGGTTATTATTATTTAAAAGACATATTTCTTTTCAATGCTGAAAGTTAAAATTTGTGATAAAACGTGTCTGTGTTTTAAATCATGTGGTAACTCACCACTAGGTAAAGCATGGTGTACATGGAGAATGACGCATGTCCAGAGAAGAAAGACTTCCTGTGAAGAATAGAGGACAATCAGAACTGAAAAACAGATTTCATTTTCACATCACACTCAAATGTGAATTTCTTTGCAAATTACCTGGCCTCCTGGACTTTGCTCTCTGGCCCCTGACACTGGTAATCAGTGATGTATCCCAGGGAGCAGTTAATGGTGGAGAAGTCAGGTTTGCACACATCGAGGAAGTGAGGGCGCATGCGGCCCACTGATACTTTCGCAATGTCAGTGAAGGACTGACTGATGGCACAGCCAAAAATGAACACGCCAACCTGCTTGTAAAGAGCGGAGATGTAGGGGTTCCCTACAAAAGACTTGGATCCCTCGTTCAGGTAGTAGATCCTGTAGCTTTCCCCAATGATGATCTAAAGGAACAGAAGAGATGGTAATGTCAGTGAACAGCATAGTTTTGATACAGCTCCAGTCCATGTGTCCACCCGGATTCCAAAGCACATTCATTTACATCTCCAGAGTAACGAGTGAAAATGTGTTAAAGTGAGGCTGCCAAATATTTGATTTGGAATGGGACAGCTTTTATAAATCATGATTCTTGGATGGAAAAGCTTGTTGGCTTACTAAGTGTGATGCTCATATTTCACATGTTATTTACTACACAACAGTGTTTTGCCAAATACTGGAGCATTTGCATTAAATCTAATCAACGTGTTATTATGAGGTCCTTTTTTTTTTTTTTTAATGAATTTTGACATCCTCCATCACCACTTTTTCTTGTTACTATCATAGAAGTGTGAAAGTGTGAATGCAGACTCCACTTAATGTTATTCCCTGGAGGGAAATCTACAGCATTGCCGAATTACAGAATGTAAAGGCCTGAAATTGTTCACGTACGAGCCTTCCAGCTCTTAGTGAGTATCACCGAGGGACAGCGCTAAGCTCTTGTGGACTTATTGGAAATGTGCATCAAAGTGTGTGATTCATTAGGGGGTAGGACATCTGAGGCTGGGTTAAAGACATTTCTGCCTGTAAGTTATGAATGAGATTAAAATAACGTTTTCAGACACAGAATGTAATTATGAAACTTTAAATAGAAATCCCCTTAAGTGGTTTGAGAAGTCCTACTTTATAGTTAAACGTGTTCATCTGTGCCATTCTACTTTGCAGAGAAAACACTGAGACGACGTGGGAGGCAACTCAAACTGTCCACTATGTATAGTTGTCTGTAAGAGTGTAAATAAACCACAGTCTAAAACCGACAATTGACGTGTGAGGCGCACTAAAGGGGGAGCTGGATGGCCATAATTCACAACAGCTGTTCAAGTTCAAAAAACACCTCCCCATCCCCCATGATCTCCCGTTGTCTTCTAGCAAATGAAAGTGTTAAAGAGGAGACTGAACCAGAGCGTGAGGGTGGAATGAGAAGAACTGAAGACAGATTAGTAATAAGGGAGGGTAGAAAGAAAAAAGATTAAGTTAAAAATGAGTTTTAAGATAAGAGTGTGAAGGAGGAGTGGAGGAGCAAAGGAAAGAAAGGGAAAGGTGAGAGGAGGAATGAAGACTGAGAGGGGGAGTAAGGAGGAGGGTGGAGGAGGCACCGCTGGTTCTAATCAGCAGAAACGCTGAGCTAGGCGACGTGTCTGATTTTGGTGGCCAGACTCCACCAGGCACACGTCGGGGGCACGTTTGTTTTTCAGCGCTCCGGCTGTCTCTCTGAGACAGCTCCAGTTTCACTGGGGATGTCTGGCTGTTTTCGTCTTAGTATCTCAGTTTCATCAGACATTCTTTCATGGGGCGCAGGAATAAGTCTCATTCCAAGAAACGCTCTCTGCTCGGGGATAGCCTTTAAGGAGATCTAACAAGTCGATAGAGTGTGTTGTTTCCACCATCCAGGCCTTTAGAGCCAGCTTGATAAAGCCCAGCTGCTTTCATGGGAAAGAGGGAAGTGGGTGAACACACATCTGGTTCCCCTTGTGTGAACGATTCAACTGTGTGAACCAATAAATGAATTGGCGCTGCAGAATATGTAGCTGTTACACTGAAACCTCAAGAGGTAATCATGGGGGGTGACAAAACTGATTTGTGGCTCCTGCCAAATGTCTTGTATTCTGAGAGTAGCCCCCCGGTGCTTTTATTTCTTCCACAAAGAGAACTGTGTAAATCAAAACAACACGGCCCCTTGTGTTTCTTAGATCTATCTAGAGGAAAACGAAGCATGACATGACCTAGCGCCGGTGTTTTTAGGTGCAGGAAAAACAAAGGTTGGACAGAATCGCTCTAAAGAGGGGGAGATGGCTTGTAGAGTCACGTTTTTTCAGGGGAAAGTGATATAGCTGGCAAAGTTGTCTTGTTTGGGGCCATCACCACAATTCCACCCCGCCAATTACAGTATTTGACCGAACAACCATTGCGTCAACCATAATTACACGGGGCTACAACTCTTCTCACCATGAAAACCCTTGTGGCCTGAAGCCCATATTATAGTCTGCTCTCCAAGGGGAGGGCACTATGGGCTGCATACAGAGAGAGACGATGGAGAACCCAGGCCATGAGGAAAGATATCTTTGACCATGTGGGTCTGCTGGGTGACAACTGTTGCTTTGGCAGCGCTGGACTAGAGAGTGTTATCTAGTGGGATTGCTGTTTGCCTTTAGCTCTGCAGTTTTCACTTCTATGTTAGTAAAAGTAATCTCAGGTATCTGAGACATTAATGCTCCTTAGTAGGGTTACAACATTTCTAATTATATCACCAATACTTTTTAAATTGCTTATGTGTTATGAACATGTCATGTTGTAGCTAGTTAGCTGCATAAGAGTTACTACATTTTAACAATGATGTAGCTTTCCATAACTGTTCCTGGTAACTAGCTCAAGAAAGACTCGGGTTAAATGTTCATTAAAATGTTAGTTTGAGTGAGGAAGTTGTTGATCACTTATTGGTTGCAGAGTTGTACAGCCAGCCAAAATGAGGTTGTTTTATTTAGGATGGAAGGTGTCGGAGTGTTTCTAATGTTTCACAGTGTATTTCCAGGTGGCTGCTGCACAGTCAGTATGGCTTTTGGGAGTCTGGTGTTTTGAATTCAAGGCTGCAAAACTCTAAACAGTAATGAGTGTATTGAGAATATTATTGTCAACTGGACTCTGAATTTGAAAAAAAATAGAGGTCAAGGCAGACTTCATCAAATGTTGATAGTGTTTAAATAGCTTTTAGGTAGTCACTTCATTCGTCATTAAAAGGTCCTGTGAAGAACTTACAACATGAGTCAAATATGGCACCCCTTGTGGAAAAAGTAGTATTTGTTAATATTATCCTTTACATGCTTGAGAAGAGTTTTTTTGAAAAAAATATCTCATTCATTGTGAATGAATTCTTCACCTGCTTGACTGACACCTCCCCCCCCTCGCAGCTGTTTCAGGCATTAAAAGGCAAAACTTACAAATTGCCAATCTCGTCACTGATGGGCTTGTTTACTCTTGGACATTAAATTAAGTATTAATGTAAATTTCAGTGTATTTCATAGATGTCCACAAACTCTTCAAAGGAGCTTTAAATAATAATTAAAGTTTAGCTTTTTTCCTTTTTTGTTTGTGTACTGCCTTTAAGTGTTTTGGCCCCCATAACTAGTTTGCTCCGACCCTTTTAAGACTAGTTTTTAGAGAAGGACTTTTTCAACCTCAGTTGAAAATAATACCAGGACAATCACAGCAAATAAAACAGGGTAGGATAGGTTTTGTTGTTTTCAGGACAATACTGTCATATTTAAATGAAATGAGCGTAATCATGTGTACATAAACTTCCTATGGTATTGGTACTTAGATAACCTTAAGTTTGCAGATCTTTCCAAGCTCACAACCTTCAAGCATTACCTGGCTGCTTGACAGTCTTGTCATTTCTCTGCTGATAACCATAATCTTAAAGACAGCGTTGTTATTCTGCCTTTGTTGTATAGAACTTAGTCTTATATATGCAGCAAGTATTGCAGATACACAATGAAAAATAGCAAACAAATGTTTCGAGCAGAGTTACCAGAGTTAAGTATGGACCTCTTAGCTGTGTCAAATGCAGAAAAATGAGTTTCATTTACACTGCAGATGGAAAATGGTTTATTTTGCTGGTTTCAGATCTATCCTCACTCTTTTCTCCCAAGAGATAGCAACAAACGGCTCCATGCCTGGGTGCTCTAATCACCTGAGTAATCTTGGACTCTAAAAGATAGGACTTGTTGTTGACTGTTTTTATCTAGAATGTGTTGAAGCCAACCAGAGCGCAGGTGTGGAGAGGTACTGAATCAGTAATCATGTGGGATAATCTCAGTTTATATCCGCAATGAGCCAACTGTCGGATAAAGTCCTCTGATGGAGTGTGCACAAGTGTGTTTCTCTAAATGTGAGTGCGGTGCTTAAGCGGTGTGGTTGGAGAAAAACATGAACACCTGTTGTAATTGTCATCAACCCAATAGCTTCAAAATCTCACATCATTAGCATATTATAATAAGTTGTTAAATTGTGACTGTTATCATAGTCAATGATGAAACATCTTGATTCAAGCGTCAGTTGGTGCTGCTAGTAACAGTGAAGGCTGTGGAAACAAATGAAGTGAAGATGACATTAGTGATCAGGGTGAGGTGACTTACAGACAGGATGGTGATAAGAATGCCAGCAGCGCTAAGCACACCGTCGCTTATGGTGTCTCCATTTTTGGCTGGATACTTGATGGACTCATCGTTGCAGTAAAACCCTCTACGGTAAGGCTGAACAGCGCTGGTCTCAATGACCAAGAAAGGCAGGCCGGCTTGTGTGAAGAAGCAGTGAGTGGCAATAGAAAAAGAAAGAAGAGGGAGAGAGAGAGAAAGAGAGAGAGAAAGAGAGAGAGAGAGAGAGAGAGAGAGAGAGATGGAGGTGCTGGGTTAATGATATGCAAATTACAGAGGTCGCAGGTACATGCAAGAGGCAACCAGGGAGCATCTGGGACTGGATCAATCCACTTGAGGAGGTTATCTGGGACCAATACAGAACTAATGAGTCCAGATTCCTTTAAGTGGGGTCTTGGTGCTGAATTTTCAAAGGGCCATCTTTTTGGGGGCTACGTCTACTGTTGAACACTTTTCAAAGCGAACTGCAATTATTTGTCTGAAGCTCCTCAGACTGCCAATGGTTTCCATGAGTGTTACTACACAGACATTTGACACAGATCAACTTTAAATGTAATTTTACTTAAATCTTAATTTACATGATCCCTGAAACCAAATATACAATTCAGAAAAAAAGACAAAATAATTTTAGAGGGGTTACCTGGTAGGAGTGGAATTCACCAGTGGCCCCACGATACAATATTATCACGATAGTCCATGATGCGATATTATCACAATACTTGGGCCATGATATGGTATTATACATTGAGTATTGCGATACGATATATTGCGATTTTTTTCAACTGTTTAGCTAATTTAGCATTTGTCTTTCCTTCATCTTTGTCTTATTTACACTGTATTTTATTTTCATGTAGCACATCTTGCAAATCTTACATATTTGTTGTACTAACTTTCTCCTGCTCTATGATGTCACCTCTGCCAACCTCACTCAACAAACAGTTGATTTTATTTTTCCATTATCATAGATTTGACTTCATTTTAGCAACTAATTTAAAAAATCAATAATTGGTAAATGAGACAATATGATATATCACCAGACTAAATATTGCCATACTACGCTGTATCGATTTTTTTCTCCCACCCCTATTACCTGGGCAGCAGGTAGCCAGGAGGTTGGAGTGTAAATTTGATCTAAATTTGACGCTAATTTCTCAGAAGGCAACTCCCTGCATTTTTCCCCGTAGTAGGGAACCTTGAAGAGGGGTGAGTACACCGCTGGCCTTCAACTCCACAAACACATATGCATATTTTTCTAATAATAAATTAACTGTTCATCAACTTTTATTTCTGTAGTGAAAAGTTGGAAACCAATGACTCTGTTTTAAAGTGGGTATAAATGCTAATAGTAACATGCAGTCGCTTTGGAAAATGGTTGACAGTGATGTACAGCACTCATGATTTGTTGTTAATGAGGCACAGCATCCAAAACCAGAGTCTGTTCAATCAATCATGTCTTTTGAGGTGTTAACCAGCAGATGAATGGAGTCCATCCCAACATATGCTCTCTGGTTCCCCTGCAGTACCACAACAGGACTTACTGAAACCACGGGCACAGTGACGCCCACGGCTGTGAGCATGGTGTTGGACACTGTGCTGCTCTTATAGGTCAGCTTGATGCTGTTGTCATTGCAGAAGAATCCTCTCTGGTAAGGTGGGAAGGGGGATTTGTGCAAAAACGCGGCAACAAGCAACACTGTATGGATGGGTGACACACGAGCAGATGTCAGACAGATACAGTATTTGTACCAGAACAGAGACAGCTGACATTATGAAGAGCATACAGTGACAAAGACAGTAATACAAACAGCTTCAAACCTCCTTGTAGACATAAAGTTCTATTTTACTAAACAGACGCTGATGCTATCATGAGAAAATGAGCCAAAACATACAAAACAATGTGTTATAATTACAGCCAAATTCAAAGCATTTCTCCTGTTTTTACTTGAACTGATACTTTTGTGCTTTAACTGAGCTCAAACAGGCTGACTTCGCACTAAAAGGGTTGGATGTGGCATTTTCTGAGCAGAAACCATCAATGCTAACCGATGAGAAAAAAAACTATGAGCGCCTTCCTTCCTGTCTGCAGAGGCTTTCAAGTGCACTTGAAAAAGCCCACTTTAAGATGCCTTCAGGGGGTGTCTGCGTCTGATCAATTTAGTGTCTTTTGCCACTTAAAGTAGCAAAAAGATCTTATTTATTTCCAGACAACAAACAGAGTGGGTGTTACTAAGATGCAAGCCAAAGAGGACAGCTCAGTTTCTCCCGTTTACCAAAGGCTTCAAGGAAGGGCTTTGAAATTTGAGTGTGGACATGGTACCCAGGAGAGGCCTCAAATCTTTGACAGAATTTAGGAAAAACACACTTTCAGAATCACTTCAAAGCGGCGTTTAACTGATGATGGAGCTTTCAAGTCACCCTTTGAATAAATCTCCCAACTGCTGATACAAAGCAAAACAAACACTCGCCCCTGTCTGTCTGTCTGTCTCCCTCACGCGCTCCCTTCCTCTGTCTCCAAAGCCAAAAAGCACCGGGGTGTAGAGGTCAGTGCTGAGAGGGCTGCTGAAGGAGGGACGGCTGTGGAGGGGTGGGGGACATGATTTCTCAAACCAAATGTCAACACATGCTTCAGTTGCTGATCCCCTCAACCCCCCTCTGAATCCAGACGTCCACATACACACACACACATACAGCTGACGACGGCCTTTGAAGGTCCAGCTGGATTTAGCTCGGGTTACAGGCACAGCTCTACTGCCTGATGGGAACTGCAGGACGCTAGGTTTCCCTCCACATTCAGCAGGAATCGCATTATTAACTTTCTGATTCTCATTCCTGCTCTTCAAACAAACACCAGGATGGAGCTACCATCAGATCTGAGCCACAGCTTGTCTGGCGGTGAGAGAAAGAGCATGGTGATACGTCTGAGTTGACTTTTAACAGTAAAAACATACAGGACTCTACAGTGCACTGAATCCTGAATGTCTGATCTCTTTTGTTGGCTTAGCCTGGCCATGAACACATCCGAGCAGACCTTCCCAAAACAAGGAACGCCCTGAAAAACAAAACAGTAAAATGGCTGATGTAAAAAAAAAAAAAAAACAGAGTCCTGCTGACATCCACAAACACCTTTAACACTTTCATACACCAGGTAACTGCTGCTGAAGACTGCAGCAAACTGCAGGTTATTTTCAAGCTTCATAGATAAGTCGTCTTGTACGTTTAAAATCAGTCATTAACATTGAAAAAAATAATCTTGATTTTGCAAAACCAAGAAATATATCTCCAAAATGCAGTTAAGGGCTCTTGATTAACTTAAAAGTTTTGTCTTGGATGATGCTTGAAAAAAGTTGGTGCTGAGTTAGTCAGTTGCTGAATCCCTTTTAAAGGCAGCAAGAGTTCAGTTCTGACCCTGCACAAGGGCATTTAAAACACTCAAAAACATTGAGAACATATTTTTTCTCCCAAACAAAATTAACTAAACTGATTTGTCAAATATAAAAAAAGTTATAAAATTACTAAAAAGTCAACTTTCTTTGGGTGGTCTAACCGATTAAAGGACTATTTACTACTCCTCCACACATTTAGAGTCTCCATTTTAAGACTCATAGACACAAACAAAAGAGTCCTGATGTGGCAAATACCTTTGTCAGAAAGTTAATTACCAACCAACTGACAAGTTTAAAGGTATAGAAACATTTAAAGACACTCTAAGTTGTGCCAAATTTCTTTAATATGGATAAACACAGAACATTGACTATGTTGGTAAACATTATCACATTGTTTTTTTTTTTTTTTGTGTGGCTACCACTAGCAGAGCTGACGCTACCTCTTCTGTTTCTTTATATATAAATGTCCTATTTTCTGTCAAACTGTGCCTCACTTTGAAATACTATCTGTTATCTGTGATGGGAGTAGAGTATTACAGTAGCTGTTCTCTGGAGCTACGGCCCTGGCTGGTGGAGAGCGGTCCAACAATAACAGAAATATTAATCATCTGTTTGGATGACGTGTATTTCTGGTACCAATGAGTGAGGGTGACTACATTCACCTTGACCAAAAGCGCACACCCCTTATAGTAAATGGACTGATGATTAAGTGCCCCCAGCCTCTGAAGACCTGTAAAGGGTCCAGTACCTTCAACTTTGATTGAAAGATAGGAATATTAAACCCTGTCTAAATCTCTTATCCAGACTTTGTGTGTTTTTTTCTGTTCACTCCTCTGACCCTTTCTATCTGCCACAACCCTGCAGCATCAGCACTGCTCGCTAGGATTTTCCCCTCCTACCCTCTTCCTCTTTTCCCGCTTCTAACAGCCAGGGGGTGAGGAGAAGGAGGGAGAGGAGGTGGGTTGTTCCTGCCAACAACAACTCCAGTCAGCAGGCATAGGTATGTCTTTTGCATTAGCTCACCATTAACTCAAAACAACAAAAACAAACAAAAAAGTTTTTTTTTCCCCACTAGTTTTCAGTTTCTAATGTCATCTTCAGGTGTCTTCTGTTCAGTTTTGCCCTCCAGCAGTTTTCTCAACAATCTATCTGAGAACCCAGACTGAAAACAAGCAAAGCCTCTAAATGATGACTTTCTCAGCCCTGAACTGTCTCACATCAAAATAGGAGAGAAAACTTATCATTAAGACTCGCTTGTTAGAATTTCCTACACTCTGCCCGTTTGCCTTTGCCCCAGTTCAGAGCTGGCGTTTCCATGTAGCTGCAGTTTGTGGAAACTAGAATCAAAGTATAAGCCTCACGCTGAATTAAATCCCCCACCATGTTTTGGAGGCGTTTGCCAAAACACCGAGTGTGACTATTAAAGCAAACAGACGCACATTTTCCACTTGCAGGGATCTTTCACTGTCTGGTGTAGAGCTGTATACATGTCTGAGGTGGTTGTGGTGTATACACAGATGCAGTTGTTTTTACTGGTAGCACACCCCACACAACCTGTGCGTCTGTCCTTCTGTCTGTCTGTCCGTCTGTCTCTCCCTCTTTGGCCTGCTGTGCAACTTAGTTCCACAGTTGGAGGGAGAACCGGATGTGCCTGCTTGAGTTGCACTGCTCTGAATTTCTGATAGCTAAACCTTTTCCTCAGATTTTATGCTTAATTTATTACTCGGCAAACACAAAGCGATCCTCAGTCCATGTTTCTGCTCCCTCTCTTTTGCTTCGGCCCCTCAATTAACGTAGGCACAGGGAAAAATAGCATTACAGACATAATATGAGCACTACTAACGGCATCTGTGCATTCATCCAGCCTTCAATAAATCACTTACAACATTAAAGAAGCTTTACTGAATGTAAAAACATTCTTAAAATTTTTCTGTATAACCCCTCTCTCTCTATCTCTCCACGTTTCATCCTGCCCTATCAATAAAATGGCAAAAATCGCCCAAAAAAATACTTAAAAAAAAAACTGTATCATTTGTAATCTTTTAAATTACAGATAGGAATGACTGTCTTTAGTCAATGCTGTGATAAAGCTAGACTGGGCTGGTCAATATGCTGTTATTTTTATTATAAGTGGTGTTTAAGTTGTATTTTAAGTGCATTGAGTTCATCTTTTTGTTTCCTTAAGTTTTAAAAATATCCAAAATTTTTTCCCATTTGTGTGAACTGACCCTTTAACTCTGATTGTCTCCTGTTTCACAAAATGTAGAAATGAAGGTGACTGTCAAATTGATTAACTACCTTTAACCAAATCCCAAACCAGGGTGACCGCACATGGACACACTCAGGACGATTGGCTGGCAAACACAGAAGCCACCTGCTAGGGCTTAATGGAAACTGAACCTTAGCGCCTCACAAGAGCTTCAAGCCATCAAACAAACAAAAAACAAGCAGAGAAGCACAAACAAAGAGTCGACAGCTGTTTACTTTCCCAGTATTACTTTTTAGGATCCAGTTCCCCTCAGCTCTAATTGTGTGTACTGACTAATGTTATCTTTCCTGGTACTGATAGTCCACTGGGATCACAGTAGATACAGCCTGGATGCCGTAACACGAGAACTGCAATCAGTGTGAGAGAGTGGAGGAGTGGTGTTTACAAGTACTGGCCCTCCATTTCCTCCTTGTGGTGGCTTGTGTTACACCACATCTTAGGGCACAAAAACACTGCTGGTTTGCTGACAACCTTCAATGTGGGAAGTGTTCATACAACGCAAATCATGGGAATTTACCCTCCATTGAGACAAAAAGCTAGACTAAACTAAATATAGCTTGTCAGAGAAACATTGCTTACAGTGATGTTTCATTGAATGGTTTAAACAATAGCCGGTGCTTTCCCATGCTATTGCAACACTTTTATTTTTGAGCTAAACCCAGCTTGGCTGTCTGAAATCCTGTTTCTTAAACCAATGTTGCGCAAAAAATATATAAACAAAACGCACTGCAATGTAGTAGAATAAAATTAAAGTTGAGTAAGAGAAAGGTCAAACGGTACAGATGAGAAAACTCTTCTAAAGAGATTTGGATCTTAACTTCAGAGCAACAAATCTCCACAAAAACAAGCTCGACTCAGCGCTAACAGCTGCAGAACATCACAGGACCTGTGGTGATGAACATGAACACACTCAGGTCTGACCTTTTCAACCACCAGCCATAATTACTCCACACACACAAACTCACGCTCACTTATATACATGTCTAATGCCAGATATTGAGATCAAGAGAATTCCTGCTGGTGGGGAATGTGAGCCTTTCTGGAAAATATAATGAGGAGAGGAAGCAGGCAGAGCTACAGCACAGGTGTGGGTGGAGAGCAAAGAAACATAAATCCCTGAAGGAGAATTTATTAGTTTCCTCTTTGCCAGCACTATTTTATTTTGGTGGGGCTGACTTCCACTTACTAAATTGATGTAATTCTTGGAAAATATGTAGCCTAATGTGTAGGCTACAGTTGCTTATGACAACTAACAATGGAGGCTGAAGCAAAACCTAAGCCAAATAAACTGTGCCAATAAATATACTATTCTAATCTATATTCCTTTTTAACTTTCAATTACGATTACATGAAGTTAGTTTAACCAATCAATACATAATAAGACTGGTGATATCTACTTTCGCCTGGATAAAAATAGCAGCATCTTACCATTATAAGATGTCTAAATAATGTCTAATAATAGCTGTGTACTGGCTAAGTATCAGCCAACATTGGTCCTGTTGACAGGTACTGGTAATAGGCCAATACTGTCTGTATCTTTGATAACACTTATTGATCACTGACAGCAGTTAGCCTATTGTGTTGTATCAGTTTAATAATGGCAAAAAGTTACCCCCAGATTTTGGGTTACTCTAAAGTTTTCATTTATGGAAATAAAATGATATTTTTCATACAAAAAAAGTTGAGTTGAAAAATAGCTTGTTTGCTTAAATACTGTTTCAGTTAAATTACAGTTGTTTAAATTATTTCACAACTGAATTTATGTTTAAAATAGTGTGACAAAGCCATTCTTATCACTAACTTTCTCTAATGATTTAAAATAGGCTATATATTACTACCACAGGGTGTGATTTAGGTGAGTTTCTTGAGGACAGTAGGAAGAAGGAGCTGGGATTAAGTGGATCCCAGTATCATCCGTTTAATCATTTTAACACCGGGATCGGTGCTGGCCCAGACTTCCTCTTGCATTACTATAAACAGGGATTATTTCAGTAAAGATAAAGATGTCATGTCAAAGTTTCACTGTGAAAAAGTTAGTCATGTGGAAGCCCTGTAAAGTTACATGCCACTTTATACACCGGTGAATCAAGAGAAAACACAATTTGACTGGTGAGAAACTTTCCTCGTGGAAGTGGCATCCATGTTACAGATGACTTCATTGACAGAAAGTGTAATTCTTACCCAAAAACAGGCAGAAGAGATCCACTCCGACCAGTAACTTTCTCCGGCTGTGGTCTTTGCAGTTGTTGTTGTTCAATGAACTCCCGCCGTTCCTCGTTTCGGCTGCCATACTTTTCTCATTAATCAAACAGCGTTGCATTTAAAACCAGTTATGTGGCTCAAATCAGAGTGAACGGAAAAAGTTGTTCAAAGTTATCGCGAGATTACTTCTATTCTCTATCTACTTTAAACGGAGTCCTAAACAGGAGTAGTCATTCAGGTCTGTAGTGTTAGTCTGTCAAGAGAATAAACTCTTTCAAGCGCTAGTCCCTCACAATCTCTCTTTCTTCTAACCATCCTTTACTCCTTTCCTCAGAGGTAGTAAGAGTACTAGGACAGCCTTCCAAGAAAGCCACACCTTCAGCCCTTCCCCTTTCAATTAATGCCATATGCCAGCTCCTTCACAGGATTATTCCCACACTCACCTCTGGGTGTGGGGGATTCTCACTAAGAAGCACGGCGGTAAAAAGGGGGAATTCACAGAGAAAAGTCAGCCAGAAAACAATGAAAAAGATCCAAGGATATTCAGTTACGGGGGAAATCGGTGTGGTTTGTTTCTTGTTTTAAGAAAAAGAAAACTGCTGTTTCTCTCTTTACACAGGTAACAGGCACATTTCTACAGAAAAAACTGCAACCTAGCAAAATAAACCATGCTTAAATTCATTTAACCTTTGAAAGAAAGAAAAAAGAGCAATAATGGATGAGTTAAGCTTTAAATAGTGAAGGCAGAAAATCAGGATTATTCCATGTAGTGCCACTTCTCTGTGATAACTTAAAGGGAGATTCACAGTGTATATTCAGAGAGTTCTGGGTGTCATTCTTAAATCAGGTGAATGTCATAAAAAAAAAAACATGAATCAATGACAAATATTTATTAGATGTAACAAGGAAACAAAAGAAAAAACAACATCGAATAACAATTTCACAAACAAATCCTGAACTATCAAACTCTTTAAGTGTATGGTTAGCTACTTTGTCATTGTTCTTTATTTTAGATATCGTGCAGTAAATCAAGGCGTGCTCTTTTTAGAGAAAACAATGTGAAAATAGATGTGAAGCAACAAAAGTTGAATCAGTTACAACAGTCACATCAGCAGCTCCTCTACAGCAGTGGTTTCTTGTCTTCATTGTGAAGAGTCAAAAATATAGTTCTCATTATTACATGGTAAACTTGTCTCTTTCCTTGGTGGAAATTTTCCATGATGTTAAACCCAAAATGTTGACATACTCATGCATACCCTGCTTCAATTATCATGGTGATCAGAAGGTGTCAGCATAGAGTGGCGGGGGAGGAAGGAGTCCCAGCTCTGCAAAGTCAACTTCCTGCTCTCTGTAAAAGAGACATCATAGCCTACAATGAGAATGTGCCAAAGAACCTGGAGTACTCGGATGTTGGCAAAGGAGCATACTCAAAAGCCGGCTGATGCGGATATAAATAAGGATCAAATCTCTCTCCCTGATTAGAAGGAAACTGTCCACACTTACGGATATGGAGGTTCCTCAACGGCACATAAGAAGTCTGAGGAAACAAGAAGATGACACCTCAATACTACACTGTCTGTGCAGCATGGTCTGAAACTTGTCTTCAGTTTACTGGGATTAGATAAGTGTGCCCCACAAGTTATTTTCCATTACAACCAAGGCGCCTTCCGGTGCTCAGCTTGCAGTGCTTAAAGAGATCTCTAACTACTCGCCTCTTGGCTTCACCATTATCAGTGAGTGTGATGTAAGTGGTGACAACAGTGGAGACATGCAGAAACATCGACTTTGTAAGCTTACCCTGTTGTTCAGTGCTGTGCATGGAGTAGACAAACAACATTTGAAGGGAGTTTTAATAAAAGGAAATCATGTTGAGTGAAAGACAAATGGACACTATCGGTCAGATCGACGATAAGAAAATACGTTACTTTGTAGGAGTCATGCCCTCACTATCAGCCATGTCACTGAAGTCATCTTTGCCGTGTTGAAAGAAGATGGCAAGCTTCTGCAGAGCCTCATGTCTGGTCCTGAGGGTTCAAACAAGTTACAACACTTACTCATTTTCAAAACAAACCACACCGTGATTATCAATGACCCACAAAGAGGACCTACAAATTATGCCATAATCCAATCAAGTTACCCATGGCTAATTTATGTTAATCCAAAAGCTGCAGACACTTACAGTTTGTCCCAAGAGGAACTCAAACAAGAGAGTTTATGTTTACGAAGAGTAAAGGTGCGGGAGGAAATTGGTTGGATTACAGAGTGTTCTGGGTGTCATTTTTAACTAAAGTGAATAGAAGAAGAAAAAGAACTTCATTTATCCCCTAATAAAGGAAGTTCAATTGTCTGTAGTCTCATTTGTCATGTCTCAAAAAAATGTCATAAAAAATATTCATGAGAAAAATGTATTAGATGTGACAAAAAATAAAAGAAAAAGCAAATTGAAATAACACATTCACAAATCCTGAAATATCAAACTCTACAAGTGTATGTTTAGCTATTAGTCATTATTGTTCATTTCGGATGACCCTGATTTCACTGTCTGCTACTCTTGATTTGTTAAACTAAAAGGGTCTTATGCCAGCTCTAGATCATTTTGGCATCTTGAAGTTAAGAGGAGCAAACAGCATTATCTCCTTCTTCCCCCTCAAGAGGAAATTAACAAGGCTCTGAGTTATCCTGCATATGCCAAATGTGATGAAAGATGAGGACTGAGGCATAAAAAAAAGTCACTAGTTTGAAGCAAGAACTGCTGAGGTCAGAGCTTTGCACAATACTGGCTTCTGCTTAACCTCTGGACTTCATTTTAAAATAAACAACCTGAGATGTGTCCTCTGAACTTCATTGAATGTGGTTACTCATAGGAAATAACTGAGTCTTTAAGGGGTCAAACTCCTTTTCAATATCACATGTTTAAAGTACAAAAGGCCTCTAATGATCCAAACCAGGCGGTTTGAGTGTTTTATCTCCAAAAATTTAATATGTCACTGCAGACATCTGAGTAATTCACACTAGGCCCCTTTCAATACTTTTTTTTAGGTTACTATAATGACAGTTGGACAGGTTTTAGGATCTGATAGCTTGAAATTTTGCGCCTTCTGTAACTAAAGCTGTTTCACTGATCTTGTGCTTGACATGCTGAAGTCATGTTATTTGACAAAAAATAATAATAAAGTCTCATCTTGCTGACATTTCACAGTCCAATGTATTGTTCACTGTGAATATTTTATCAAGAAATTTTAAAAACAGGGCTGTTTCTACAGCTGTCAGGCTTACATCTCCCCTCCACACTGGTTTCAGGCATTAAAAGTCACAATATACAGATAGCAAATTTTGTCACTGATGGCCTTGTTTACTTTTGGATATCATGAAGAGACATGAGTATGAATTTTAGTCTTTATTGTGAGTGTAAAAATAATTTAAAAAATTGACAAAAAGTGAAATTCTGAACATTTTACTCACCAATTTGGCTACCTTCCAAACAAAATTGTAAAGCCTTGGCTTATTTCAGTCTTCCTTGTGTGCTAAAGGGATGATCTCTGCGTAAAGTATAATAAACTGCATATTTGTATTGCTGTAAACATAGAGACCAGCTTTAAGTTGAGCTCACCTTCGGCTTTGGGACTTTGTAAGGAGGTTTTTCCCCTTAAGATACACTGGAGAAAAATGAAAACTTTTCTGCATTCCTGGCTTAATGTCTCTCGCATGTCTGTCTCTGGTCTTGCCAGTACAAGATACAAAATACATCTTACAATACAAAAGAATTGCTAAATAAGTTAAAACCAGACCAAATATCTTGACTTTTTACAACACACTGTTTCATCATATCTTCCTTCTATCTAAAGTTTAATATTCTTCAGTTGTGAAAATAATTAAGGGTTTGCCTATACATCCCATGTCTACACTTGCTGCCTTAAAGGTGAGATGTAGAACATTCTCTGCACATGTGCAAGAGGAGAGTGCCAACGCATCTGCTTTGAATCCTGTGTGTAGGAGACTCACTGTGTGTAAAGGTCTTCCAGGTTGGCATCGCTCAGAGTGTGCTGGGCACTGACATGGCTGCACGCTGTCAGAGTGCACACATGAAGGGCAGAGGGGGGAGGGGGGTAAAGAAGAGGTGTGTGTGTGTGTGTGTGTGTGTGTGTGTGTGGGGGGGGGGGGGGGTCAGGATGGGGGGGTGTAAGTTATGCAAGGGTTGTTAGACAGAGGAGGGAGGGAGGGAGGAAATGGCATGGTAAAAAAGCACATCAAAGGCATGTTACAGTCTGACATATGTCAGTGCTGAACATAAAACAGCCACTAAACCAGGCAACAGCGAGGGGGTAAAAAGCATTTTCCCTCTTACTTCAAAAGGACTGCGTGTAAAATGTACTCACACATATCAGGCAATGAGGCAGTCTGCTGGGGAAAGCTGCAACACCGAATGAAAAGGAAGACTGTAATTATATACTGTGTGCAACATAAAATCAGGCATATCTTCCAGGAACGATGGATGAATGCACTCTCATGTGGTCATTCTCCTTCAGACAATAAAGCATCTTTACGTCACAGAGCAGTCAAAGAGTCTGTCTTACTAGTTTTCATTGGTGGGGGAGAGGGTCTCATCTTCACAAGCCCACTCCTCACTGTCATCTGTAACTGTCGGGAAACAAAAGTTTGATTAATCTGTGTGCTCAAAGATGATGGATGTTTTGCAGGATAGAAACCGAAGCCATCAGTCTGCGCGTGGTTCCTTCCTGATCATAAAATAACAAATCACTGTCAAGCAGACGACGACTTGTTCAGTTATTCAGACCAGGCATTGTGTTGCGGGACTCTTTGGCTGTGTGCCAACGTGTGTGCGACTGTTCCCCATCAGTCAACAAGCCCATGCATTACATAAACCAGTTGTGTTTTCTCTTCATAAGGCTGCAGTGCTTTGTGAGATGATAAAGAAACTAATACAAAGTTAAGGTCAGAGGTTACAGAAAAGAGGAGATTCATATTACCAAGCTATTTCAATAAGACACTTACAACTGCTTGTTAGTACAGGGTGGCTAGAGGATCTGCAAAAACAAACAAAAAGGAATGAAGTATTGCTGTTATGGCACCAATAGAAAGATACAAATTGCTTTAGGGTGAGACAAAACATTTTGTCAGGGTTCAACCTGCTCCCGATGCTGATGGTGTCCCCCTCATGGTTGCCTCCTCGTCCAGCTGCTTGGGCCTTCTTGCCAAGTTCAAGCATCTCCTTAATGTTTAGTTCCACATTCATGACTGAAATATAACCATCTGCATCAAACAGGACAGAGCAGTTATTAAAAACACAGAGGGACTCATGGCACACTGAGGAAAAACGATACTCTAAAAATTTTAAATCTGTTTTAAGTTCTGTAGTTTGAAATAAGATGGCTTCTTAAAATGTAGGTGTTTGTGTTGTTTTATCCCAAATTCAGTTTTTTTTAAAGAAATTATGACTGCACTCACACTTGTGGTTGGCGTCTCGAGCCAGCCATTTGCCTTTGGGGCAGTTGGTAGTGCGAATGATGCTGACTATGTCCCCGGTCTTCACAGGCAGGTCATTCTTACGAACCTTACTGGCCAAGATAACCTTAGCATGGTACATGGGCTCCTCTTCACCGGTCACCTGAAAGATTCAAAACACATTTTTTCAGCCAATCAAATTCCTTTTAGGGGCTGAATAAAAAGTGACCAGAGAGAAATCTTCACCTTTGCTGTTTGATAACTTACTTTGAACTTCTTTTTCATTTCATTTTCCTTCTTCTCTCTTTCCTTTTGCTCCTTTTTCTCCTTCTCCAGCCTCTGCTTCTCCCTCTTCCTCTGTTCTTTGAGTTCTGCAGTGTTGGGGCTTTGGGGCTCTTTTCTGGAAACAAATGAAGCTGCTTGTTGGCAAATAAAGATAATGTACTAAATGTATTACACAAAAACACCCTGAATTAATTCAAATTAATCCAGTTGAGAGAAAAATAACTGGACAAAATTAGAGTGAATGTTACTGTTTATGTTGAAAAAGACACAAGAAGAGACTTATTTTCTTTAGGTGGAAATACAAGCAGAATGGATATGCTGGATGTAGGACAACTGAAGTTTTCTTTACAGCAACGACAAGTAAGAAAGACGAGTTGTGTACCTCACCTGGGGACATGATTGTGAGTGGAATGAGGTTGTTCTCCAGCAACAGCAGCCCTGTAGTTGGAGCACAATCAGAGAAAAAAAAATCAGTGGCTGCCCTCCAGGAGGCAAAAACAAATGTCAGGGATAAAACACAGGACTTAAATGTTTGGGAAAAGAAAGGCATACCAGGGATTCCTTGGCCATATGTGAAGACAAGCCTCCTCCTTCTTGAAACAAACACAGAAAATTCTTAATGAAGCACAGATGACCGAGTGGGAAGCACACTAATTTCATCATTGTGCGGAACTCCCTTTAATGTATTGAAGGTGATAAGAAAATACCAAAAATGTGTTACCATTGGGAGGTTGTCTGCATATGGATCTGTAGTTGACGGGGTGTAAGAGGGGGGAAACAGGATCTTAAAAAAATCTGTTTTAAACAAGGAGAAACACTAGATTTTGTAGAGACAGATCCTTACTCTTTAGACCATCTTTCCCTTTACGCAGGTTCTGGCTTAAGATGAATTTGTTAAGGTTCTCGACATCCTCATAGACATTGTCACACGCTTCGTAGTAACCGTCCTGCGGGTTTGCACTAGAAGCAAAACAAGTCATTTATAAAATAAAGAAAACATACCTCAATTAAAAAATAAATACAAAAATGTGATCATAGATGCTCCAAAGTTTTACCTTGGATGTATTTTAGTCCCTTCATTTAATGCTGAGTGATTACAACTGTCTGTGTCCTGTGTAGCAGAGTGATACTCAGCAGCTGCGAGATCGGTCTCATCAGCTTGAGAGCTAGAGAGAGGGTCCATGCTCACCTCCTCACTCTGGGACCACTGCTCTGCTGCTGCAGCAGGCTCTTGGAGCTCCGACAGGTTTATTAGTTCAGGATCAAGAGGTATTATATTTTGATTGCCAAGGTTCAGATCCTGGAAGGTGTTGCACATATGTGGCTCTGCAGGATCGTTCTCGGACAAGTCATGTTGTTGATCTTCAAATTCTGAACCCCCGCAATCATCTGGCACAGGAAGTTCAGTGCTGACTAAGTCTAAGGCCTCCAGCTCCAGAGCACCGATGTCAACAGGTTCCCCTTCTGCTGTGTCCATCTCTGAATTCTCAAAGTCTGGAAACTCTGGAGCATCCAGCACAGGGTTAGAGATGGATTCTGGCTCATCGCTTGATGGTTGGCTCAGATCTGATGACACCTCTATAATAAGAGACCAAAATCAGCTTTAAACAGATGTTCAGCCTCACCATGAAGAAGTTTAATGTAAATAGCAGAGCAGATAATACATAGTCACTGGTGTCCAAGGATAATGCAACTTTTTCCTCATTGTATTCTTCGGTCTGTGGCCCCAGAAGGGGAAAACAAATGTCAAATACAGTGCAGCTACATAAATCAAAGACACAGAGAGATGCTGAGTTGTTTTATCATACCATTTAAAGTGGGTAGGAGGTAAGCGCTCAGATCTACTGATGGAGGTCTGGGGGGCTTAGGTGGCGCTGAACCCAGTAGCCACAAGTCAGGCAGGGGCTTCTTGGAAGGAGCAGAGGGTGGATGGGGTTCAGCAGCCTTGCCAGAGGGAAGTTCAATCTTATTCTTGCTAAATTGCTTGTTCAATGGAGACTCTGGTTATTGGAAATAAAAGTATTGCAAACACATTAGAAATCACAATTTCACAAGCAGTATAAAATCCCTGAAACAGTTAATGACCAAATGTAACTTACTACGACCAGCGTTTTTGGCTTTGAAGAAAGGCCGGGCTGAAATACAAGCCAGGTGTGGGAGACACCCTGCTGAGGGTAAGGAGAGCTCGGGCTCAGCACTTTGGATTTTTGGTAGTGAAGGAAACTTTTTGTCTTTTGAGGCGTAGTCAGGGGAACGCAGGCTTTTGGGTTTTGCCGTGATCAACATCTGCCTGCGTGAAAACTTCTTCTTGGCCCTTTCCAAGGTGCTAATGATTTTGTTGTCTGAGTCAACACTCGTCTCTGCAGGAGGAGGGGTGATTGGAATATCTGGGCTAGACAAGGGGAACTCAGAGGCCGATTGGTCACTGTGCAGAGAAATCCTGTCTTCTGTGGTTTGTTTTTCTAAGGAGGGCAACTCACCAGGTGCACTGGCAGGTCTGGTGGTCAAATCAGCATACGTAGGCTCCTCTCCATTTTCCGCACTGACTTTTGAAACTTTGGCTGACTTGAAAGGAAGCAGCAATCCTTTCTTCTTCATTTTTGTGTGTGGCAGGACATCTTTTCCTGGCTCTGGGTCAAGTTTGTGCTCCTTTTTGACTTGTGGCTCTGTCTTTTGCTCTTTTACAGGCAGGGCAGGAAGCACCAGAGGCATGTGTCGGTCTTTGAGGGACTGCCTTGTTGTGCTGTCTCCATTAGCAAGCTGAGACGAGGAGGAGGTCTGCTGAGGCTGTGGTGGGAAGGAAATTGGTCGCTTGCCTCCAGATGACCGCAGCCCATCTCTGAAGATGACCCGGGGAACTTGTGTCTTGTTTTCAACAGCAATATTAATACTGCCGACCACAGAGCTGCAGTGACTGCCAGGAGGGGGAAGGTGTCTGGGCTTCTCTGCAACAGCTGGTCGGCTGGTTTTTGATTGAGCCAGCAGGGCCTCTTCCTGAAACTTGGCCCTCAGAGCTTTGACGTTGATCATCCCCTCCGAAAAAGAAAAGAATGAAAAGAAAAAAAAAAACAAGTCATTAAGGAGTTGACTGTAAGAAAATTCTATTTTACCAGGTTATTTTCTTAAAGGTTGATTATGGGAAGCAAGCACAAGATTATTTAAGATTTAAGATTTGATTTACCAAAGTAATGAAAAACAGTCCCGTAGTCAAAAACAGCATTGATAACACTTCTGCAGACAGTTTTCTTTTACATGTTCAGGCTTTCAACTAACAGATTTTTACCTTTTGTAAAATACCACAAATATGAAAACAACTGATCTTCAAATTAGAGATGCACAATTTTACTGGCCTAACACAGGTATTGGCAGATGCTAGCTTAAGAAGTCAACAATTAGCGTCCTCAAAAATGAAGATATTTCAGGTGATGTATACAGCCATAACATGTCACATTAGCTATGTAATTAGAGCTTGTGCCTGTGGACAGCTGGCTTCAACAAATTGGCTTTATGGAAGTACAATGTATTTGTAGTAATGGAAAACAGATAGTGGACACATCACTGAATGTCTATCTTTGAAAAACAATGTATTTATTATCTATGGAAATCCTTCATCTTTCACACATAGTAATTCAAACTATTTGCTGTTTTTTATGGTCTCATAAATTCTAGTTAAAATATTTTGTTAAATCTGACTTTTAGCTCTCTGATCAAGACACCTGAAAAGTGTTTCATGAATTTTAATGATCATTTTCACAATTTAATGCTGTGACAAAAACCAATCAATTCATATTCAAGAAAATGTTGCCAGCAAATGTGTTAAATGGTTTAAATAGGTACACATTGAACAGGTATTTATTGAATCAGTGCTGCTGTATTTTAATGTCAATTCCAATGCTGTTTGGAGGTCAGAAATCACCAAGGAAAGATGCAAAGTTTCCTCTGAAGAAAACCTCAAGACCAAGGAGGTTAGATAAACCACAAAGACTGACTCATGGTTTGGTAGATTGGAGGACAACTGATCTAACAGACATTTTTACAATTTACATGAGCCAAGTAAGCTGAGACACGGTCTCAGTGCAGATGATTTCAACTAGCTGGTGAACTAATCACAGTGAAAATGAGGTGACTAGGTCGCAAAATGCGTGTTATCGAAACGGAGCTGAGCTTTTCTCCAACAATCCTGGTGTTAAAGTTGAATGAAAACTTGAAATTACCTCGTCCATTGTTGCTAGTTTTGTTCCTCACTCTTCAAGTTTGAACATTTGTAAAGCGATATTCGAAATAAAGACGAAACTCGCGACCGCAGTGACAATATAAGGCGAAGTTAACTCATTCAACGGGATGTTTGTCCGGAAACAAACAATTTGATAGCGCCGCGTGAGACGCAAATTCGCGCAGGCGTGCTGCGCGTGACCTGATAACGTAAACGCTCACTTCTTCTTGAATGGAGTTTATTGGCACGTAAACGGTCACGTTGTGTGAATGACAGATTTAAAGCGTCACAGGCCGAGCTGCGTTTCTAACAAGACAAAGTTGTCAAGAATTATTCGACCAATGAGTTGAATTGCACAATAACTCCGGGTCCAAAGGGAACAGACTTACATTACAAAAATAAAAGTAAGAAACTGCAACAAACTGTTAATCTTCGTTGTATATCTATGTCTATTAAATCTCAGCCACGCCTAAAATTTTTTTACTAAATAAAAGTCAAAAAATAAAAAATCCAGCCACACGTTATGTTTAATTCAAGGCTTATTTTGAGAGTAAGACTGATGTTTGTCTCTTATATCGATGTTTGCAAGTTTTTGTTTATTTTACTTTCCTCTTTTGTATACAGTGTATAGCCTACATTGTTGAAATGTACTGTATGAATATCATTTTCAAATAGCCCTCCACTTTACCTTGTGAAAAGGCCGCACCAAACCCGTATTCAAAGTATGTTTGATTTAAGTCTTAGATTGATAGATACCCAGATAGTTTGATATTTTTCACCTTATTTTCATGGATAAAAGATAAATGTTGTTTACTTCCCGGTTTACTTCTACTCGTGAAATTTTGTTTGTGTGCACCTGAACATGTTCTTTTGTGGGGGTGATTATGGGAAATCGGGCAAATAGATCATTAAAGAAAAACTGTTGTAAGAGCATGTGTTTACTCTTGATCAATCATTCACTGTGGTTGGTCAAGACTGCAGGGGTAGAAGTCTCCACATGATCACAACAGCTGTTAAGTGATGTTGTATTTTATCTAAGGGGTTAGGTACTCGCTTTTCTATGGAGTTATTTATAAATTTACCTCTGATCTTATGTTGGCTGTGTCTTTTTATCTTTTATAGCCCAAATGTGAATGCATCCAGGAGGCCGTGGGCAACTGCTGATAACAGGTGCAGTATTTCTTGCTTCACTACCTCTTATACTCCCTTGATAACGCCTCACTAGCAGTTATTTAATGTAGCTCATATCCCATGGGTATAAGAGGAAGAACAGAAATGATAAAGGGCTCTTTTTGCATGATGCAGAGGGACCGGGACAAGGAGAACCAGAGCTGTAAACAGACCAGTTCCTATCAACTGTAGGCTGGGACCTTGGTCTACCTGGACTCCTTGTAATGCCTGCACAGACGAAAAGGTAGTAATGTTCTTTTACCATAAACAGCATTGTTGCATAATTTTGAGATGTCCCACAAAAATCATTTTAACAGACCTTGTTGACCGGATTATGCAAAATACAAACCAGGTTTTGAACTCTCTCCAAAAAAATGACTGCATAGTTTTTTTGTTCAGGTGCTCAGGTCAATGCTTAGTCGTAGAGATGATTTAAAGATGAAGATAATAAAAGATCTTTACTTGAAAAATATGAGGTTAAGGTTTGAAATTATGCCCATCAGAGCCTGTGTCCACTGAAGACATTTGTTTTTGCACAGACAGCACCCACAACTTCAATTTCAGTGCGCTTCTTACCAGCGCTCATTATTGCTAGGTTTAAAATCGCCATGTATATTTCATAATCACTTTGATTCAGTATGATTTAAAATAAAATTATACTAACAATTGGCATAAATTGTGCTATACTAGCTGCAATATATGAAAAAAGGGGCTACCAGTGCAAAAAAAAAGAAAAAAAAAACACCATTAGTGGTCACAGGCCCTCAAAAGGATTTGCCCTGGTTTCAAGGACTTTTTAATACCACCAAGCTCTATTGTCACTTTTTTTCCAAAACAGGTCTTTGTGCTAACATTATTTAATCTTGAGACGAAATACAATTTGTGATAAATTAGCATACTGAAGTGTCTGTATAGACTACAGAGATTAAAATATTGTCCAAAGTCATTCTTAATGGTTCAGTTTTATGTTTGCCACAAGGTCTCTATAACAGTTTACACAGGTAACCTGAGGGTAGCTGACTGTTAGCTGTGGTTTAATCTGGGGGGCCAAATGGGGTGACTGAATTAGACCTCTCAGTAAAAAACTATTTTATGACTTCTTTTAAGTTCCGTTTCCGATACTTGGAGAAGCCATCACAGTTTGGCGGCACAGAGTGCCGTGACACACTCTGGGAGCGACTGGCATGTCCAACAGCAACCACACAGTGTCTGGTGCCAGATTACTGTGGAGAGGACTTCACCTGCAAAGAAACAGGCAAGGCCCTCAACTTTCAATAAGACCTATTTGAGGTATTGTGGTTGTTGGTGTGCACATATAACACATATAACCATGCATGAGACCATTTCTCTGTCCATCCAGGACGCTGCATAAGCCAGTCTTTGCGCTGTAATGGAGAACCAGACTGTGATGACTTTTCTGATGAAGATGAGTGTGAGGACTTCAATCGAAGGGATGATAAATGTTCCACCCTCATGCCGATTCCTGGTACAGAACGTGGCACTCAGGGGTAAACGCTACATGGCATTATCGATTTCACCATTTTGTTTGTTCATGGCATTATTTCTTTGCTTGGCTTGTCTCAGTTGAATTTCATACTATTGAATTTTTTTATTTTTGCCAAGATACAATGCCTTGACAGGAGAATTTGTGGATCATGTACTTGACCCCAAGTATTTTGGAGGAAAGTGTGAATATGTCTACAATGGGGAATGGAGGAAATTTGTCTATGACTCATTCTGTGAGAATCTGCACTACAATGAAGATGAGAAGAACTACAGAAAACCTTACAACTATCTTGCCTACCGTTTTGTGGTAAGTAAGGGCAGTGGTGTTATTCATTTGTTGGTGTGCCTTGATCAATGAGCTGTAAGACTTAAGATATCCTGACTTAACCTGTTACAGGCTGAAGCCACATCAGAAGGTTCTCATGAATACTACGATAATATGGTCAGTCTGCTGGAAGCAAGAAAAACAATGAAATCATCTAATGCTGCTGTCGGTATTGGGATCGAATATGTGGAGGGGGAACTGAGAGGGAGTCAAGAGTCTGAGTTTTTCCATAACATCAGTCAACATACCAGCCAGGTATGATTTAAACGATGAAATCAAGTGTACTGAGTAATATTTCATGATATCAACCATCATAATTGCTTGTTTGAGGTGATAAGCAGTTAAGCAATAGATAAACGATACACGTCTTGTTTTCCCTTTTTTGGGGGAAAAAAACGTTTATTTCTCTTGTAGGTTTAGTTTTTCACAGCATCATTTTGGTTGAATGTGCAGACCTCCTTAGACCTCCCAAGCCCTCTTTGGGCTTTGATTTTCACAACCCCCAGTTCATTATGCATTATCCTACATATTGTGCAATCGTCTTCTAGGGGCATAAACAAGCTGACACAAAATATTGATTAGAGAGTTATTTAATTGGTTCAAAAATGATTAATCTATACAAAAATAGTTTATTTGATTCCTAGGTCTGTGACCGATTTCTATCAGCCTCTACCAGAGATGAATTAACACCAAACTAATCACCTCCATTAAAAGTAGCATTAGATAAGGTGAGAGGGAGATCTTTTAGAATATTCATGTTGACATTTCTGTCCTCATTCATCTTTGCTGTTGACACACCTTTAAACATGCATGAGGTGAATGTCCCAACTTGAAAGAAATGTTGCTATTACCACTACTGCTTAAGATTGAAATTACTTTGTAGCAATCAGCAACTTGAGATACACAATCTTGCTCCTTTTACACTCATGTAGGAGACAAGCTGCTGCTCTCACACCCTTGCCCAGTGACAAGCTTTATTTCCTACTCAGAGCAGACGGATAGTAAAATTTTGCTATTATGCTTGCTGACTGAAACTAATGTTTTTGCTCCAGTGTCAACAGGCAGAGACAAAATTTCCTAGACTGTTTTCTTCAGAAATAATTAAGTATTATATCCCTGACCTGGATATGGCATTGCATTTGTTGTTGAGGATTAACTATGGGCTTTGGACCAAACAGAATCAAGTATTTTACACAGCTAAGTAATCTGAAAGAAAACAAGGTTAAAAGTATGCCAGAGCTGATTTACCATCATATCTAAGTGATATTCAAAAGAAGAGAAAAGAAAAAACATAATTAAAAAAAATAATCAGTTCACATTTTATGGATCTATTTTTTTTCCCTCTTTTTAGCCCTGAAAAAATAAAGACTACATCTCTATAAACATTTGTTTTTATGTCCTCAGGACCTCGGATTTATAAGACTTTGGTCCAAAGTGCAAACGGCTCACTTCAAAATGAGGAGTAATAAGTTGATGCTTCATGAGGACCTCTACATGTCACTTATGGAGCTCCCTGAGCAATACGACTTTGGGATGTACTCCCGTTTTTTCAACACATTTGGCACCCATTATGTCACAGAGGGAACGATGGGAGGAACCCTTGAATATGTAGTGGTCGTCAACAAAACATCAATGGCGAAGTCAAGTACTGTTGGATTTCCAGTTTGCTCAACATTATATTCAAACAGAAAAACAGTATCAAGCAGCTTGTGATTTTTAATGTTCTTCTTCTACCCTCACAGAAATGGAGGGTAAACAGGCTGGTAGATGCTTTGGTGCCGCTATTGGTTTGAGTGTCCCCCTCAACAGCTATTTAACAGTAGAGCCCAAAGTGGGAGGTGATTTATGTACAAAAAAGGGAGGGTTGACTCGAGGTGAGATATCTCAGTCTGACTTTTCGTGATGTACTTATGATATCAAATCATCCTCTCAGCTTCATTCATCTTGTAACTTTCTTCTCTCCAAATGTAGGTCAAGACTCTAGTTCAGCTGTGATTGAGGACATTTTAACTCTGGTGAAAGGTGGGATTTTGGAGACCAGCAGTGGTCTGTTGGTCATCAGAAGCCCTGAAACCTATAAGAACTGGGGAGCATCCCTCAAATACAACCCCACGCTTGTTGGATATGAGGTAATTTACTGAAAGAAACCATATATTTTGTTGAGGCACTCAACATTGCCACCATGACATCACCTATTAGTCTGTGTACTGGTAATTTTGAAGCATAGAGGTCAGGCATTAATAATTAGTATTCAGATCTTGAAGTGACCTTTGTGAAGATAGGGTACTTAACATTGTTGCACCCCTCACTGGTTGTTAATCACAAGGTAGCTTCACCCTGAAGCGTATCTCTAATTTAGTGTCTACCCAAATAGGACCATCATTCACAAAATGACCATAATACTGTGCTGAAGACAAATTAAAAATGAGACTGAGACCATGAACTCATTAGGAATGATCTTCATATCAGTGCTCATACAATCTATTCTATTTAGCAATGTTATAGTCATTCCTCCAGCTCGTAATTAGAAAAAGAAATCCTCCAAGTTAAAAACCTCCTCAGCTTTGGTTACCACACCAAACCGTGGACTATGGTCACATTTTTTTTAAGGTCTGTGTCCACTTGCAACATGTTTTTGCACTTTCACAGGTTTTGTTTGCTGCTTGGCTTTCTGGCAATGCATTTATTTTACTAACTCCGGGTGTGTGAACACTAGAACATGCAAAGAACGTTACGGCCAGCTGGAGAAGTTTAAATTTGTGCAGTTTCAGTCAGACTGATGGGTTATCATGATTTTTAAAAGTCCTTTTTTGGTTGGACTATGGCAATAAACCTTTGTTTGTTTGTTTTTTCAACAACATGTAAGCACACTAATGTACTAAGCACGGGATAGTTCCTAAAGTTAATCTTCAACTGACAGTGCTATGAGCCCAACAATCCAAACAGATTGTAGTGTGGTATGTTTTTGCACTTAGAACACAAGTTGCTGCACTAGTTTTGAAAAGAAATGAAGTGTCTGGTATAAAAATGCTGTTAGTATATGTGAGAAGCGTTTACTGTGCTATTATTCTTTATTCTTTACTGCTTTGGTTGTCTCATTTAAATTTACCTTTCTCTTTTCTCTTCACTATCTCTGTTCTCCGTCCTGTGAACCCAGACAATGCCGATCTATGAGCTTGTCCGCCTTAGCACAGCTGCTGATCATGTAGGAGGAAGACTGGCCAACATGGAAAGAGCCTGGGATGAGTATCTGCAGCAGTTTGACTCCTGTCGCTGTGCCCCCTGCAGGCACAATGGGATCCTTGTGTTTAAGGGTACCTCCTGTAAGTGCATCTGCAAGCCAGGCTATCAGGGAGACGCCTGTGAAGAGACCATGAGAAGAGGTAAGTCCTCAGTCGAGATTAAGAGCAGCAGAGGGACACAGTTCAAAGGATTTACCAAAATGAGGGGAAAGTTACATAGCCTGTGAAAAACCCAGTTCAAATTCAGTTTATCACAACCACTCTTGTCAAAACGGACTGGCTAATCTGACTTATTCTGTGCTGTGCAGAGATAAAAGACTTCCTGACAGCACCTGTAAAACTCGCTCAGTGAAAGCTTTTGTAAAGGGTGGATTTTTCTGCATGCAAACAGGATTGTGAAATTTTCTATGTGATTTATTTTGAATTTTTGTCCTGAAAACAGACACCAGCTTACAGTCACTGTGCTAAGCATAAAAGATGCTTATTTAAGTGAGTAGGCTCTAAGCTGTGGCGTCAAATGAACAGTCCAGATATGAGGGGTTACCTATTTCTTTTTTGTCTAACAACCTAATTACAAACACATTGCATTTGTATATAAAATTTTGAGTCTACCTGTTCCGGGGAGTTGTTTATTTGCCGATTTGTCTTATCATTTACATAAATGTCCCCATTTGACTGCCTGAAAGCAAATGCAATTATTTATTTTTCTCCTTTTCTGACTGATGAGCTGCCTGTTAAATTTTCAGCCCCGGGCAGAGGACGTAATGGAGTAGTAACAGTGTGCAGACATGATTCTCTGTTATTATCGTACCAATAATCCATTTTACTCAACAGATACCAAGACAGATGGGTCCTGGTCATGCTGGGGGGCCTGGTCGTCTTGTGCGTCAGGAAGGAAAACTCGAAGCAGAACTTGCAACAACCCTGCACCTGATGGAGGTGGAGCATCCTGTCTGGGCTCCTCCTCTCAGAGCGAACATTGTTAAGGATGGCAGTGTACTCAACATTTGTCACCTGTGAATAATAAAAATCTTTGTTCTCTTTCAAGATGCACTAAATGTTAAACTTTTTTTCCGTCAAAAAACACAATACATGTCTTCAGACATCTCTCTGAGTTTTTGTAGGTACCACTGTGTCTGGACATTTTAATTTTCAAACTGTCAAATTTAAGACTTTTCTTTCGCAACCTTCTCTTGATTTAAACAGGCCAAATAAAGATTAGTAAGCATCGCAAATCAACTTGTTTTTTTTATTTTTTTTATTTTCATTTATTAATTTTGAACTTGACAAAACTCAAAGTAACAAAATCAGTCATAAAGGCTAGCAAAATGAATAATTTTTACAAGACACTAATTATAAAGTCTATAACCTAAAATTTCTGGTTGGTGACGATGGTGCAGCAACAAAATAAGATGACACACGTCATTGGTGTGTTGTCAAGACACCATGTATCTGTCCTCAGGACTGTTGTTTTAAATATGTTCTTTTAAAGCTCCTTTGAGGGGATTTTTAAAACACAAAGACATTAATTTTGAAGTCTTCTTAGAATGAACAAAAGCAAACAAGACCCCAAACAAGACCCCAAACAAGACCGAATATTGTAATGTTATTTTCAATACCTAACACCAGAGAGAGTGAGTAGTTTCCAGAGTCAGCAGAGAAAAAAAAATCTGTTTGATAACTTCTATTGCATGTAAATTGCTTTTTCTTCATTGTGAAAATTTCATTTTTTTTAGTCATTTCCAATAACTGATTGATTTGACCATAAAACTACTGTGTAAACATGCAGAGGACATGATAGACAAAACTGTAAAGTCTACAGGGGACGTCAAAATTGACACACACACAAAAAGTGTTTAATTTTCCTCTGCGTGCAAAGCCTTTGGAAATGGGTAGTTAGTTGTTTGTTGTTGTTGTTTTAACTCTATTAAGATTGTTGTGAAGTTGGACAGATCTCTCAATTTTAGCATTTTCAGTTTGACAAAGACTGGGTTTGTTTGTTCTTTTTATAGGTGGTTTTACTTTTGACTATTAAGGATCTTTTATGAAGGATGAAGATCGGGTCTGTGTTTGTTCTGTGTGTCCCACACAGGAACAAACACATGTTTGTATATGAAGGAGCCGTACACAGTGTAAAATGATTATTGATTTTGAAAATCTAGAGCTTTAATAGAACTGACTGAATGGGAAACTTTATATTTGTTACTAATCCACAAAATAAACAGTGCCCCAACCCTTTCACTTAATCCGGCTAATGTGTACATAATGATTCCTCTTGTGTAGGTAACTGACAAGCCAAGAAAGTACTGTTCCTCCTACATGTAAGCACACAGTTACACCAAGAAGACATCAAAAACTGACACATCCTTTTATCAACCTTTAAAAAAAATGTAAAATGCATTACATTTTTGTTAAACCTGAACTGGAACGATTTATCATGTGTGGCAGGAAAAAGAGAAACCACAGACTGAAACATTTGAAGGAGCATTTTAAAAAATAAATCTTTATTTCCACTTGACCTCAGGGCGGCTATTTTAAAAGCATTCAGTGGACTCTTGTTGCAGTCCTCGGCAGGTCAAACCTCCATTTCTGGGTGCAGGGTTATTACACTGTCGACTCCTGCTCTTTGTTCTTTCACTGCAGGATGACCAAGCACCCCAGCAGCTCCAGCTGCCATCAATGGCCATTTCTGTCAGGAGAGGACAAAATCATATCATTTATAAGTAACTAGACTAGTGAAAGCAAAGATGTTTTTTCATTAAACCCTTTTTTGTAGAATTCTTGGATCCTGGACAATTACCTTTTGGTCTTTGAGTGATCTCACAGCCACTTCCTCTGTAGCCAGTGGGACATATGCAGTCACACCTGTTACCTGTTGAGGGACAAAAATAGTTTTTTTACCACTTTAATCATTACTTACATTTTTAGTGCCACTGTGAGCTTCCTCAGAGTTAGCTTTTCTTAAAAAATCAGGAGTTGGTATCTTTAGAGAAATAGACATGAACTATTGAATTTAAAGTATAATTTAGACAAACATGGCAGTGCACACTCCCCCTCATAAATAAATGTATGTTCTTTCATGGGTATTCAACAAAGGAAAAAAGGGGTAAAAGAGTGGTGCAAACTCGTCATCCCTAACTCTACCAAACTTCCTTTCTGTGTAGTTCTCGTGCATTTCACAGAATTTGGCTTGTGGTTGACTAAAATCCTTGACCTGGTAGAGGAAATGCTCTGTTGATTGCTAAGGGGATGCAAAGATAAGACACTATCCAATGTAAATGAAATCATCAGAAATCTTCATGTGAACTAAACAGTGTCTTCTCTGAGGTACCTCTCAAAACAGCCACTCCATTGTTGTGGCAAGGAGCACACCGACATGCATCCGCCTCTGCCAAGTACTCTGACAGCGCTCTCTTCAGGTTTCTTTTCAGGGTGTCATGATGGGAGAAGTCTCTGGAGGTCACCAGCTCATACAACGGTCGAGTCTGTAGTAAAAAATCTTTATGTGTGAAACAGGCTCTTTCTATCATTCACATGCTTTGTTATTCACCCACTGCTTGATGAAATCAAGTACAACTTAGAGCAAAGCAGTTTGTTTGTATCTGGCACAGGTCTGCTCTGCATCTTTTTGCTGATTTTCCTCCAAATCGGTATCGACCAGTCTAAATGTACTTTGCCCCTCTGTAATTCTGCTAATCTGGGTAGCACCTTTGACCCGCTCATGAAAATGTTTTTGCATCGATTTTCTAGGTCAGATTTCTAATAAGTAGTTTTATTACAAATCCAAGAGAAGGTGGTGAAAGGAAGGACAGAATAAGAAGTGTACTGTAAAAGACAAGAAGCGTGTCAACAAAAGGGTCTTAAAACAAAATGAGAGAGAGGATGACAGAAAGTTTGTGGAATCATACCGTTCTCCGAATGAAGTCAGGGTTGAAACGCACACCCTCACCCCAGAGACCCATCAGCTGTGGGGTGGGAAGTTTTTTGGACAACAAAGCAGTGATAGATTCACTACTTCCACCCCTAACCACGGCAACAAAGTCCTCCACCATGCTGCCGTTCACTGTGTCCTCTGAGGAGAGAAGCAATGACCTCAGAGTTTCAGCATCAGTTCATGTGTGAAAATCAACAAGAAGTTTTCAAAACATGCAGCCGTACCTCCCATCTCATTCAGCAGCCCGTTACAGGATCCACCACTAAACTTCGCAGAGACATAAACACCGTAGATGTTTGCTCCAACCTTAATACCTGACTGTGTACAACGTTTATAGTCTTCCAGAGAATAATCTGGAAAAAACAGCGCAAGAAATTAGCACTAAAGTTAATTTGATTGCTTTAGTAACATTATACTGAACATAGTGTTTGTTGTATGCATGTCTGTTTCTGGTTCAAAGTCTTGGATCAGACTTGACTTTGACCACCCCTGATGTGCGATAGGCTTAGACTAAAGTGGGAACTTTCACTTTCTTCAAGTATTCATGTCTTAGTGATGCATGCTGCAAAATCTGTTTCTTCCATAAAACTTTGTTCCCCTTTTCTCTCAGGTTCCTGTAGATGGTTACAGTTGTAGACTACTTTTTTCCATGCTCTTGACAATGAATTAATTATCTCTCCTGCCTCTTGTTCCTAAGCTGCTCATATCCTTTACCTGACTTCTCCAGCTTCTCCTTGTTCAGGATGATGGTGTGCTCATAGTCGCCTCCCAGCGCTGCCTCTGTGATGTAGTGGGTGCCATAGTCTCTGTAGATTTGTCTGTATTCACCGTAAACATAGGATTGAGGTAAAGAGCGCAGGCGCTGCAAGAACTCAGGGTGAAGCATCAGACCCTCTGACTTTAACATGTACTGGGCCAACTCCAGTTCTGCTTTGGCCCTCACAAAGCTGTTTGTCTGAGGAGTGGAAATAGACAGAGAGCTTAAAAAGCGTACTTACTGGAGTGATTTGTTGAATTTCTAAATTTTTTTATTGGTTGCAAAGGTACAATGTGTGATTTTAAGCAGCAACTAGTAGTACAGACATTGCAGAGGTAGGGTATAATGTTTTAAGTAGCCTAAAGTAGATTAGTTTATGATATTAAAAACAATTTTGTTTTTGTTGACTTTGGATGATCTTTACATGTACATATAAGGGACCTCTTAATTTGAGGCCACCGTCTTGCACAAACATGTGTCTACAGTAACACAAAAGGAAAAGGGAGTTGTGCAGAATTTTATACTGATTAAATATTTCTAATGGCAAAACTTGACTCATGGAAGCTCATACTTATCATTTACTCAAAAGCAGATGTTGCTTCACTGATATGAGGGGTAAGCAAGGGAGCATTTTATTCAAGAATCTGATTGCTGGATGTCACACACTGTACCTTTAAAGGTCAGGAAAAAAACCTAAAACAACAAAATCTCACCGTCCCAGAAGCACGGCGGATCTTCTGGACAGACTTGGAATATTTTCCCTCATTGTGGTTAAAACCAAATTCAGCTACACCAGGAATGGCAAAACCAAAGGACACAGAGACACGGGTTGTACGCTCCGTCGAAGTGAAGGCCATGTAGTCCGAGTAGGAGTCAAAGGACTGCAGCGTGAAATCATATGAACCTTTTGTCTGTAAACACAAAGCAACATTGCCTTTTAAATGTATAATTATGGAGGCACATTAATTTGCTGCATCAGATATTAAAGATACAAGACAAAATGAAAAGAAACAAGAAAAATTATGGTTATCAAGAGGTAGAATAAAATCTCACAGGGAGAAATAGCACCTTTACTTTATCAATGACTTATGAGCATTTCAACTCTGACTACTTTACTTCTGCTTAAGTGAGGAAGTGTAAACTGTGTAAGGTAATTACAGGTTGCAAAAAAAAAAAAACCTGGCTGGGGTCTTTTTTCTTTGAAAAACCTCCAAAACTGAGTCAGTACTCATTCAGCTGCAACTTACAGACCCCATCATGTACTAAAAAGTAGATCTGAAAAACCTCCAAAACTGAGTCAGTACTCATTCAGTGAACATGCCAGTCAGTTTTACCTCTAGAGTGTACTGCTGGAGGTTGTGCGGCTTCCTGAATCTGACATCCTGAATGTAGTGCGGTTGGCAGCCGCCAGCGTAGTATCTGTTATCGAGCACCACTCCCTCCAGGTTACTGTTCAAGATGTTGATCCTGAGAAAAAAGCACATGAGCAACAGCATCTACGGCTGAACAGATTGATTTGAAAGAAGCAACATCTTTACATGAATAAGTTTATAAAAATATCTCACCCACATTTCAGCATAACAGGAGGATGACTCACCCTTTGGCAAGATTTTCAATTCCCCAATACTCCTCAGTCTCTTGCCTGCAAGGTTTGGCAACCCTCTTACAGCCGGCTTCATCTGACATGTCCCCGCAGTCATCCTCGCCACTGCACTGCAGAGTTCTGTGAATACAGCGACCTGAAGGAGAGAAGAGATGTCTGCTTTGTTAAGTAAGGGTCAATATCAGAAATACAATCACACGACATACATACAGCTTTTGTTTTCACTAAAAGTTACTCATAAATATTGATACCACAAATAGTTAAAGCTTAACAGGAAACAGCTAACAATTAGCAAGCCAGCTAGGCTCAGTCAAAAGATTAAATTAGTGGGTTTGGATAAAATATTTATTACTATAAACCTTGGTAGAAAAGTCAGCTTTTTCCCAGCCTCAGTCCAGTTTTTCCAAGATCCTAAAAGCATACGGACAGCTTTTAGTCTGTATGCTATGCTAGGCTAATAAGCAGCTGGTCAGGTGTTAAATTTGGCCTCCTGACATGACAGGATGAATTTGAGATGATCTTTCTGAATAACTGTGCACTAAAAGCAGAAACGTGTGTTTGCCCCAAATGTCAAACTATTCACACGTGAAAAAAAACTCCTTAAGATGCAAAGTCTTGTGAAATCTCCTCTAGGAAATGAAAATGACTTACTTACCTTGAACACCATTTCTTAACATTTTTCATCTTGTGACTTGGATTTTTTATTATTTGAGTACTAGGGGCCATGCTGTGTGGTCTACAACACAACATTTTAGGGCTATACTTCTTTATAATGAAGAGAGCAGTGTTCTGAAGGATGTAGGTACCTGTTTGAGCACAGAGGAATCCTTCACATGGAGGTACACTATCACAGGTGTAGCGGGCTGGAACGTCACAGGCCTCCTCCTGCCTGCCATGAAAATTGCACGGCTGTCCTCCAAATTGAGACGGTTGCTCCAGTTTGGCAAAGCGATACTGGACAGTGGAGCGAGGCAAACACATAAACGGTCAGAGAAACACAGAGGAAGGCATGCCATTACCCAATAAAGGTGGTGGAAAAGCTGGGAAACCGCCCCGGGGAACTATAACAGCCGTAATCCCATTAGAGGGCTGTTTTCACTTTGTCATGTCAAGGTTATTAATCCCCACTCCTTGTTAAGTGGATGAGATGGAGCGCTGAAGTACATCAGCTGAAAGCCTTGCCAGCAGAGGAACTCTTTACCTCCCAGAAACACAGCCCACGAGGATCAAAATGTGGAGTGTCTCCGACTGCAGAATTTAAATCATCTGAGTAGTGTCTCCACATGAAGTGTTTGTTTACTGAAATCTGATTTACTCCACATGTTTTCATTTGGATGAACTTCACTGAAAAATTTGACTGGGTGAAATGTGAACTTTTGGCCACATATTTTGGTCATTCCATAAAAAACAGCATTTTTAACATTTCAAAATATTTGCTTGTTTGCTGGGTTACAGTAAAAAGTTTTAGTTATTGAAAATGGTTAAAATTTTGGAAAACAGATTAAATATTTTATGGTGCTTGAGTTGGATGGAAAGACTGCTTTTGTAGTTAAAGTTCATATGAGGAACTTTCAATTTAGGTTGATTCTGGTGCCCCCTGTGGACAAAGAAGTAGCCTACAACTTATCTCTTCAGTTTTCTTTCCCTGTACAAGTGCTATTTTATCACAAAATCCAATTATCTTTATTTAAACACTTAAATGTATTAGCCATTGAAATTTTTTTCCATAAAATTATGAAAAATTTTGGTTTTTTTTTAAGTGTGTGGTCAATTACTCATACTGACACCTACCCTTCCTGCCACCACCAGCACCTTTTGACATAAAAAAAAACAAACAAACAAACAAACAAAAAAAAAAAAAAAACAGACCATCTTCATGTGGATGGCCTTTTTGTTTTAAATAATCACTAATCAACTTTGGCATTAATCTCAATCTCTTTTTTAATTATCTAAAAACTCATCACAGGAGCTTTAGGCTTCCTATGGATGAATAAAGACACATGACGTTCCACAGTTTTTTTTTTAAGCTAAAAACATTTAAGGTAAATCTAGCATGTTAACACTTCTTTTGACAAAGTTTGTGCTTGAATCAGCTCATGTTTATCGGCAACTTCTCACTATTGCCCTGCATGCTATCCGTATTTTTGCTTTTTATGTCAACTGTGCTCAACTCCTTATGCAGCGTTTTTTTTTGTTTGAATGTTCATGTGTGCCATAGAGGTGCGCTACTGGGCTTTACCACAAGTAGACCAGTTGACTTCTATAACCACTAGCCAGTGCTGTAAACAATGGTCGGTCATGGTTAGTCTGTGATGTATAGACACTGTAAGATGACACACCCTGGCACTAGAATTAACACTAGCACCACCGAAATGGGTTGCGTGAACCATTTGCACAACAGAATATGATTGTATGCCTGTCTTTTTGTCTGAGGCTTGTCAACTTGATAGCTAGTAAAAACAAGTAGTCTTCTTCTGCATGTTGAACTTTTTAAAGCGCGTCAAATGCAGTAGAGAGTTTAACAGTAGTCATGTCATTTCTCATAGGTAACTGACATAGAAGTGTCATGATGGTGCAAAACAACAGAGCCCACCATTATCTGTCAGGTTTTATCATACTCACTCTTTTTTTCTGACATGTGTCGCAGCGTGACCATGCGCTCCACTGTGATAAAACACAGTCCACGGGATGCACCTGAGCCTGATCACCCACTGACCGAGCTTCACGGACAATCCTTTCTTCGTTGTTCAGTGCTGTGACTTCACTGTGGCAGGTAGATGAAATCAGATCAAAACAAATGGACATCAACAGACATGTTTTCAGTCTCTGGAAGCAAAAGCCCACAAGTTTCTCACTACCAGAGATCAGAATTAACAGTAATCGGCATGTTTACAGTGAAATAGTTATTTTAATTAACCCCAATGGAAATTAGGTTTAACAACCTCGGAAAAAGCTGTAAGCGATCTTTTTAACAGCCAATAAAACTCCTACCTTAAGAGCACCAAACTCAAAGTCATACAAAGTATACAGCACTGCAAACTGAGTGAATTTCTCTGTATCAAAAGCATGGCTGTGCGTCCTGACAGACTGTGAATGAGTGGAGGACACTATTCAGTTCTCTATGTAAACACACAGAGATCAATACTGGCCTGCATATGAACTCAGTGCGGTAGAGGTAGAGCTGAACACACAACACTGCAGACCTCAGCGCTGGGGAACTAATGTTGTCATGTAGGTCTTAACTGTGTGTGTGTGTGTGTGTATAACACAAGTATGAGTGGTTTGATGAAGCAGCTCACAATCTGGCAACCTGGATTTCTTTTCAAATATCATGAACTGTATCTTGTGTAACTTGTTGATCTTTGATAAATCCCAGGGTTGAAAATATTCTTCAGCTAACGTACGGCAGAGGTGGAAAGTTACAGAGAAGTAATGACGTTAATTCCAGTCAGCGGACCTCTGTGCTGGAATCAGCTGTTGTGACTTGTGACCTTTAAACTTTGCTTAACTTCTGTCATTTTGGATTTTATAGAATGGCACAACCCTATGACTCAGCTGTCTTTTTTTTTTTTACTCAGTAAAAAACAAGCAAACAAACACAAATCACTGTCAGCTGATTACGTTGTGCCAATAGCCTTGTACTCAAACTCTAGTAAGTGACTCACAACGAGCCAAAATAAATCAAATGCTACCATTAAACTGCAGATTTATATTGATAGTCTGTAACGTTGTTCGTCCACTGCTCAGGTATAAATTTTTGGAGGCCATGTAAATAGGTCAAAAGCTTTTTTGATTGCACAGAGCTACTTCTATTGCATTTGTTGCTTATATTTTGGATTGATAAAATGAACTATTTTAATTACAGTCCATTTACAACAATCTACCAAGTTACTACAGGATCAAGCATCTCATGAACTCCATACTGATCTCCATAAATATCACCTCTGACAATGACAAGCTGCTAAAATGAGAACAAGGCTTCAGATCATTCCCAACATGGGGTCCAGTCTTTCCTAAAGGGGTGCCAAAAGTCTCAGAGGGGACACAAGACTTTGTCTGTACATTAGAGCTAAAATCAAATGTGGATAGTTTGAAAACTTTTGCCAGTGGACAAAGTTGAGAGAAAAAGTTGTTGTTTTTTTCCTCACTTGTTTTGTTGAGAACATTAAACTGATATATCGATAACTGATATATATTCCTCAGAGGACTTTGGAGGCACTCTGCTTTTCTACACTTCAAGTTTGAATTACTGCTTTAGATTAATTTACTTTCTCAACCTTGTACAGCTGACAAAAAGCAGATGTCTTTAAGTTATTAGCTGTTCCACCGAAAACTGAATCCTCCATTAATCCGCTCAGATGGTTTCGATAAATTCACTCTCCAGGGCCAGTGTCGTGACTTTACCGACATCTCAAAACAAAGACAAAAAGTATGGAAAAGTTTTAAAAAATTGGAAACAAATTGCACACTCAGAAAAACTTTTTCCCTCCCTACTATATAATTCACTTTATGACCCTGCTGGATGTCTGAACCGCGTCAAACCCTTTCGTTGGAAAACCCCTTGAATAGAGTTTCATACAAGGTGGAGCTCTGCTTCAAACACAGTCAGCCTAAAAGGTGATGCAGTATTTTGTGATGTGCATGTTTTCTCTGTATAAAGGAATCTTTCACTCTGACTCTGGATACTTTGTGTACTTTTCCTCATTCAGTCATTTAGAGATATACTGAGCCCAAAGGGCACAATAGAGGAATACAAACATATCACGTGACCGCACAAAGTTTCAGTGTGAGGAGAGCAACCTCTGTTGGCTGTTTGTGTGGCCGTTAGGATGAAGGATGAGTGAGATTACTAAGAAGAAGAAAACAGGCAGAGAAGTGGGAATCACATGATAGTTTATTTGTGACTGAACAGTGGATGGATACAGTGTATGGGGAAGTCATAGACGTACAAAAAGTCCTTTTTTTCTCTTTTCGTGACACTTCTTGATTCCATAAATAAAATTTACAAAATATCTCGGACTATTTCTCATTTTTCTTACACAAGCAGGGGGTACAGTTACCGTTTGTTATTGTAAGCCTAGCAGTTAATAGTGATATCTCTATTGTTCATATTACATAACGTTGCCTTTTCCTTTCTCAACCATTCCTAGACCGTGGAGCAGACCTACAACACACCCAAGTGCTCTGATACAACAATGACCTGTTTACTGTTTACAAATGACCCAACAAGGAGAACAGTGACTGGACAACAGAAATAAACCTGATAAGGCAGAGAAATGCACTCTACTGTTGCTGAACTTGTGGTTATTAAGCCATTACGCATCAGCATGGGTTTATTCTGCTTATTCACTCAAGAAAACAAACAGAGATATGATTCTAAGAGGCGAGTTGTAAACAATGTGACTGAGCTGGAGATGTTGAATATCTAAAAATGAAAAAAATGAAAAAAAAAAAAAAGCAGGAAAGTCTGCCTTGCCGTTACAAAAAAAAAGTTTATTACGCAGTGGTAAGTTTGTCGACCGTTTCCTTTCCTTCACATCAGGAACAGCAGGCTTTTATTTTGAATGACCATGTAACACAGATTCACAGTTCATTTCTCACCAACCCAACAGAAACAGACATTTTCAGAGAAAGAAAAATGGCAGAAAAAGCAAAACAAACATCCAGACGTCAAAAAATGGAGGTGCTGGTAGGGCATTGCTTGAGATAAAACACAGGTAGTTGGCATCCAAAGAGGCAGAGAGCTATTTTATGGCACAAAGGCTCAGGTAGGGGGGACTGGGAGGATTCTTATTTACAAAATAGATGTTTGGCAAATTTTTGATTTCCACATTGATGCCTCAAAGCCATTTGGATATCTCTAATGACTCAGCGTCATCAACAAAGAATTCACAGCTTATAAAATAAGAAAAAAAAACATGTTTTTTTGATTTGCTTCAGGTACAGAGGGAAGCTGCAGAGAACAGTTTCTGCTCACAGCTGAGTCCGCTGAATCCACATTGAGTCTGTACATGCAAAATGGACGAATCGGTGGAGCAACACAATGAGAACATTTGGCAAATCCATCTGCTGGGTGCAGTCTTTGCTGGTGGCGGCTGATATACTGTAGGTCAAACACATACAGTAGGATGCTGCTCCTTAACCTCCTTTATAGGCTCCGATAGTAATCTGCATGGTCTTGGCTGTGTGACGTTTTCTCACAGATAGTCCACCCCAGGAGGGAGCAATCAGTTCCTTCCCTTCTCCTGCAGGTTTCAAAGATCAAGGTCACTTCCTGGTTAAAAAGGTTTTCTGTCTGAATGATGAAGCCAAACTCTGGTCGTCATGCTAAGGAGTACAGTACAGTACAGTACAGTGCAGTATGTGCCCTCTGGAGGAAAGCAGATCCAGGGATAGCCAGCTTGCAACAGGACTGCCAAAATATCTTTCCAAGGTTGAACAAACAGAACAAATCTGTGTAATCCAGCTCTGAGAGACGCTGCTGATCACAGTCACTCATCTGTCTCTTCTTCCTCTCTGTCCCATGAGCTTCTGTCCCGGCCCCAGGAGCTTCCATCCTCTAAAAGACAAAACAGAAGCATTCAGTGTACCTGTCATGAAGCTGCATTAGGGCAGTTACAACTCTGACCACCAGGTGGCAACATTGTGCCTCCCTTTTCATCTGGGTGACGCAGAGACGCATAATCACTGAAACACTGAACTCAACCAAGGCTCTTTTTCAGCCGGCTCAAACCTCTCATCCACAAAGAAAAAGAAGACACACTGACAAATGAAAATACAAAGCTCATAAAGAAACAGAGTGCAGGGTAAGACGGGAATGAGAGAGAGGAGATGAAAAGAGCAGGAAAAGTGGGTGGAATGAAACACTGTGAATTGATATAGTACAAAAAAATTAAGTGACAAGGGACTGTGAGATACCCACTCAGTGTCTGTTGTTCTCTAGCTGTCTTCCTGTGGACACGTCTGATCCTGCGGGGGATCAGGAGCTCCATCCGGCACTGGGGAGATCGACCTTGCACCAGCAGAGTCCTGAGAGAAAGGAGGAGAATGGATGCAGTAAAATTTCTATTCTGCAGGTGACGTTTTTTTATTCCCCAGTATGTGAGGGCTTTAAGAGTGCAAATCCGCCAAATGTTAAGTAGAAAAACTTCAGCGATTATTACGTGACACAATTACACCTTGTTATAAATGATCTAATCAAGACATCTGAATCATTTTTGCCTTTTATGATTAATTGGTTTGGCATTTCCCCATTTGGCTGTGTTAATGGCAAGGGTGATTACTCTACCCTGCTGATTGCATGTGATCTATTTGAAAACAGATCACCCAGATGACGATAACAGATTATAGCATCACAACGGTCAGATGTTAGATCGAATCCATGAATCTTATCGACAAGGGGTATGACCTTAAGGGGGGCAAGGCTCACCGATTGTTCCTCCTTGGCGTTGCTGGAGCTGCCCTCTGGGTCTACAGGGGAGTGATCTGTGGGGGGGTCACTTGCCTGGGAAGGGGGGCAGTCCGAAGACGAGCTCTGCTGAGGGGCGGGAGTGGATGCTATGGAGAGAGAGGAAACGTACATTTGAGTTAATATGCAAAAGAAGCAGTCAGTGGATAGTTGCCTGCTCTCTAAATATATCTTTGCATCAAGCTGGTATCATGCATTACATACACTAAGAAGCAGCGCATTCAGATTCAACAATGACCTTTAGTGAATTTCATCTCCTTGACTTTCTTTACCTTTCCACCTGACATCCTGTAACCTGTTTTATTTCAAATAAAGCTTTAAACATGGCCAGAGAAGACAGTAGGCTGCAGGGCTTTAGCACTCGTCCTCTGGAATAACCTTCCTGCCAGCATCACACACTGAAGGAAGATCTATGAATCACATCTTTTGGCCTTATTTTTCATTTCATTTCGTATTTATGAATATGTCAAACTGCCTGAATGATGTTTTCTAAAGTATGTGTCTATTTCTGTGGCAACTAAACCATAGCATTCAAAAAGTCAGCCTTGAAACCAGGTCAAAAAGCACTGAAATCTGTCAAATCCAAGACGAAATAAGCAACATTATCGACCAACTGAAGAATAAACTGTCACATGCAAATAAATCTTGAAACTCCTGTGAGAAATTTTTGAAAACAATGATGTCTCTTTATGATTCTCAAGGGGTGGTAGAGTTCAAAGTCACTAAGATTCCCTTAAAGGAACTTTAATCCAAGTAAAACTATACTGCATCAAAGACAAAAATTGGAATGTATTATTCAAGCTAAATACATGTACATTCACCCAACATCAATTTTTAAAAACTGTTCTATAAAAATCTAGAAACGTGCAGCAATTCAGTGTCCAATCTCACTGCAGTCGTGTTGAAATTACTACATATATTTTGGAATAATCCAAGAAAAAATACGTATTTTAAGGAAACTAAGTGACCATGGCTAAACACACTTCGGCTTGAAAAGCTTGCACAAAAACAGAAATGGGGAGAAAAGTCTTTTTCTGTCAAACTTATATGTAAGTCTGGTACCATCATTTGAATAAAATAGAAATGCACAAGTTAAACTGACTCATACAGTGTTCCCCAGAAATGAAAAACGTACTGTCTTTGTTCTTTACTTCAGAAGGAATACATTATCTCTCTGCTTTAGCATAAGTTTGACAGCAAAACACTGATTTTTTTTTTTTTGTCATGTATTTAAAAAATGAAAGTGGATTAAATTAGTTATTTTATGTATCAGTTTTGCTTAAACATGAAATAACCAATTTAAGCTATTTGAACAGTTAAAATTTAGTAAGAACATAGAGGATAAAAGGCTGCAAACAAGTGAAATACTCTCACATAAAAGCTGCTTGTCAGCTGGAAACATTTTGTCTGATAACGAATGAAATATGTGGCATATATTAAAGACATTTCTCAGTAATACGACAACAGTAGTGCAAAAGTACTCGTGTTTTTCCTGAACACTACACTTTTCTGAAAAAAAACTGCACCTATCCATCCCTCAGTGTCTATGTGTCCTGAAAGCACATGAGCATCCACGCTCACTCAGTGCCTTCCTCCCTCCCTCTTCTCTCAGGCTGCTCTGTGCTGGACCAGACTCTGTTCTGGGCCTTCCTTACTCTCCCCTGACTGTTGGTGTCTCAGTCCAGATGTTTGGATCTCCATCCTCCAGGAAATCCATCCTCTCTTCTTGACTACCTCTTTCACCTTGTGTGCATGTTTTTCTTGTAGGTAACCCCCTCTGTGTGTGAGTGGATGACATGCTTGAGCTTTGCCTCTTATGTCTTTATGTTGTCTGTCCTCTTCTAAGGACTCCGTGGTGGAGAGGGTGGTCTGGCTCAGGTTTACTTGGCAGAAACTGTAAGTTTTTTGAGGTTCTCGAGGATGAATGTGTTTTTTTGTTTTCAAATTTGTCATCCTGATAGTCAATACTATAATTTTACAATATTTACACATAACCTAACCATAACCACATAAGTTTTCTGGAGGACTTCTCTTGTTGAAATTGAAAGTTTGAATCTGAGGGAGCATACTTAGCACAAACTGCGGTCGATTTTATATGTTTAACTGTTATGATGTGACTAAAAATCAAACAAAACATCCGAACACAGCAACACACAATTTAACATGATTCCATACTATGGGATATGGTGTTCAGCAATGCAGTGTAATATGATCTAGTTTAACAAAACAGGCAAGAATAGTTATTTTTTTTTTTATGCTCATAGATGTGATTGATGATTCATTATGATAGAATACAATGTGCTGTAGCGAACTATATTGCAAACTATAAGAAGAGACAAGACAGGGCGATCGCTGTATTTGAACTTTCACGACAACTTTGTTTTGGTCTTTCATAATTTCCTCTATTGCTGCCAATTTTCTGAGTCTTTTAAACGTGAAGCACTGTCGTGGTTGTATGTATAGACGGGGCTACAATTCAATTGATAGGACAATACAATACAATACGATATTACAGGATAAGATAAGATACGCAATGATATGATGTTGTACAATCAAGGATATGAAATGATACAAAAGGATATGATATGATACAATGTAATATGATACCATAGGATACCGTATGATTTGAAATGATATGATAAGATAGGAAACGATACAAAATGATATAATATAATATGATCAGTATTGTACAATTCTATAAGATGTAACACCATTTATTGCAATAATGTAGTAGCCAAACCATTCTATACTCTACTATCAGATACAATATGGTGTGATAGGACGTGATAAAGTTTGGTATGATACAATACATCATGGCAAGAATCAATGCAATGGAATGCAACATCAAATGAAACATGACATTCACTATAACATACATTCACTGCCCCAAATGCTGTCATGTTTTTAGACTCCAGTGCCAGTGCTGATCATGGCAACAAATTCCAAACTCACGACAGTTGATGATAAGCAATAAGGGATCAAATCAGGTAATCACGTTCCCCATATTGGTTAGTGCGAAGGGTGTTAGATGTTACCATCGTCCCATCTTAAAGTGATAGATTACTAATAAACATGACTGAACTGAGACTGTAGGTCCTTGACATGCTTCATACTCTCTACATAAACAGATGATGGTTAAGTTACTATGAGTTTGTAGGAGGATGAGGTTAAAGAACACTTACGAGATTCAGTAGAGGGTGACGTGGATGTACCTGGGCTCAACGTCATTCTAGAGAGATCAAGGTCGCTACAGCTCCCTTCCTCTTCCTGGGTTGCAGCAGCTGATGGGGGAAGCAGCTGAGTGCAGACCAATGTGTCCGGTACACTCATGAGGCCTGGGGTCCCGCACCTGCTCGCTGATGCTGAACCGACGCCAGGTCCTACCCCTGCTCCAGCTCCTAATGAAGAGGGGCCCTCGCCTGCGTCTGAGTCCATGCCCAGGCCGTCCTTCCCCAGGCTGAGCTGCCTCTGAAGCAGGGAGGGGTCTGCTGTGTGCTGAGGGCTGGTGATGGCAGAGGAGGGGGCTGAGAGGTCACAGGCTTGGGGGCACATGGTGGTAATAGGTACCAGGCCTTGAAGCATGGCAGCTGGAATGGCGTGACCCCCAACGCCCACGGTCTGGGCTGGCATGTAGGCCGCCATGGCCGCCCACTGCTGCTGAGTGGCAGGGAAAATGTTGGCCTGGCTCCAGATGACCGGCTGACCACCAGGAAGAACCTGAGCCACCTGGAGGGGTCCCTGCACTGGGAAGGCCAGAGTCTGAGCTTGACCAGGAAATGGCTGCTGAGCCCATTGGGCTGCCTGCACTGGACCCATCGTCATATAACCTGGAATGGAAACACACACACACATGCACACAAAGATAAAGAGCATTCATAAAGAAAAAGGAAGTGAAGGATTTGAACACAGAATACATTTTGTCTCTGAGTTCAATAACACTATTTTCAAAAATTGCTGCATGTTCCTGTTTAAACTCAGCTGCCTTGCAGTCTTTGATGATGAAAGAGAGCTATTTAACACCAAACAATAGTGAAAAGGTGCGTTTAAGGACAGTTTTTAAAGCCTTCACAGCGTCAAAATGAGGTATAGGAGTTTTTCTTTGTCAGTGTTAACCAAGCCCGTCAGTCATTTAAGAAATACTGTGACTGGTATGGTCGTAGATTTTATATAATTCAGCATAAACATAATACCAATCAGAGCTCATAATTGACATGGCGATGTTGTACATACAGCATTTAAAGGTGGATGTTGCTGCTGCTTTTATAAGTAAAACCAATGCAGAAGTTCCTTTACCTGCATTTTTCCCAATTGCCAGTAGCGGGCAACTGCACTGGTTGCAAATACAGACTGTATAAAATATGGACATATAGTGATGTCATACACTAGCGCCTAAAGAAAAGTTATTTAGCCTATTGATGGCCATCGCCCTACTGACAATGGTAACTCAACCTAACCTTTGGTTGACCTAGCATGAGGCTAAGAGGTGGAGCTGAGGTGGATCTTACGCCTCTTTGCAAACAGCTACACAGTACCTGCCTCTCAGTCAAGTTAGCTTAGTCCCTTTTAATACAAAACTCACGAGTTAAAAACATTTCACCCCTGCACAGTGTCTGAGGACAGAGAAATGAGCTGTTCGGACTGAAACTGATTTGGACCCGGCTGTAAACATGTTTATTTTTGCTGTAAATATTGGCTTTTTTCAGTGGGTGCGTATGTGGTGTTTTTGCAGCCTTCCTCAAGAGTGGACACTTGTGGCTGGCTGTGATCAATTCCTTATCGGCTTCATTTCACAAGACTTGTTTACAAAAAGAGTTTGAATTGCATGAAACCCTGTGAGAAAAAAATAACCTTTTCTCAGCTGAGTGAACAACAGAGTGAATTTATTTCTGAATGATTTCATGGTCTCAAACACAAGTTCCAACTCTTTCTGATGCACCATGATGTGTATTTCGTAAATCATGGTCCGTTTTTAGTCAAATTAAAGGTAAAGGGGTTTTTTTGTCAAGTGTTCTAAGGACATGTGAGATGTAACTGTCTTCATATGAGAGATTTTTGAAGCTCATCAATGATACTGAGTATTTGAAGAGGATCATGGATGCTTCTTGCATGTTCTAGGCTGACTACAGTCTGACTGATTACCCTCAAGGATGCAAAACTCAGCACGGTGAATCAAGACACAACACTAAGCAGTATCTCTGTGGATAAAAGCACAAACACACTCCTTCTGAAGGTGTGTGGTCCTTCAAAATACGGAGATAAATCCACATCCTGCACAAATCTGTGCAAGGCTTTTCTCAAACTAAACATCAAAGAACAACATCCCCAGCAGCACTTTATTCTCTTTTATGTGTTGTATTTTGAAAAGATGCAGCGTGTCGGCCGGGGAAGCTACCTGACGGCACGGAAGTGGGGCTGAAGGGGGCGTACATCTCAGCAGGAGTGTGTTGCTGCTGGCGGCTGCTCCTGCTGGGGTCCAGTGTGTTGGCAGGTGATGGGGGCATCTGGGAGACACACAAAAATACACACAAACACAGATGTCACCGCTATCAATGTCACCTTAAAGTCACAGCTGTACATTTATCTCTAATCTGCATTTCAGTCGAATATTCAGGTACTTTAGATTTAAATGAAATGATCTAAAATTACAGATAACACATGATGATGAAATATGGATGTAATCTCACCGTGCAATACTTAAAACTTGAATCAAATATTAAAGAGTAGTAATGGTACTTACCGAGGGAGGAGTGGACATGTCACCGAAAAGATCAAAGTGGTTGATATTCTGTGAGTCACCATGAGGAAGGAGGAAAAGAGAGACACAAAGTCCAGTGTTACATCACAACAGTGAGATCTGCACGGTCATGAAACCTTTTAATTCATCTGCAGATAGGGTATGGTGGTTGCATGGGTGGAGAAGGTGTGGGGAGTGAAATCTATTCACAAAGGCGGTTTATGCTGCGAATGGCAAGAAACAACTATCCCCTCGTTTTCATTATCAGAAAATGGATCTAAAATGAATCTTTCATGGCTCACTATAATTGAGTGGGTAAAAGGCTATTCAATCCTTTAAAATAACCTCTGATTAGATATTCTTATGTCTGCCAATCAAAAGGGCCCCCCCATGAGGGCCTGTGCCTGCTTTATCATGCTGATTCTGCTCTCTGAGTGGACACACACCCACAGAGGAGTATGTGTTTTTCATCAAATGGATGAAAGAAGAAGCTTCTGGGACCACCAGACAGGGACAATACGGCCACCTTACCCTATAGGCAGACATGACCCCTGAACTAGCCCCCTTTGTGCTCCACTAGTGATACTTAAGGGAGACTATGAAATGGCAAAGTTGCATGAAATGTCTTTGGGGCCATGCACAAGCAGACAATGAATCACAGTATAAGCACAAAGACACACAGGACACACAGGATCTGCATGCTTTAAATAAACAGATACAAACATGTTCAAACAAAAGAAAGAAAAAAAAGGGGAGGATTTTGCAGCAATCTGTGTTGCCACTAACAGGGTGTTTATGTCCTCCTTGAATGAGCCGGGACATAGCACATTGCACAGTTTGCATGGCACTTTGGGACCATTGAGGGCCACAGAATGAGTCAGAATTTGGAAAAAGGTAAACATTGTACAGTGAAGTCTCTCCCTGCAGGCACTGACACACATCAGGGGAGCTTGAAGCTCTCAAAAAAGCTCCAACTGAATGAACAGACAAGCAGTAACACTTAGAGATATGGAAGCGCTGCTACTTATACCAGCATGGGCTGTTTGGGTGAGATAGTGAAGGGGGGGGGGGCAGTTTTTTATCTGTTTGATATGCTGAACAACAAGCACACCAACAGAGAGGAGCAGAGAAGCACTTTGCTAGAGCTGTTTTCAAAAGTTGCAAGGAGACTCTCTCTGGCTGATCGTTGGGTGAAAAATGCTTGAATGAATGTCTTTTTGTGTTTTAAAAGATGCCATAACTTAATCATTGTGTGGAGGTGAGGAAGTCATATAACCTGCCGGGATGAAATGTACATCAATACAATGATTGTAAAAAAGAAAAAAATAAATCAAAAAATCTCTTTTTTTTATTTTTTATTTTTTGCTGAAACTAATTCACCAAAAATACACGGCACACTGTTTTTGTCCGAGACTGCACTCAAGGTGGGAAGCTCGTACGTATAATTACACTGCAGTATTTAACATCGCAAAAAAAGAATTACAATTTGAATAAAGTGTCATGACTTTAAGAGCTAGCTGTATTTTAAGTTTAAAAAAGATCTGTAAATTACAGCTAATGTAAGAATCAATGATGACTCAGCTATATTATTATTTGATGATATAAAGTGACTAAAGTGTCTAGGCAATAACTCCTGCTAGCAGAAACCTTAGCTAAGAAGTGAAATGTTAACAAGGTTGATTATTCAAAGATAATGTTCACAAACATCCACAGTGTAGCTAACATGACTGTTTTATGTTAAATTGTAAGATAGGAAACAAACCCCTCACTAGCAGAATTAATAACTAGCCTAATTTGCAGTTATTATAGCAAGGGAGATGATTGAGAGTTAAAGTTACAAACATCAGCTGTTTTGTTACAGAGATAATATGCTGTAACACCTAAATGTATCTGATACTCCTCCATTTTATCTGTCCATCTATTTTCTTCTCGGTGGTGATCAATTGAGAAGCAGTGAAATGAGAATGATTGTCAACCTGGGATACATCTGTACAACATTATGACAGCTTTTCAGATTCCCACCCTGAGTCTGAAATCGAGGCTGTGTGCTGCAGAGTTGCTGCTACTGCTGAGGGAAAAGCTTTTATGAGTGTTTGGTGGCCTTGACTGAATGAAGCCGTGACTACACTGCATGCAGCTCATCCCAGCGCCCACCCTTCAACAAACCTCTCGTCCTCATCCTCTGAGGAAGACACAGCAGCCACCCCTCTACTCGTATAGTCAGTCCCTCCAAACTGGTTTTGTCTAGACCATCTGGTCCCGACATGCATCAGATTATCCACAGGATTGAATTTTGGATATGAAGTCTGCCCCTTTAATGTTCTGTGAAATTGCTGACAAATCTGACTTTGGTATACCAATCAATTAGTTTTATATCTTCAGGCGGACCAAATGTAGCCTTGTTTCATCATCACTATCACTGCAGAAAGCGAATGTAGACACAGACCCCCGTCTGACTTGTCCTTGGTTTAAAAAAATGTATTTGGGAGCCTGCTGGCTATAATTCAAGACTAAAAATATTAATGACAATCAAAGATTGTCAAAGGGGGCTTAAGGCACTTCCTGCAAGAGGATCTCTCAAGAGAGGTTTGTAAGGTGAGGAATAACGAAACAAATAATAAAAAATAAAACACCTACAGTCATGAAATGGCGTTTTGGAACATCATAGATCCCTTCCTTCTGCTGACTGGTTGGGACCTGTGTTGGATCGGAGGTCGTTCAAACGTAAGGAACAGAACAAAAACAGGAGCTGAAGAAAACTTAAACACGTCTACTGAAAGGAAAAGCTTACTTCATCAATTTAGTCCATTCTTATATGTTTTTTTATAAGTTATAGTAATTAGATTATGCTAATTCTAGCACTGTTTTGTTGAATCAATTCTACTTAAATCCATATTGATTGCTAACAATGCTTCAGGATGCTTGTCCTGAGATTAGGAACGACTATTGTTATTCTGCAACAGTGTGTCTCCACTGGTTCATCTGACACTATGAAGATGCCTCAGCACTGCCCTCCTTTGTATACTTCCTTCACATTAATTCTGACTATCTGTCACTTTTAACCTTGCTGCTTTTTACTCCTGCAAGCCTGTGACTGGTTAACTTTCCGTTACGTTTTCCCCAAGTCTATTGATCTTGTTTCATTCTAAGATCAAATGGCATGGCAAGTGATTAATCTCTCTCTGCATCTTTCATCTTCAGAGGAATGCAAGATACAGAGAGACGAAAAGAGAGGAGGAGGGGGCGAGAGAAAAGAAGGGAGTGAGATTAAACTATACCAGCAGTCCCTTGGGTCCTAGCTGGTCGTTCAAATGGTCCAAAGCTAAAAGGTCAAAGTATTTGATATAAAAAGGAGCTTTGGGTGAACTATCCAAATAAAACAGCTGACCTTGACTGTTCTGCTGTTTTTTCTGTTGTTCAAGTTACATTTCAGTAGATTTCAGTGAAATTATATTGGAAAAAATAGCCTTCAGCGTAGTCTACCACCAAACTGCTTTCCTACCCAAAAAAGAGCAATATATACTGTATATATATATATTGTATTCTGTCCAGTTTAGATTTAACTAATTGATTTCTGTTGCCTATTCCTGCAACTGCGAACTTGCACTACTTTAAAAGCACTCACTCAACAAAATATGCAGATGCTTATTTTGAAGTCCTTAAGACCAAATACGCTTGTTGCTGATGCACAACTTATTGTCGTACTTCTTCACAAAGAATAGATCTTTTTTTAAGTATTGCAGAGCAAATAAAGCTTTTATTCTCCATTAAAAACACTTAATTTTGTCAGCTGTTTATCGACATACAATCTCCTCCTATGATGACCTGTAGCTGCTTAGATGTTTGCCCTGTTAATCTTAAATCACAAGTTTTGACTCAAATCTAATGGTTTATGACTTGAACTTTAAATACTTTTTGTCTGCTTTTTTTTTTTTTCTCAAAAGCCCTTTATCTTCAGCCACAGAAAAAGAGAAACCTTTGTCTGATCTACTTCTAAATCTCCAGAAAATCCTCTCACCACAAACAAGCTGCATTTTATAACTTCTATAAGAAAGGAGCTACAGAGTCATGTTGTTAGTACTGTTACTATTATCATCACAAGGTATGAAAAGGGAGAAAAGAAAGGGGGGCAATGCTTGTCTTTGTACCTGATAAACGCTCTCCTCTGACTGGGGGCCACGGAGGGGTTCGTGTCCAGCCTCAAACACTATGTACTAAAGAACAGAAGTAGTGGGCGAGTGTAGAGGTGCAGAGAATAATGAGATGGGAAGACAAAGAGGAGGGTTGGCATATTAAACAGAGAGAGATACAACAAGAGAGCAAAACATGACGAGAATAAATGAAAGCACAGGGGAGCAAGGATGGCGTCGTGTGGGGAGTGAAATGAGATCAGGAATGGAAAGGGTGTAAAAAATAGGGCATGGGAAAAAAGAATGGAGGAGATGAAGAGAGAAAGAAAAAAGAGTGAGGTGGGAAGAGGAAAGAGCACAAGTATAATAGGTCAGGCAGTAGTTAAAGGCAACGTGGAGGTCTTAGTTAGAGGTCTCTTGTTTAACAAAAGTAATGTGATGCTCCATCTCAGACCTGCAGGTCTAAAAAATTACTTGCGATCGTCAAGCCCTTAAATCCGTCAGTCTCTCGCCTCAGAGTTGACATTAATAAATGTCTGTGTGAATCCCAAATTGAAGTTGGTTTGACATTTTGGGAAACAATGTTATTTGGTGTCTTGCCAAAAGTAAGATGAGAAGATTGACTCCTTACTTGTATGTATTTGGAAAATATGCAACTTGCAACCTGGTTAGTTTAGCTTAGCATTAGGGCAGACCTACCAGCCTTGCTCTGCTCACCTGTAACATAGTTTACCTACAAACCCAGCTGTGTGTTTTTCATCATATAAAACTCTGATAAAAAATAAAAATTAAAATATTTTTTCATGATATAATTGGACTAAAGAAAAGGAGGGGAGAGGCACCCCTTACAGAATGAATGTGATAAATGTGCAACATTTTCAGTGTATGAATAAAAACTGAACAAAAGTATGAAAAAGGGTAAATGACCTAGTTACTGTTCAATGCAAAATCTCATCAGCAGAATGAAAGTAGGTCATTGAACTGAGGCTCCTGATTAGTAAAGCAGTATCCTCTGTGAAAATTAGCAGGTTACACAAAAACATTATAAAAAGAAAAGAAATGAAAAGTTAGGAGGAGTTAAGACAGAGTAATGTAACATATAATTGTGGGTGTATTGTTGTTCCTTTTAGTCTATGATCTCTTCAAGGAATGAGTAAGTTTCAAGTTTTACTATATGTTGAAATTGATTTAAATAATCTCTAAGATGTTTGTAAAGGTCAGCATATCAGATACATGTTTGCAATATTTGTTGGCTAAAAGACGATCAAAACCAAAAACAGGTACTGCAACCAGCCTAACAAATAAAAAATTAAATGCTAATAATAAGCTTTGTGGGTGATGGTGGGCATATAAAACCAGGCTGGCTGTTTCTATGTACTTCTATTTTTTACACTAAGCTTGGCCAATTCTCTCTTGGCTCAAGCTACATCCCCACTTCACTGAAAAGAGAGTAGGACTGATCTTCTCAACAAGAAAACAAATATCCGTTTCCCAAAATGTCAAAGGAAGTACTCTGTTAAATTCATGGCCACAGTCTGGAGTTTTGTCAACCAACATCAACATAATCAAAGGCTGCAAATGGAATGATTTTATGCAAAAACACACTTCAAGAGCAAAGAACAGAGGTGATCTGGGAGGTGGCTGGACGTACCACTGAACATAGCATTCAGAGTAAGAGTTAGTGTTGTCTGTATTCAGTGAGCAAACACAGAGAAAAAGAAAAATCATGTTCAGCCAAATAAACACACAGGGCAAAAAACAGGGGGGTAACAACCAGTCAGGTGGGGTAGGGGACGTGTCTTTGGTAGAAATCAGAAGACTGACACAGATCAACTTAAAAATATGGTTTACGACACTGCACTGGCAAATGGGGGTTGAATGGTTGAACAAAACTGTCCACTCGGATGGTTTACTTTGTATTATGGTGGAATATCATGATCATTAATTCAAGCTGATCAGGAACTGGAGGAGATATTTGAATCAAGGATTATTAATTGTTGTCGATTTCAAGCTTTAAGAGTGAAAACAGCACCAGTGAAGCTGGAAAAGCATCAAGAACAGCAGTGTTTGGTTTCCTGCTCTGTGTGCCTGCAGACCTACCTGGTAAACTGGATCGTCCACTTCATCCTCCAGGATGGTCTGTGCAGAAGGTGGACAGAGGGCAGATGACACATTTTGTTTTCATGTATAAGACGTAAGAGAACAGAAAACTGATGTCAAACAGCACACAAATGTAGAGACTTTCAGATAACTTTACAGTGCACAATGAATTATGTTAAGATTGTTGCTATCTGGTCCCATCTGAATGTTAAGTATCTATACTGGTATAGACAGTAGGGGTGGGAGAAAAAAATTGATACAGCATAGTATTGCGATATGTTTTCTGCTGATATATTGTTTTGTCTCATTGACCGAGTAATGATTTTTTCAACTTAATTCCTAATATGAAGTCAAATCTATGATAATGACATCATAGAGCAGGAGAAGGTTAGTGCAACAAATATATAAAAGGTTCGCAAGATGTGCGTAAATAAGACAAACATAAGGGAAAGACAAATACTATAGTAGCTAAACAGTTGAAAATTGTGTATAAATCGCAGTTTAATGTATCGTGGCCCAAGTATTGTGATAATTTCAAGTGCATCCATCCTGATATGGGTGCTAAAAGGAAACCAAAATCTAGACTTGTATTGTATGTGATATTGATATTGGTTTGTGTAATGGTGGTGTTGGGGCTGCTAGCATTACAACTACCAGATGGCTGGGAAACTTCTACCTGTATCCCAACTCATTATAGTTTTGATACCCCTATTAGTAAAGATACAGATATCGGGGGCAGGGCTATGTACTTTATATTCATACTACTATTGTTAGGAGGATTGATACCAGTATTTGCAGTGGTATTTGGAGGGTTATTTGTACAAGTAGGGTGAAATTCTTGCTGTCATTTCAGGTGTCTTTTGGCACACTGGTATTTGCATCCATCCTGGTACAGATATCCCCAGTGGTCTGGTGGGGATCCCAGTATCAGCAGGAGTATTGGCAATAGTAAAGACACTGTCGTCTATATCTATATTGGTATCAATATCAGCACATCTTTAAAAAATAGTTACTGGTGCAAAAGAATGAATGAAAACTATATTTCTTTTAAGATTTGTAGGTATGTATGTTTTACTGAGACTGCGATTTGTGATATGGTTAATGCATAAACCCATACTTTATCTGTCACACACTTACAACTACAATGAAAAAGAGTGTCCAAACCCGTTGCATTGACATTAGAACTAGATTTTCAACATAGAAAGCAGTGGTACAGACAAACACAGTCTGTAATGCACTTCGGAGGAGGCTTGAAAGTGTAATGATTCCTGTTGTGTGAATGAGTTGCTGCCTGTGTAATAATGTGTGATCTCGCCTCCGAATGGGAAATGCAGTTGAGAGAAAAAAAAAAGCAAAAATGTGTTCTGAGTTTCCTACCTGGTAGACCGCCTGCTCACACTGTTTGTCCTTCTGAGCCTTCTTCTCCATCTCCTCCCGCTGTTTAATGTCGTAGATGAGCGTGAAGAGGTCACGCAGGTCAATGATGAGAGGCTCGGCCTGGGAGAAAAGGAGGAGGAGGATGTTGTAAATGAAGGATTAGATTAAAGACGAGACTCAGTAGACTCAGCCACTGTTTAGGATGTAACTAGCATTTAAATTTAGCAGACAAAAACAAGCAGATGCATGTTAAAAGTTGTATTGGTTGGTTTCCTACATTGTGAATTATAGATTACAGAGAAGTCTCAGTAAAACTGAGCTCAACAGTTTCCTGCAAGGCAGTGGTTCTGGACAGATCAATAGACCATTATTTTTTTATATGTCACCAGATCGCCCAAAACTACACACTGCAGAGCTACATCACAGCCATCTTTTTTTCAGCTTTCTTTCTATCCCTCTCTAGTTCATCACCTGATAACCCTCCAATACAGCTCCTGAGCTGTGGAAGATTGTCTCTGAGGGAATAAACACAAGCTGTCGACTGTCTTCATCTTAGCTCCCTTTAGATGAGACAGGAGACTTTAAGCAAAACATTTAAATCTTAATCTTTACCGAAAAGGTTTTTAATCTAATCTGTCAGTAAATGAAACAGGAGAACGCGCCAGGCCGTGCATATCCACATAGCTTTAATATTTAATTGTAAGACTTTTGTGATGGAATTACTTGGTCTCAGACCTCATCACATTAATGCAGCTTTGAATAATGTTCAAATCAAATGTCACTCTAATGGTCGATAACTTCACAGTCTGGAACTGCCTCAGAGGACCTGAGGATTGACTCGAGCAGCTCCAGCAGAGTGGAAAAGTACTCACCGACTGTGCCGTCTTGATGGCCACAAACCTGTGGTGACCCTCCTTCCCGCAGACATAACCGAAGGCTCTGTGGTCCCTGGTGTCCTTGGCGATGTAGCTGATCTCATGGACCGAGTGGTGATGCAGGAGCACCTGAGGGGCAGAGAGGTGGGAGTGTTAAATCAACAGAGGCCCCTGTGGATGACTTGGAAAGGTAAAACAGAATACCTACTGTATTTTTTTTTCTTTCCTCTGAAGATACTGAATGCAAAACATAGTGTGGTTTCATAGTGTTTTACAAGTACAAGAACTGTACACTGTGTTGGCAGGAAAAGTAGGTCAAAGCTACTTTAAACATCTTTGCATAATGTCGAGACAAAAGCAGCCAACCAACACTGAGGAAGCCAAGCTGTGTCTGACAGAGGGAGGAGAGATTGGAGGCTGTGCAGATCTTAATAACATACAGATATTTTCCAAAAGCAGAGACAACAAAAACACAACACTAATATAATCTCGTGGCATGATACTTGTTGTGTGCTGTTGCATCAGACTGAGTGGCAGACATCTTGTTGTTTGATTATTTATTCATGTCCAGCTTTGATCTCAGCAGGATTTAGACGTCTCTGATTCCAGCGATTGAAAAACACCAAATTAGCGATCGAGATTATGATAAACTTTTGATGTGTGAGGTATTTGCCAGTCGATGTGGAGAGAAGCAGAAAAGCTCACAGACCATCTATATTTACACACACATATGGAGTAATCCAGCTGTCGCTCAGGCACACCCACCTGCGGCTCTACTATTAGCACAGATAAGCTAAGTCACTGGGGAGGAGCTTTCATTTGAATATAAGCAGATATTCAGCGGGGAACGTCGGTGCTAACGCTTCAGATTAATGTAAAATACAAAACTAATATGACTTGTCGACTGAATTCAGCAGAGAATCATGTCAGCTTTACATAAAGTATTTTCTTCTAAATGCTCTCTGACGCTGCTGCCTGAGCTGAGTGATCCGCACTTCCACCATAATAACTCAGCGGGGATATTAAGTGTGGAGTGTTATTTACTGTCGGTAATCAGTAAATAAAATGAAGAGCATTAGGGGCATGATTTCCAAAACAACAAATGAGCTTGTCAAAAGCTGGTGAGCTGGTTGGTGGTGGCGGGAGGCTTAATGTTCTTATGCATTAAAGCCGAAAGACACGCCACCATCACCAGCAGTCGTATTAAAAAGAGATATGATCAAAGATGGGTTTTTTATTTTTTCGGCAGATAGACGATCGGGCGGGGGGGTTAGGGGTGGGGGTCGGCAGCCATGGGACCAAATGCTGTTGCGTAATTATCAGTTTAGCGCTAACGACAGCTGAGGTGGAGCCGCGGTGTAATTAGCATTAGCGGCAATGATCATTAAGGGGTGGAACTGAGTGCTAATTATCGGTTAGCACTGATGAGCAGAGTGGGCCTATCCAGCCAACACTATGCCCTAGGATGGGGGAGAGCGGAGCCCCCTCGATCATCCTGTAATGGAACAGCAGGCCTCCGAGTCCGCCAAGGGGGATGGAAGCCAGGGTGGAGGCTGGAAACAGCCCGTCTCATAACATCACCATAACATTGCTCACTGTGCTATCATTAGCAGGCAGACAGGGCCTGAGTGATCTTAAGTGGGTCCTCCAGCATCCCTCTTAATCCTGCTAGGGTGTGTTAAAACCAGTTTAATAGGGTCAAATATCAAATGGAGGACCTCTTATTTAACGCTGTCAGGCTCAGTTTCTATCAGCTAAAGGGCAAAAGCTGCCCCGAATGCCTGGTGTTGCTAGATTAGTGTTGATACTTGAAGGGGAATTTGGCTTCATGCAAATGCAGTGAGGAAAAGAAAGCATAACCTTGTGCATCATCTCTCTCCTGTGCAGGTATTACAGTTGTACTCATATGTCAACCTTGCCAGCCAGGCTTACAAGATGGCGGCCCTGGCAGCCGTTGTGAAGTGAACCGTGCTCGCCTGCCCTCTGGATGTCCTATACTTATACTGTAGGTTTACGGTGCAGCAGCTGGCAGAGGCCTCGCAGCACAGCTCTGCCATGAGGCCCACTCGCCTGACATGTTACTCACCCCTGATCTTTCACAGTAGATCTTGATCCCGCCGAAGGAGACCGTCAAGAAGACCCTCTGCTTGTGCTCTCCTTTGGAACGTGCAGAGGACGCCATACCCTGAAAAGAGATTAAAGGCAACAACGTGAGGAGATGAAAGGATAGAAGCTCGGCGTGAAAAGACAGTGAGCCTTTCTCTCCTCCGACTCAGGTGAGTGTGACGGGGGGAGTATATAGGGGTTATGAGGGTGACAGGAGTAACATAAGGTGTGATAGGACAGAGTGTTCTTTCATGTGCCTTTTCTTGAAGCTTCACTCTCAGAGGAATTCACACGTTCATATTACTGCAGCTTCCCCCCCGCAGCACCTTTCTTCCTTTTTTCTCCTTCTTTTCATAAAGTAGGTCTACCTCACTTCAACGTGACATACACAAGTGCGAGCTAACAACAATAAGGTGAGATTTGCTGACAAAATGGATCGTGCTGCTGACCGACCGGCTCGCTCCGACAACTTCACATAGTGCTGACTGAACAGCCAATTCCAGCCTTTGATGTGCGTCTTTCCCATGGACCTCAGCAGCTCCTTTTTTGTTAAATTCCCAACTCTAATAAAGAAACAATTAACATTTTCAACGTGCTCTGTTTGACACGACCTGTGTGCTTGACATGTCTTTCATAGAACAAAGACTGAGAGAGAAGAAAAGAGAGGGAGGAGAGGAGATAAGAAAAGAAAGACCTGACTGCTATGAAGGAACATCTTATAAAACTGCAGACCCTGTGATGTGTGACGACAAGTGAACATCAGCTACAATCCAGTCTTTTAAAGCTTAGCTAATATTTGAAACCCAGGCTATTAATCACTATCAAGATCTGCTTCTACGTGGAGAAGTCAAAGAAATCAAATCCATCCATCTTTGCGCACATAAATGTTCGTTCATATGAGAAAAAGAAGAGGAAAAATGAGATGGATAAGGAGGAGAGGAAGCAACAGGGATAAGGAAGAGATGAAGTGAGTGAGAAAGGGAGCGTGCGGGCGGGAGAGTCGATGGATGTTGTCAATCAGCCATCGGCTTCTCCATTTGGTGGATTAGTCCTCAAGGCAGCAAGAGGCAGCTCAATAGAGACCCCGTCCCCTCCTCTTTTCTCTGTCCAGATAATAGCAGGTTGGTATCGACTGCCCCATTGACTGTAACTGGCTGGTGGCTGGTGACTACTGGAGTCATATGGAGGGCATGGTGGAAATGTCAGATACAAGCAGTGAAAAAAGTTATTTATTGGACATACCATTTGGACTGGATAAGGGTGATGAAAGGCTCTGCCTTCCGGCCATTCTACTCACTTGGTGGGGCTTCCCACACATTTAAGCTCAAGAAATGTCTGCGAGACGATATTTTAAAAAGCCACGCATATACAGTACGTCCTATTTTGAAGAGGGATTTATCCCATAGCCACCCTCTGTTAAGATGCTTATGTGCAGCTTTTTTTTCCAACAAAGAGAGAGATAAGTATTTCCTGCTTTATACTTTAGAGCCAGTAAATACTGCTGGCATTAAAGAGGATACAGAATAAACTTTAGAGAGAAGGAAGTAAAATATTTCACAGTGTTATATAACGTTTGGTAATTGACTGTTGGCTAAATCTTGAACTAAATAGTCAAATCATAACAATGACATTTACAACAGGACTGTCACAATATTAGATTTTCACTTCACAATTATCTACCCATAAAATTTTTTAATTATCATCAAATTTACAGTTTATACGCCTCAGTGAAACTGACACTTCTCTAGAGAAAACGCTACCTCATCAAACGATTGTTTGTCATGCTTTTATTTTGATATTTTTTTCTGTTTTGTGTTATGTTGCCTCATTTCCTCTATTCTAAAACTATGCTTTTATTTTGAAGTAAATGCTACTTCTTGTACATTGTAAGTTACATAACCAAATGAAAACCATTAAAAGAACATTTACAATAGTATAAATGTTTGATTCATTAGTAATGCAAAAGGGTGAGAAAAGACCCTGATGCGATGTGGAAGGATCTAGTTCAGTCTGACAGGCTCCTTTTTACATGTTTAGTTAATGTTCTGAGTAATAGATGATGGGTTGCAAATATTTTTGGACTCATTAGACACCCGCAGTGAAGCCCCAGAGAAAAATCAATGAGTGTGTCTCCCCATTTATGCACAACACACAATCGTTTAAATGTCCCGACACGCTGACAGGACCAGTTAGATTCAAATGTTAGTAAAGGATGTGTGTGAAGTCCAAAACAGTCAGTCCAGAGAGTGGAACAGAAGCCCTCCTTGTTATAAATGATAATTATGAGAACTTATCTTCGACCTGCACTCAGGTAATGGGGGACTTAACCTGGACTCAACTCAAATTCTCCCCTGGGTACACAGTCTTGACTCAAACTCAAACACCGCAGACTCAAGACTTGAATCAAACGTGCACACAAATTTCAACAGAACCTCTGTTGGCTGTTAGCATGCCATGAAAGTTAACCAGTGTTTACATTAACAGAGCCAATCTAGATTACAGTCTAGACACATTGTCGAGCCTTCCCCTTCTAAAATCAGTTTTACGATTCCTTCAGACTCATATTCAGACCCAAAGATGTGAGTTGTTGCATTTTTCAATTCAAGTTCAAGGCAACATTTTTTTTCCATAACTGGTGTCAGTTAACCCATTATACAGAAACACATTTTAGTGAGGCATTCTTTCTTCACACTCAAATTTTTACAACCAGGAAAAACACATTTCTTTAAAAGCGATCACAAAACTGTCTGCGAAAGTTTGGACTAAATTAAGAATAAAAGGAAAACTGTGTGATTTTACTAGATTGGACTTTAAACTTAGGTCTTGTTCATATCTTTAAATTAAGTCTTAACTCATGTTATATTATTTATGTTATTGTGTTCATAATTACTTTAAACCTAATTAAGCCTCTGAACACTGTTGGTGTTTCATCTTTTATTGAACTCTGAATCATTCCTATTGGCTGATTGTTTTGGAAATTGTACTGATGTCTTCCTCCTATTTGTTCTTCCTCTATTTCTATTCTGTTTTTATGCTGTGAGGCACTTTGTAACTCTGTTTTAAAAAGTGCTGTATTAATTAAGTTATTATTATCATTATTACTATTAACTGCATATGTATAAAATGATTGGGGGTTCAGAAACAGCAGTATTGTGAGTTTACAGTATGTTCAAGTGTGCTTAAAATACAAAATGCTAAACTGTGTCATCCGTACTTACAAGTATTAAGACTTCTTTCCGACTTTGTCACGTACTTTAGGGCTTAATTTGACCTAATTTACTCGCAGCTTTCTGTAAGAAGCACGGGCTTTAACATTATCTGGGTCACATTATCACAGTTTGCATATGTGCTACAAGTAAAACATCGTGGACACTGTTTTAAAAATAGAAAACTGTGACTGACAGGAGAAGACATACAAAGGAGACAAATTGGGGGGATGGGGGTAGCGTTAGTGCTCCACAGACGTTCGCTAAAAGTGAGAATTTCCTAAGTGACATTCTACTTTAAGTCTCTGAAAAGGAAGCCAGTTTGCCTCCAAGGTCAGAAAATCTGTATGAATAAATGCAGAGAGCTTTGAGCAACAGTGAAAATATGGCAGCCTATTAGAGGGAGGGAAATACGGAGCAAAGCAGGAACCATTTTGCGAAAAGAATATAAAAGTAACCTTATGGTAGCCTTTCAGAATGACAAAGAGGTGAGGGATAATAAAGTTGGACTTTTATTTTTCCTGTCTGGTCAGTTCTTTACAGAAACCCCAGTGACTCATTTACAGGACAAGACAGTTCCTGTGACTCATTCAACAGACAATACAGACATGCCCGAGCATGCCGTCTCCAAATCTGCCTGAGATGAGTGAAGAGGCTCCACCATGTCCCCCCACATGCACACACACACACACACACACACACACACACACACATATAGACACAAAGACACACAGCAGTCTGCACCTTCAGCTTCATCATGGAGTCCTGGCACAGCTTGTCCCCACGCGCTGCTGTCACCTCATCAATCCCGATCAGCTTGGCCTTGTAGCGCACGCCATCTCCACGGAAACGCTTAATAAGCCCCGCCTCACTGCGGTCCTGACCTGCGGCGGGAGAGACGGGGAGCAAAGTGAGGACAAGAAATAAAGAGGAGAAACTGGAACAGAGAGTGATTACAGGAAACAAGGATGTGTGAGCTCTACTGAATCGTACAACTTTAGCATCATGCCCTGCTGGAGGTAAAGAGGCTACTTTGTGTGTGTGTGTGTGTGTGGGTGTATGTGTGTGTGTGTGCGTGCAATTGTGTGCATGTGTGTGGGAGTCGGCTGCTCTCGTATAAATATTTATGGAATAGGAAATGCAGAATGAATAGCAAATTAGCAGCAGCGAGCAAGATGGAAAGAAAATTGAACTCGAAATTGGAAATGAAGTTGGATAAAGCCAGCGAAGTAAATGAGAAAATAACTGGAACATTGAGAACACTCTGTCATCGTCGTTTGCAGGGCATTGTGGGTCATCTACACAGAAGCTAGGGTGAAGGGGTTACAAGGTGGCTGAGTGGGGTGCTCTCATTCCTATGTCTCACCCATGTCCGTTGTTCCCATGGGTGCTATTGGGGGGGTGACAAACCAGCTTGAATGGCAACTATTGAAGGGAATCATTTCGGTCCACTGCTCACCCATAATCCACCAGGCCCTCCCTGGGTGATAGATGTTAGGTGGGTGGTGGGATGGCGGTGTGAGACATTTGCAAATGTGTGTCTGGATGGCCTCAGGCTTTATAATGTCATCCCCTCCCTTCCCTCCCACCCACCCCTGTTACAGATTATTCAGTCTGTCAATCCATGTGGCTGTCCTGACACCACCTTGACACAGACACCTCTCTCATTTTTGTCTCAGCGGCGTCTTCAGTCATACTTTTATATTATGAGGTTGTGAGCCTGAAGCACTGTCTTATGTGTCTTACAATGTATAAAACATCCCCTTGTAACCTGTACGGGATTTGTCAGCCACCGAACACAGACTCCCATCGCATTTACACGAAGAGATAGCAGGATTGCAAAATCAAGGTCACTGGCACCTTGGAGAATTTAGCAGTTTTCAGTCTCCTTGCTCACTGGATTCTAGGTCATGAGCCTGCACAGTGCATCGGTTCACGTCTAGCATTTGTGCAGGGAGAGAACAATGTTTAGCATCCCTTAAAAAGACTGTCAAGATGCACTCAGACACCACAACAAGGCACCAAAACAACCATATTACAATGAGAAACGCACGGTGACTGACATCTGTACTACATCTTCCCAGAAAAATAAGAATATAATTCTTCTCTCTTCTTTCATCTCTGCAATTTTCCAGAGTAAAATCAGCAGTTCAAATGCGAGCACTTGTCTTGGCTACGCACACCCTCTCACTAATTCATGAGGGCACAATTCTCTAAAGGGGGAGGGAGGGCTTGACGATGCTAAAGTCATTAGAGTCTCTAAGCAAGTGAATGTCAAATCTGGGTCTAATTCAGACTTGTTTCTCTGCCAGAGGATAATGAGTCTTATATACAGCCTCTGTGTACCTCTGAACATTAACCAGACTTTTCCTGACATGCACATTGCATCCATGAGGAGAAATTAACACCCCTCCTTTGATGGCAAAGTCACTAAAAAGACGAACTGTAGGTTTCTGAGCATGTGCAAAAGAGGGTGGACTCAAACGATAATTACTGTCGTGCATGATTCAAACCATCTCTCAAACAGCGTCTGTAGTCTTTTCATACAGCGTTATGCATTCCATCCTGATTTTACTGACTCATACACTCTGTAATGTAATGTAAAATGCATGCTGCTCCAGTTGCATTTTAAACACGATCGGTCCAATTCAGTGCGGCTCTCTCAGATGAGCTTTAACCAGATGTTCTGTGCCATTTGTTTCTTTACATACAGCGTGCCATTTCCCCTAATAACACTTCAGGAGAGATTTAGAGCTTTATGCACAGATCCTCAAAAAAAGTAGGCCTTGCATACCAAATGAGAGTCTTGACACAGTGGCATAACTCGTGCGCTACGTGCTCTGGGTTCCGATGGAGGCAAGCGAGTGTGCTGTATTTGAAAACTAAAGAGCTGCAGGGCACACTGTTTCATGTTGTTACACACTGTAAGAGAGGATGAGGAGAGTAGGAGAAGGTGTGTGTGTGTGTGTGTGTGTGTGTGTGTGGGGGGGTGACACTTATTCCTCTGGCGTTTTGGATTTACAGCTATCCAAGGTTGAACGGTCCTCACAATAATTCTGGTCCCATAAGACTGATGCTGTTAGCGTGTTTTACAGAGGGCTACCCAAAGCCTTGTCTTCCATTTTTATGGGTCGGCTACATATCAGACAATACACCTGCCTTTTCAGAGTCCTGGTGGTCTAAGGTGAAAGCATCCAGGGTTAAACTTGTTTGTTTTGCTCTGAATATTCCTCGTCTGAGGACAACTTGAGTGCTACAAAATTGCCAAATCTTCAAAAAACAGATTTGATTCAACTCGCTGGACTTCAAAGGGCCTAAAATCAAATTTGACTACCATCTATTATCCATAAAAAGACTCAAGTTAGATGGATATAATTTGTCTGACACAGGGCTTACTCAAGTCTTGTCTGATGCTAGCGAGCATTAAAGTGGATTGTACCAGTGGACAACATGCCTGGGTCCTGATGGTCTGGGATGGAAGGCTTTTCGGTTTGAACCCATGAGTGTATAGCCCAAGAGTTTTACCAATATTCCCAGTAGGTAGAAATGCTTGTACCTTTTTGTTGTGTTGTTTTATTAACTTTCTGCAGCTGGTTTCTGCCAATGTTTAAGTACTATCTGTGTTTTGGATCATTTTGCCTAGCTCTGCTATGAACAAGATACCTCCCTAACATACAGCTCACCTTTTTCAAAATACGTAATTCAAAATATGTAGACACCGCTAATAACTGAGCTCTGAACCACCCTGGTAAATCTTAAGTCTGTGGGAAACACTGCTGAAAATTAACTGCTTTGTGCCCCTCCAAAATGGAAAAAACATGACATTATAGATAAATGCTGGCTGATATTTTTCAAGCCTAAATGAACCTTAGCTTGGCACCAAAATTGTGTTTACCGAAATAGAGTGATGATAAACGAAACTCTATTTTGGTTTAAAGTTCATGAATAGGTGCTCCAACACTTCCTGCCTTTTTAAATCTTCAAGCACATGTCAGAGCTGCTGTCTGAGGGCTGGACACACGGTGGTATAGGACTGGGATTTGATTTGAAAGCAGGAAATAGAAAAATGCAAAAAGGCATTTCTTTTTATTTTGCAAAAAAACAAAAAAACAAAAACCATGATATCAGTTCTTTACCAAATAATACAACCCTATTATCAGATTACTGCACTCACAGATAAATTTCAGTGTATCCAGACTGTATCTTCTATATAGTGTGTTGGCTCATCATAAAACAATACTGATACTGGCAGTACTGTCAGATCAACTCAGAACCAGTTACCTTCAGTATCTACCAGTCTAATAAAGACCTCAATGCCATTCAGTTGCCAAATCTTCAGAAGAAGATCTCATAGAGATTCTTATCAAATACTACAATCAAAACCTGACAGCCAGGCCCTGAACCAGGACCATGGAGAGAACAATTACTGTTCGCCCTGCTCCATACTGTTTCAGGGCTTGTCTCTGATCACTGTGTCGCTTCCTCCTCCTTGCCACACCAGAATGGGGACAGCGAAAGCACAGATGGCAACAGATGGAGAGTCAGAAGTGCCCCTCCAGATATAAGGACTTGGCAACAGGAAACTTTTTGTTGGGGATCCGGGCATCAAGGCAGCTTAACCTTTGAACCTCTCTGAGTGTGTATCTATGTCCGACTGTCTCTTTCCGATGATGTCCCTGCCTGCTGGTGGGCCACTCGTAGAGCTTATTACACTATAATGACAGTTTCACCAATGCATGCAGTTATGATTTCCCCCCCTATGCAGCGTGTAATGTTAACTATTATTTTGTGCATCTCTTCACAGGACATTTGTAATGAAAACGATAGGTACGTCCTCTCAGCACAGGGGGGGTGATGACTTACGGCAGCAGTAAAGAGAATAGATGTCAGAGGAAGGCAAATCTGTCTTCGCCATCTGCCTCCCCCATGTGCAAAAAAACAATTTCCATAAGCCTCAGCAAACACGCAGATACACACTTATAAACATTGGTAACAGCGTGTGTTCTCTGGTCAGGCAGGGGCAGGTCTAGACTCTTCTTGACCTAGAGTGACCGAAATGGAGCACTGACTTCTGCTGGAGAGGGAAAAAAATGATCTCCAAATGCTGATTATTTCAGCTTCCAATGTCTTGAGAAGTGAGAGCAGGGCATAAGGGATTAAGAAAACACAAATATTGAGCTTCACTTGCCTGCAGATGTCTGATTATGAGATTTCTAAAGAGCTAAATTATCTTGAGGTGAACATCGGTGGTTGCCAGTATTACAGATGATATGTTCTTCTTTGTTTGCGCTCTTCCCAGACTGTTTTTAAGGCAGACAAAGCCCATTAACTCCAATGGGGAATACTACTGGGATTATTCATACAAATAAGAATGTGTAAGTCCCCAGAAATGATGTGCTTTATTTGTCAACATGCCTACACGTTCTGCATTTGTATGCAGTGAATACAGAGATTACATATCTGTGTGGGGGACTTTTCTTATTTAAATTAGAGCAAAACAAAGATGCTATATATAAATCTTCCATGCATAACTATTGAAAGACCCAAAATGTTCCTCTGGAGAAGTCCTGGCATTAAGATGAGCAGAATTGAAATGCCACAAAAGCTACTGTGGGTTGATTCCAACAATCTCACCTTTAACAGAAAGGACAGCCATATGGCGCTAACATACTGTCATTTCAAGGCTGAATATTTATACCTACCTACACCTTGTCTCAATCACACAGAAGGATAATAAAGAGGCAAAGTCATTCCGCCTCTGATCCTCCCCGGGTAGTAACAAAAGGCAGAACAGAAGGTGGCAATGTGTGGCATCTAAACCAGCAGCGAGGACTAGCGCAGTGTGTATGAACATGTCTGAGTGGTAGTATATCCTGCTTTTAATGTGAGTTTACAATGTGCTATCACACTCTGGGACAACAATATTATGTCATTTCAGGTGCAATGTGTAAGTAAATAGCCACAGTAATGGTGGAACTGTTGTGTGTTGTAGTGCTGTTGTGTAATTTTTCAGAGGTTCTGGGGTGGACCATAGACTGTACAACAATAAATTACATGACATGAATAAGGTATTTTACCAGAAAATAAAGTTTCAAATTTAAGAACAAAGCCTTAAATTTACAAAAATGAAGTGGTAACATTCTAAAAATAAATATTTGATCGAAGTCTGCCGTTGGCCTACATCTTTTTTTTTCCAAAGGGGACCACTGGATTGGATGGACCTCTTAAATAACAAAACACAATCATTTGACAAAACAGCACAGCACTGTGAAGTAAAGTTAAAGCAAAAGGCTGAGTATTACAGATGGTTATTTGTGGATCCTATATTCAAGTTAGACTTCACAAGATGCTTCATAGTCCTCATTTTTGTGCAGGCAGCTGGCTGCTCTGACAATATTCCCTTTCACAATAACACACAGGCTGATCATCAACTACAATTTACATTTTTTTTTTCTCAAAGTCATCTATTTTCCCTCTTTAATTTGGCCCTGATAACTCTGTCATAGATAGGACAGAAGTTCGGCTTTAAATCAAGCTAAACATCAAAGAAACTTTTGGTTATAGTTTCTGTCTTTGCAATTACTTACTTTTAAGCTGATTTATGCCCAAATATTTCATTTCTGGAAAGTTTAATTAGTTATTTGATGCTAATAGTTGGGTTTTATGCCATGACTCACAGCTGTGTTGACATATGCAGCTCTTGCGGCACTTTGTGCACCAGATTAGCAGAGTAGAGGAGGAACAGTGAGAGAAATTTAACAAAATCTAATATAGGAGTTATTGAACACTCAAATCTCTGTCAGGTCTTTAATGATGCTGGAATTTCTCTATCTGACTTTGGCACAGAGCAACAGATGAAAATTTTGCTTTAATGACTGATCATTAAAGGGATCTATACTTCCTCTCTGATTCCTCTTTAATAGCTTTACATGATTTTCAGATCAAAAGAGCCTACTGTTTCTCACTTTGGTGTATTAAAATATCACTATTTCAGCCTCTGTCTGAAATGCATCGTTTTAACTGCTGTCTCGCTACGGAAGCTGTTCTGGCCCCGCCCCCTTTTTGTGTTCAGCAGAGCAGCGTTACCATAGACTGTTATACTATGGACAACTTGGTTTCGCCTTCTGCCAGTATACAGATTTGAAGCCGAGAAGCTCTGTTTTTTTTTTTTTTCTTCTCCACTTCCTGAAACCAACATTGCACAGTAGCGTTGTACGCATTCGGTGGGAGAGTCGCCAAAAGTCGCTGTGTAACTGCATATCCCCTGGGTGAGCTACACAATCTTCGTATGTATCTGTATCAAGTGTCAATCATAGAAAACATGAACCCCCTAATAACTTTTAAAAATTGCGCTGTACAGAAAAAAGAGAACTTGAGCACAAACCAGTCTTACAATAACTACATGTCAACATCACAAGCAGGGGGGAGAAAGATTTATATTCTGTGTAATTAATTGTTCACAGCTCCATAGGGATTGTTAGAGGGGGGGGATTTATGACCTATACTGCAGCCCGTCACTGGAGGGTGCTGTCCTTGCATTGGCGTCACCCAGAGAGGAGGCAGATGACGTCCATTCTATATACAGTCTATGAGCATTACCCCGCTTTGCCATCGTTGTCACCTCCCACACTGTTGAGACAGGTTGTTCTGCTTTGCCGGGAGCACAGATGACCTAGTGAGAGCCTATTGCGATGAAACATTCTAGTGAGTCTTGCTGTTTCTACGTCCTGTTTTGAGCAGTTTTCATTTGTTTTCTTTTCTTGGATTACTCTGTTTTTTTTTAGGATTACGACAATATATGTTTGCTTTCTGATTTGAAACTTTGCATACATCTAGACACCAGACATTGTAACTTTGCAGTTTTTGTTGTAAATGTGGCAAAGCATAACACCACCCCTTTAAGCTGTTACAGACTAATGATCAGCACTGTTCACATCGTCAAGGCTGAGGACAGATCACTGAACTGCTGCAGAGTTACATGCATCCAGGTATTGATGTTTGCAGACTGATGATAACAGGGGGATCATTCTCTAGGTGGAGGCTCTGCAGTGCTATTATCACATTTTAGTGTTCAGGCAGTGCATTGCAGAGTTTAATAGGCACAACAGCAAATAATATGGTCAGAAAATGGAAACGCTGTTTGAGAAGGGTAAAATTGTGAGTATTTGCACTGTCTTTTACAATCGCTCCAATGTCATCCGTGCAGTATGAAAGCTGACTGGTGATTTAATCTTCTGTTTGCTTCCCTGCCTCTTTCTGTGCCTGCTTTCTGCCTCTGCGTCCTTCTCTCGCTCTCTTCCAGTGTCTTTCTGTCCTCTACTCCTTGTCTCTCTTTTTGAAATGAATAATTTTTTTGTGCACAGATTACAGTGGGAGAGCAACAGTTGCTATGGAGATAGAGTAAAGTCATGCATGTAAAGCAATCCTGTTGATGGATAGAGGGGAGCTTTGGCTTTACTGTGGCAGGCTGAGTTTGCTGCAGTTAGATTTGATTTTCCACATGTTTTTAAAAAGAAGTCAAGAGAGCTATGACACCTTAAAAACTTAACGTTAGATGGTGTGGGCAGGATCACCCTAAATGTACGATAAGGAATCCAATCTCTCGGTGAATTACCAGAAAATCAGCAGTGCATGCATCAAGAGTAAGACTGTGACTGCACTCAATTTCTTTATTATCAAAAGACCAAAACTGGGGGTTAATTCTGTTTACTTAGAAAAATACGCTCACATTGCCAATACATCAGGTATAGTAGTCACCAATTGAGCACAGAGGTGAGAGAGACTTTTGATTAGATGAGATTTGGTCACTTAATGTTCCCAGGGAGATGTTGGAGATTTGTAGGCCTATATTTATCATTCAAGTGTAGTGGGATAGACTTTATAAAGGCAGTATAAATGTTGTGAATCCATTCTGCAGAGGGAACGGATAAGGCTGATGTGAGGACACTGAGCAGGGGAAGACTGAACCATTAACTAAGGTCTACTCTGGAGATGGTCAGCAATTTCGTTAAAGTACGTGACCCATTACTTGTCTCATGAACACATCATTTTCTAGCTCTACTTGTGTGGACAAATTAAACTTCTGGGCAAACATGTAACATGGACAACTATTTACATACTTTTGGTAAATGTTGAGGTTTGGCTTCGGTGAACTGGATGTTCAATCCTCCATGATAAATATTTGCCATCCCATGATAAATACGATAAATGCAAGTTAGTGACGTAAGCGTGAGTGATGGACTCGCAGACATAGTCCATACTGAGCAGAATAACAAACAAACGTGGCCAAAAGTAATGAAGAAGACATTTTTGAGCAGCTCATTACTAGACGAGGCTCCACATGAGGGATTTCCTTCAAGATTGGGGCTTAGATGAGCACAATCAGGTCTGCCTGACATCGGACAGTGGATCTGCTGCTGTTCACTCTGTGCAATAAGAGTTTTCAACAAATGTTGAAAATGTTTTTACATTTGAGACTTGTTTGATGTCATTAGTTTTCTCATAACATACCACACAAACTTGTGGTTAAGTATCTTATTTGACCACTCCAACTGGTAAGTGCCATCCAAGAACAATGCTTGTGGGTGTCTCATGACAAAATTAGTCAAAAATATAGACTGGAATAATAATATTTTTTATCGCGACTTTTATCATTATCACCAGAATGGCAAATCTTACTGTGATAAATTTTTTAGCCCGTATCGCCCATCCCTACTTGGGATCATGTTTTGTGTGAAGAACGTACTGTCGCTGCAATAGCACAGTAGAACCTAGAGATAGATTCACAGACTTGAACCTGCTCTGTCCTTCACCTGCTTCCCAACCACCACTGGCTGCTGAGTGATAGCTGCATGCATTAAGTTTGCCACATTTCCATTTATATGGATCTAAATAGCATCTTTGCTGGTTGTGACAATGGTCCCTGCAGCACATGTGATTAACATGCTAAAGTCAGGAGCTGATGGCCTCAGCTGATAGCCCCCCCTCCAATGAGCTGCATGGCCACGTGTGTAATAGCCCCCTTGCAGCGCTCTCCCCTCCCCTCCCCACTTAACTCAAATCAATGGGCGCTCCTCCAGCCTGCCCATTTATCTGACCGCACCGACAGGGCCAGTGAAACAGCCACAGAGGACCTGGCCCCGCGGCCCACAGATCAGGATTTACTAGACTAGCTAGAGTGGCTTTATTCATGGACGGAGAAATAAGGGAAAAGAGGCAACAGGGAAGCAGCCTCGACTTTAGTTCTTTCCTCCTCCAAATTAATCTCACTCTTTCTACCTCTATATGCTCCTTTTTCCTTCTATCAACCAATTCAATCCCGTTTCAATCTCCCAGTGAATGTTCGGAGAATGCCTCATCCTGTTACATCACTTGTGCTTTTCATCAAAGCGACAGGGTGTGAATTACCATGTCCATGACACCTAAATCATGCCACTACCAAAACCCTCAGGCTACACAGAATAGCTGTTTCTACATCTGGATCCACGGAACGAGGCGGGAAGCCTCTCTGTAGACTTGACTGAGTGGAGCGTCTCTCAGTGTAGTCCAGCGTTATTTAGCTCAACGCAAACATGACTAAAGGTTAAGTTCACAGCCTGCATTTGTTATAGGACTGCTACTTCTCATTCTGTGTGCGCAGTTTATATACATACCCATGTCACTTTTGAGTCGTGAATACTCACAGACCCTCGATAAAGCTGGAAGTTTATGTGAACGTGAAGAGGAAAACTACACAAAAATCAAGCAGGTACATCGTCTTGGAAAAACCAAGGTGTAGTAGTGGAGAATTTGCTCCTTTATGCTTGGGAAAACCACATTGAGTTTGTCTGAAAAAGAAAGTAAAATATATTTAAACAATTAAAAAGCTGTTTAGAGACTGTAGACCAACCACTCATGTTACCATAAAAGCTTTACAGGCTCATCTATGCTCTGTGTCTGACACAGGTATGGACCGAGTTTCTGTCCATACTTTATGTTATCGCGTTTTCTGCATTGAAGCATATAGGATTCCAGGATTCATGGGAGCAGAGTGGCAGTGCAGCTGACAGTTTAAGCCACACCAGCAAAACACAATAAAGAAAAATTGTTTAGAAAATGGTAAATTTTTAGAGGGGAGTCAAGCCATTTGGATAAAAATTATAAAACAAAATGTGATGTTACCTTACCAGGCAGACACCACATATCTACAACAAAACTGTTAGGTGGAAATAAAAAAAGAATTGATGTCAGTCAGACACCAGTGTAAAAGAAGTGGAGATCCTTGCAAGACCGGTTTGTTCAAACAACCTCTAGTAGATGCATTGTGTTATATCCATTCAATGTAAAGGATGTGTGGGAGTGGGTGAACATAGTGACAGTTACATCACTCAAACCGAGGGCTGAATGATAAATCATATAAACATCACAGCTCATCTACAGTCAGTCATATCACTGGATGCTTTATTTCTTTATTTGTGTCACATGACTGTAAAGTGCGAACAGTCATACTATGCTGCTGTCATCCCAGATACCTTAAGTAGCAAATAATAAGTTAAGCAATATGGATTTCCATAAAGTGTTTTCCCACTCCTCCTGGTACTTGTAAATATTGTGACCACTCATATGACCTGCTGTACTAACAGGAACATGGAGTGTTTACTTTTTTGAGTCTACTCTTTCAGTGCACGTGCATCACAATGAGGCGGTAACCGTACACAGAAAAGGATGCTGAGTCTCAATTCAACTAAGCTGCTATCACATGGCTTGTGTTTTCATACATAAAGAAGCATAAATAAGCCTTCATGAATGTTCTCTTTTTTATTCATTCATTCTTTCACAGCCTCACTAGTGTACCAATGTGTGATTTTACACAGGGTTGTGGTTTTGCAGGACAAGAAAAGATTTTGCATCGCAGGAAATAGTGTGACATCACATAAACATACAAAGCTGTGTTTTGTCCCATCAACTCTGTTGTTTACACAGATGCTGTTTCGCCTCTGTTATGCTGCTATTACTCCTGCTACTGGCTCAGGGGCGGGACTACTTAACCCTGTACCCCCACAACACACACTGAACTGAACAGAGATGTAACACTACAGTCTGGGACTGTTAGTGAAAAGCATTTTCACTATCCCTTACCATGTTCTACACAGGGAATACAAGTTATTCCCATTAAACCTGTGATAGGAGTTTCCTGATCTAAGGAAGTCTGAGTGAAGCTTTTTGTACATGAGTGAATCCTAAAGCTAAATATGGAGCCTCGTCCTAGATTGAGAGTATGTCAAAGAGCCTTGAATCCCGTGCTCCTTCATATGAATATTATGTGTCTTTGAATCTTTTATTTCCTTCTTACTTTTCTAAATGTCGCTTCACCAATCACAGGAAAGATCCTTCATAATCTGACAATACAGCATCATCAATGAAGGATTTTTATCTCCCTATTTAGTTCAGTGTTTTTTAGCCCCATCCAAACATGACTATAGGGTCACAGCTACAATTTTTCTACGTTGTCCTCTGTTGTGAGCATTTATCACAATCCACATGTCTAACATACATCACAAGCCTTACACTCTGCATGTACATATCTGCTCAACAGGATCATAGAAACAGCTTCATCAACAGAATCGGACTTACCTTTGATCCTCCTAGACTCCCTTCGCTGGCTGGTTTTCACACCCGGCTGGATCTCGGCCTCCGCTGACATCCTCCACTGCTGAGTCCCTCGTCCTGCTCACAGCAGATCCACCATGGGTAAGCAGCACGCAAGCTAATCCTCCCAACTCCCAGTGTCCGATTCCCACCACTCCGGTCCTTCTTACTGTTGCTCTCAGGTGGAGAAAATCTCGTTGGAATCCATAATGAGATGTCTGGTACTCCTCAAGAAATGAAGATCCAGCACTGCTAACTTTGCTCCGTCACTTCAGGCCCATGGTGTTCAAGTATTGCATCAAAGAACACGTGAAAAGATGATCGAATTATGAGCCGGGAGATCCTCTTGAGAGCAGCGTCAGATCAGGTTTGACATCTTCTGGAGTGTACCTGGGTTCTCTCCATGAAGGTCAAGTATCACATGGTCCACTGTTGCTCTTTTCCGAGTGTCCGCCTGTTACTTTGCAGTAATTCCCCCCGAGGGAGACCTCAGCATTGATTGAATGAAATATTGTTCTTCAGAGTAGGTCAGGAGTGGATATTATTCTTTGGGAGAGCACTTCAGATGCAGTCCGACAGCCCATCACAGTCACTCACTCCGAGCACTACAGGGTGAAGATAGAGACAGGTATGACAGTCAATATTAAACAGGGGGTGGTGGAGAATTAAAATGACAAACACATACCCTTAGAGCGCTCATTACAATGTTAATCTAAGATACAAAATAGCAGGCACAAATTCAACAAATCAACAAAGATGTTATTAAGTCTTCTAGATCATCAATCCTTAATGAGTGCAGCAGTGCTGTTCAGTGCCCACCCTCGAAGGAGACCTGTGGTGAAATATCTCTCGTTATACGTACAGCTTGTGAGTAAATGTAGAACATTAAAGCATGACCAATGCATCTGTTAATGCAAAGTGCATTTTCAGGAGATGGATGGTAGATGCTTCCAGCTCAGGCCGACAGCACAAGAGGAGGGGAAGCAGCAGAGAGCAGTTAATGACAGGCTGTTTCAAAGCAAACTCTGGTGGAAAGCCTGGCACAAGTGTCCATAAACTGGAACCCCCACACATTGTGCTTTAATGCCCTTGAATCATCCACTGCTAACACTAGGGCCGTGCCAAGCTGGCACAGCGGCTGGCACCGCTTCTGTTGGCATGGTGATGGGCCATTGTTGGAGAAAGAGGCCTTCAGCCTCGCCCGGCCTGAAAAGAGCTGCAGCACATGGAGCACCAGGCACACGATACCCCGTGTGACATTGTGTGACATTGTGAGAGGTGAGTGTGAGGATATGAGTGTGATTTCAGGGTCATTATTCATTAAGTTTAAGATTTTTCTCAGTTTTCTTCTGAAACTGAATCTGAGAACAAGACGAACAAAAGGAACGATTGTTATTTTTGTGACCAGTTATCAGCAGAAATAGGCTCATCTTTTTGATAGCATAACACAGCCAGTTACAACTGCTGGAAAGGTTTTGTTCCATTTCTCAAAAATCAGTACCTCACATACGTACACAGTCCAGTACAATGGGTTTGGGTATGAATGTATTCTGGCTTGCAAATTTGCAAAGACAAGGACAGAAATTAGCTTTATTGGCTGCTACGCACATGATCAACTGTGTGGCATTAGTTTGTGCTCTGTACAATAGAGTCCATCCTGCTGTTGTGGATGTTTTTATCATTAGATTTCTACAACAACCCTCTACTGACCTTCCTATTTCAACATGTACTCCAGAGCTCAGGAGATGAAATACACCCGTACTGCATGGATACAACATTTTCTTGGAGTGTCAGAGTCAGACAGTTATAGCAGCCAGCTTGCTTTTATGAGCACTACTGCATTAACACTTTCCCCAAACACAAATAAATCTTGCTCTAGACCACCTTTTCAGGTGGACTGGGCCCTACAATAGCTCGATGACTGTTCATACTGTGCAAATGAACCCAAGTTTGGGGTCAAGTGTCCCTGAGCCCAGACCGAATCTAAGGAAATTTATTAATGGCTTAATCAACAGCTTTTGTTCTCCCTGCTTAGTTCACACAGAGATAAAACAGCCAGAATACCAAATGTATGAACGTTAGCTTCAGACTGGCCTGTGACAGATCCAAGATCTCAACAAAGCCTCAGTTTTTATTGTAATTTTTTCAAACCTTGTGCATTTATCTCCAGTTGCATTTTTGAGTAGCCATCCTGAGCCAATGACAGAGCAGAGGTATATAAAATTACAAGACTTCCCCAAAGTGAACAGCAATATAACTTTACAAAAGCAGTGTCCTTATTAAATCTGGATAATCCACAGACCATCATGAGAGCAGTTTTTACTGGAACTACTTTATGGTCCCAAGAAAGCTATTTAATAGGGATTGTGGATTATCCACAGTAAGTGGGACACTGTCTGCAGATAAAGATGTCATGTTGAATATTTTAACTTTTTTTTTTTTGTATTTTTGAGCTCCATGGATGGCATTCTTCTCAACAATCCTCTGTTGGTTGCTGTTGTATTAACTTGAGAAAACCTGGGTGGAAAAACCAAAGTGATGTTACGGCACAATTTAAACGCAAAGGGATTGGTTTTTCAAGGGTTTCTGCAATCCAACATGTCCGTCCATACTGTTTTACCAGTGATAAATCAAAATTTAAATACAAAATTTGTACGATCAACTATGAAGCACTGGGGTCACAAATGGGCTATACGGTGATAGAACACTTGATCTAAATGTTAAATGCAGTTTCTCTTTTGCACTTGTGGTTAAGCAGCTCTTCCTGGTGGACAGTTCTCTTTTAAACAGATGCATTATATCTATGAGCATTACTGCTTATACAAAAGAAATTGATCCATGAAATAGTTTCCCTCCAGCCTCCTCCTCCTCTCGTAGACTTGTCCTTCAACCCTCCCATTATTCCACAATGAACTGTGAAGTTGAGACTCATTTCATTTCCTTGAACAACAGCTCTTTACAGTCGCCTCATCACCACCGGCTCTCGTTCGGCACAGCTGTCTAGACCATGTGTCACCCCTCGTGTGCGCTCACAAGGCAGATAGAGTTTCCCAGGTCTGCACACACAGGAGCCATCTCCACAGAAGCACTACTCTTGAAGGAGCCGTGGAGAGGCAGCAATGGGAAAGGTATTTTCCATGTCACAAAGAGCCTTATCACGATGTAATTTTCATTACCGACGAAGACGATATGCCTCATTGTATTAGACGCAAGAGCGATTTAATGTGATGTACGGCTGCTTGTCAAAACCAATGCTATCTAGGTCACCCAGACTCTCCAATCTGCTCTGTGTTTTAACAGCTCCCAGTGTCTCTTATGATTTGGGTCAGAGTTAACGAGCATCACTCGTCTCTGCGCGACTCCCAACTGTTAGGGGATGTCAAAAAGCCCCTGACAAAAGCCACCCTTTATTTATTAATTTGTTCATTTTAGTTCTACCTCTCTCAACTGTAAAGGGAAAACTTCCTCGAGGGAAGTCGGTTTAATTTCTGCTCGCTTTTGCTTATTTCTCTCCATCAACCCACAGCTGTCTTCTTCTCCATCTATCTTTCTTTTTCCCTCACAAATCATCTCTGGAGATGTTTGTTTCCTGCTTGCATCAGAGTCTGAGCCCCATGATCGGATTATTGAACAAGAACAGACCCGCTGTGAGAAAACCTGATGTATGGCAACTCTCTCTTCCTTAACATTAAGCACATCAATCATGCACGCCATTGATTTCCAGGAAAGGTGTTTGAGTGTATATCCTTCAGATGGTGCAGTGGACCCTCTGGGTAAGTCTCAGGCATATCTTGTCAAGCTGCATCAGGGTATTGGGAGTAGATCTGTGATCTGAATCTATGTTTTTAGAGGAAACCAATCATTTCTGTGTTGTTTGGAGCGGTTTGTCAGAAAGCTGCCTTCATGTTTCGCAAGTTGAGGCACAGGTCAATCAAGATTCTTTGAATTAGAGCGTAAAATGATCACAAATCTAAATTAGACTGTGGTTTTAGCGCTCCATAATCAGTGGAGTTGGATCTTTGATTTATATGACAAAGATGTTTGGCTGTAATTTTTTCAGTAAGTGTATTAGTCTCATTTGAATCACCTCCTTGTGCAAAAGATTTACTGTTATGCATGCACGGGGCAGATTCCTGTTCTCTTGAAAAATGCATCTGCACCTGACAGTCTTATTTTTTGTGTGATATATCAGCCGGAGGAATATTTTATTGTGATATTTTTCATGTATGTAAATCACTTATCAGTATATCACATAGAAATTGTGAAAATTTCATAGTTTATAGTCACTGTATTAACAAATGAGATTTTCATGCTATAATTTTGTGTTTGCTCCATGTCAGGATAACAACCTGTCCGCTAAACATTACTGCTTCTAACCTGGCTATGAAACACAAACTACTCAACACAAAATTCCATGCTAGAGATGATTTTTTTAATTTGAAAATTTTGTGAGGAGTTTGTCATATTTATGAAACACACTGACATCCAAAATATACAAAAGCAAACAAGGCCATCACTGATGAGGTTGATCATTTTTATAATTAAATTTTGAATGCCTGGCAGTGGGACAAAGAGGCATGTGTCAACTAAGCAGCTAAAAAACGTAAAATATTCACAGGGAATGATAGATTTGACAGTCGAAGTCAGCAGGATGAGATTAATTTTGTAAGTAGACAGTACTTTTTAAAGTAAAAGCTAACACATTCATAGCCTGGTTCAAAACACTTTTTTTGTCTAAATAGCCAAATAGCCCTCACAGCAGCCACCATACTGAGAGTGAATTTTCTGTAACACTTGTCGCTTGTTTTAAAGACATTAAGGCGATAGATTAATGAATTAGAGGCACAGCTGACTTGGCTGTCTGGCCAGTACTCTGTTGCTGTTTGTGTGGAAGCTAAAGGCTCGCCAAACCAAAAGTTAGGTAGAATCAGCAGTAATAATATGGTAACGGCTGCCAATGGGCCCTTAAACTCTGCTTGAAAAAAATAAAAAAACAACAACCCTACGCCCATTAATTATACAACCTATGGTTACCCTACCATGACAAGTGACTCTTCTCAGACTGCTTGCAGGATGAATTTGCATTTAACATTACAAACAGTTCTCCATCTTTTATGGGCTTTGCAGTCGATGCACCTTGAACATAAACGGTGCACGTCACAATGTTTTGTTGCCATGGTGTCAACAGGCAGAGGGGAAATGTGCAGATTAATGTGAAATGATATGTGTGAATAGGTTGTCCCTGATGAGTTTTTTTAATTTATTTAACCAGGAAAGTCTCAGTGAGATAAAAAATCTCTTTTATGAGAGTGTCCTGGCAAAGGTAGCAGCAGCACATTCCAACGAAGTTACAATTTAGTTACAGGACTTTTAACAGAAATCATCAAACAAATCATTCGCAGTATGATGCATCTTCCTCCAAAGCCTTCAATCTGCTTTTAAAAAACATTCAAGGAGACCTGCTCCCCAAGATCCAAATTTTGCTGTAGGAGCAGCACACCTAAAACTCTTTTTTTACCCATTTCAAGATGCACTCTGGAGACAGACTGTAAAAGTAAGTCCTGTGTCTGGATCACAGAGCAAAGAGTTTAGCCTCCAACATTTTTCAAATTAATAACATTACATAAATAAGAAGGAAGTAAGTTGAGAATCACCAGTGATTTAGTCTATGAGTAGACACTGCTGGCCAGCCAACTCGATCACACGACAAACTGGGATAAGTTAGAGACTTCAGATTTGTAATGAACCTCAGAGCTTCATGGTAAACAGTATCCAGAGACTGACAGGCTGAAGGCTTTGATTTGATAAGTGCATGTACAGCAATAGAAAGCAGCTCTTTTCTGAAATAGCATCAAATTCTTTACAAGTTGCTGTATATGAGGCTTAAAAAACAAAGAGTCATCAACTAGGAATCACAGGCATTTGTAAGAAGATACAGACTCAATCACATCACCTTGAGATGTAGTCATAGACGGCAGGTTCAGTGGCTTTGTCTTCTAGTTTGTCAACATGTTTTTATTATTGTGAGTGAAATCCTTGATTTGATCAATCAGATTCAAGTATTTCACACAGACAGGTAATTTATACTGTAATTAAGTCTTAAGTTGCCTAACTGAATAAGTGTGATTCATTTACAATAAAAGATAATAAATAGATACACTTTCTTCTCCCTTCATGTATAACAAAATCCCCAAACTATCACTAGTTAGTTTTCAACAAAACGCTGCATTTACCTAAATAAAATGGTGAAAATTCCCACTGTTCCTGCTTTCGGTTCTTTATATGAATGACATTAATGCACGAGCAGAAGGGATTTTTTTAATACGATCATTTGTTTGCAATAAAATAAAGACCGTAATTTAGATCTATGATTTATGTGAGAGAGACAATGGGTTGTAATTTCCAATAATTATACTGAGCTCTATCTCCCTCGCCGCCTCTATAAATGAAAATGATTCATTAACTGTGATCAGGTTTGCAGTCATGTTTACCGTCTCTGAAAAATAATGTGTAATCACAGAGCAGGCGTTGATTTCTGACTCAGATTATTCTTGAGATGTTTTTTTTTTTCTTTTTTTTTCAAGTCTGTTGCATTTCCTCCTGAGAGCGGCGTTTAATAGACTGCACAATCAACCTCATATTGTGAGACAAGCCTCTGTGCATCTTGCCACCGATGAGTAACAAAGGTTGAACAGCCATCTATCACTGGATACGGCCAATTACACCTCCATTCACTGCGGTCCCGACGGTAAGGTGCAGTCTGTGCTCCAGCTTGCATGTGACGGAGGAGGAGGAGCAAGGAGGCTCTTGTCCTCTCGACCATCTCCTCGCTCCATCGCCAAGGCTGGCATGGCTCGGGGCCGGTAGAAACGTTTGTTCGACAGACCGGCTTTGGCACCTTGCGCTGGTCATCTTTGTTACAAAATACCCCCCAGCTTATTGAGCGGGACACCGCTGTCACAACCTGGCCAAACAAAACTCCTGTGAATCGCCCCGCTGTGTTACCTTGTGTCACCTACGGCACTGGAGACTGGTCAGCACCGCTATCTGCTCTCCATATCTAAATCCTTTAATCCCGGCTGCTGTTGTGATAGTTACAGCACGGGAGATTTTTATTATTCAGCTCTAATCGCAGCTTCACAATAAACAATAAGGACGTCTCATGTGGCCTAACAAGTGGCTGATAACCCTGGAATCTGAGATAAGGTTGATTCGCTTTTTTTGGAGCTAATTTAATTCTGACTTGCAGGCAGTTGAGTGACACTCTGGTCTTAAGGGTTAGGCTGCAATTCATTCACACGTCCATCATACAACTCAGTGGGTTCACCATGTTAAGTTTTGTCAAAGCAAGTCGTAAAACAACACATACTGTTTAATTTAAAATATTGATTTTGGACAGCAGCAACACTAAGAATGAAACATGCAAGTGATTCTGTAATGCATTTTGCAGAACACACATGATAGAAATCAACATTTGAGGATATCTATGAGGTCTCACAGGCGCTTCTTGTCCTCCAAAACCACCTTTGCTTTGTTGACAGGAGTGAGCAAGGGAGCATTTTTGATCTAGCATCTGACGGCTTGATATCACTAGATATCCCAATTTCTACACACCGTACCTTTAATGCTATTATAAGCAGGTTTAAATTAATGCTAATTTAGAGCTGTACTATGTGCACATTCTTGGTTAGTGTGAGAAAGCTAGCATTTATCCAGGACTACGCACGGACTAAAAATTAAAGGCCTACAGGAATGTCTTTAGTTTAGAACAACTTAGATAAAGTAGATGATCTCTTACTGCAAAACAGGTTGTTTAGTATGTTTTATATTGCATGTAGCTCAGTTGGCCTTAAAAACTTAGTGCAGCAATGACCATGCTTATAGCATTTGAAACTGCTAGCATCCAGATGTGAGGCTGCACCGTTTAAGTGTAGACTGTATAAGAAAATGGAAAGAAAAGCTAACCTGAGTGAAGCCAAAGCATTAAGGTCTCTTACAGTGCTTACTTCTTTATCGTAGATTTTAAAAAATGGGTTAAACTGGAAAATGTAAACATGCCTGATCATTTTTCTTTAACACTATGTCTCCAGATGTTATAATGCATAATTTATTGGTAGGTCTATTTAAAAGAATCTCTAAACTTTCCACAAGTGTCAGTGTCTGCTTCACATCTAAAACAAGATCTGCCCCCTTAAGTCCAAGAAATACCCCTGGACAGGCACTCAATTCACTGTTCTCTCAGCTACATATTCATCTTTAATGATTTGTTCATCGTAGCTAAGAAACACCTAAACAAATCTGTTACTTATGTGTCTCCAAACTAGATTAAAACAAGGCTGACATTGAGCTGGTTATGATAAGAGCAGAAAAACCATTGAACTGACATTGCTCTAGTTGTCAGGCTGAGGGAAGTAGGAAGTCAATGCGGACCTTGACTTTCTTAAAGTTATTCCAAAGAATAACCACTAACTATTGCAATCAGGGGAGAAAAACTAACCAAAATAAAAGTTGAAAACAAAGATGTTCCTTTTGTTGAACCAGCCTTTGCAAGAAATACAGAGAAACCCAACCACTGCTGCCGAGCAGCTGACAAAACTAAATACCTAAATACCTACATACCTAAAAACCTTCAGAACCAAAATGCCATCAAAAGAGAAGTCAAATGGCGAATTCCTTTGACGCTTTGGTTGACACTCTAACATGCAAAACACAGAGAGATCCACTCTTAACTGCAGAAAGCAAGTAAATCAATCAATCAATTTGTATTCATATAGTGCCAAATCACAACAAGGGTAATGAGTCAGAACCAGAGAGTATATATAAGCTCCCCACACCTGCTCCCAATCAAGCTCAATCAAGCTTACACACACACCTGATTCTGCTCTGTGCTGACTGCCTGACCAAACTCAGTGAGTGGGCTATAACAGGTGCCCATCACACTGGTAGCTGGTTACATCTTTATCGAACATAAAGCTGCAAACGTTTCTGAAAATAAGAAGGAAGCGTAGAAGAAGAGAGGACAACGATGCAGACAAGTGATCAAATTATCACAACTGTTACAGGAATACATGGCTTATATCTCAAGTGACAGACTAGATCAGCAATGGGGTACGGTGTGATGGATTTTAAAGTATGGTGTTTTACCCAAAACAAATTTTTCTCATTAACAAAAAAAAATGTTAATGATTAAAAAAAGGGCCCTTGATGAATATTGATTGTCATATTTTTTATAAATGAGATAAACATCTAAAAAAACTGATGTTCATTGATACCCTTTAGGCCTATGCCAAAAATGTAGAATACCTAGCATGGTAGCACTTTGACAGTGACCACTGCCTAGTAGGACAGTAGTTCTGCAGCTATTATAAACAAAGAAATATTGTTTATGATAGCTGTATTTGAGCTAATGTATATATATATATATATATATATATATATATATATATATATATATATATATATATACACTCACCGGCCACTTTATTAGGTATACCTGTCCAACTGCTCGTTAACACTTAATTTCTAATCAGCCAATCACATGGCGGCAACTTAGTGCATTTAGGCATGTAGACATGGTCAAGACAATCTCCTGCAGTTCAAACCGAGCATCAGTATGGGGAAGAAAGGTGATTTGAGTGACTTTGAACGTGGCATGGTTGTTGGTGCCAGAAGGGCTGGTCTGAGTATTTCAGAAACTGCTGATCTACTGGGATTTTCACGCACAACCATCTCTAGGGTTTACAGAGAATGGTCCGAAAAAGAAAAATATCCAGTGAGCGGCAGTTCTGTGGGCGGAAATGCCTTGTTGATGCCAGAGGTCAGAGGAGAATGGCCAGACTGGTTCGAGCTGATAGAAAGGCAACAGTGACTCAAATAACCACCCGTTACAACCAAGGTAGGCAGAAGAGCATCTCTGAACGCACAGTACGTCGAACTTTGAGGCAGATGGGCTACAGCAGCAGAAGACCACACCGGGTGCCACTCCTTTCAGCTAAGAACAGGAAACTGAGGCTACAATTTGCACAAGCTCATCGAAATTGGACAGTAGAAGATTGGAAAAACGTTGCCTGGTCTGATGAGTCTCAATTTCTGCTGCGACATTCAGATGGTAGGGTCAGAATTTGGCGTCAACAACATGAAAGCATGGATCCATCCTGCCTTGTATCAACGGTTCAGGCTGGTGGTGGTGGTGTCATGGTGTGGGGAATATTTTCTTGGCACTCTTTGGGCCCCTTGGTACCAATTGAGCATCGTTGCAACGCCACAGCCTACCTGAGTATTGTTGCTGACCATGTCTATCCCTTTATGACCACAATGTACCCAACTTCTGATGGCTACTTTCAGCAGGATAATGCGCCATGTCATAAAGCTGGAATCATCTCAGACTGGTTTCTTGAACATGACAATGAGTTCACTGTACTCAAATGGCCTCCACAGTCACCAGATCTCAATCCAATAGAGCATCTTTGGGATGTGGTGGAACGGGAGATTCGCATCATGGATGTGCAGCCGACAAATCTGCGGCAACTGTGTGATGCCATCATGTCAATATGGACCAAGCTCTCTGAGGAATGCTTCCAGCACCTTGTTGAATCTATGCCACGAAGAATTGAGGCAGTTCTGAAGGCAAAAGGGGGTCCAACCCGTTACTAGCATGGTGTACCTAATAAAGTGGCCGGTGAGTGTATATATATATATATATATATATATATTTATATTTATATATTTATACATATATATTGATTTAACCTGATGGGGACTTAAATGTGTGTTCTTAACATCATTGCAGTCAAACCAACAGTTGCTAAGACAAAACCACAGCTGTACATCTAGTAGGGCTGGGCGATATGGCCTCAAATCAATATCATGATAAATTGTGCAGTTCACCTCGATAACGGTAACTACTCCACAAGCTGTTCATCGCCTCCCACATCAACTTTGTCTACTTCAGCCGCCACTCCAGCCGCTAAAAGTTTTGAACCGTCCTCCATCTCCTGTCTTTCCTTCTTTGTTACGGACAGGATGGGGTGGAGTCACGTCTCTGACATAGGACAACATCTTAAAGGGACATGAGACCATAGCCTACCTACACACATCCAAAACCAACTTTTATTTATCTATTTTTTGACACCGAATACATTGACATGGGCAAAATGACATCAGTTATTGTAGTAAATTTGGGAATTGGTAAATTATCACCCAGCCCTAACATCTAGTGTCCTGGAAAAAGGCAAGGGCTAACTAAAGTCAATAGGATAAAAACTTGAAAACTGTAGATGCCCAGTATATTGTTGTCTCATCCATAGTTGAAACATTTGATTCTGGATGAAGTGTGGGCAGACATAATGACGTAGACATAGGGTTAGTGTGGCTTAAAATCAAAGCATGTTTTGAGCATGATTAGGAGCAGACTACAGACGACTTGATTGAATTGAGAAAATAACTGAGCCTTGTTTAAGCTGGTAAAAAAACTCAATAAAATTTACATAAGATAGAAGTAGAAGAAATGGGGGCAACTACTCTGTTAACATCTTACTACAACACTAAAGCATTCTTTTTGATTTGTGCGAGGCTTCATCTGAGGCAGAGCAGATATATTGCAGCCAAAGAGGGCGAAGGACCTCTCCTTTTTTCTTGTCCTCCTCCTCCTCTTCTTCCTCCCCGGCCTTCCAGGGGGAACTGATAGCCTCTGAGCTCAGGCTGTTCAGCCACGGCCCATTAGTTCACCTCATTCTGACAAGATGGAGGGCCTCTGACGATAGAACAGTCAAGTGTGCAGGGCTGGGAGGAGGCGGAGGACGGCGAGGGGGGAGAAAATACACACAAAAAAATTCAGTTGGGGTGTTTGAAGCGTTCTCATTTACTTTCTGAGCAAAAAGAGAGGCCTCATTGCTTCGGGTTCAACAACTACAGCTGGTAAACTAAATAAGCGTTGCCACACAGTTGCTTTGCTGTGCAGATTTATGTCAGTGGAGGCCTCGGAGCGGTGCACTCAGTTAGGCGTGGCTCCAGCTCGGCCGGGCTCGGCTTCTCAGAGGGCAGTAAGGAGCTGCCCTCTGAAGTGCTCCTGCATTATCCCTTTTTACCAGCTCAGCTGCAGGATAACTGCACCCAATTTAGACGGGGAAAAAAGCAAGGAGAAGATGCATCTGTGTGTGCGTGTGTGTGTGCCTCTTCAAGTCTGAGACATGACATAAATGAACAAATACGCTCTCGCTTGCACAGCACACGTCTCAAGATGCAAATATTAATGGGGTTTATTTTGAAAGTTTGCATTTCTTCGACTGCCTCCGCCTCCGTAACAGACATATTCAGGCTAATAAAGTGTCACTAGCTCCCTGTGGTGACGGTAAACAATAGCATGAAAACAAGAAAGCTCACATTTCCGTCTTTTATTTGTCTAATTCAACACCCAATACATAGAGAAAGGTCTGGAAACACGGCCGGTGTGAGGCTCCAGGACCTCTCTCAAAACAGTTAATTGGTGGATCTGTCTCTCCAAAGCACCTCCTCTAATGTTGCTCTGTGGCTTCCCCGAGGAGTCTTTAATTCACTGTTGATTTGGTGTGTTGTTGTGCTGTGTCCCAGCATCTGAATGGTGCGTTAAAGCAGGCTATTTACCACATTCAGTAGGAAGGATAGGAAAAAGAGAGAGAAGGGGAGCTGGGCCTGCTCCAGACAGCCTGGACGAACACCAGCCAATCTTTTCTCCTTCTGTCTCTTCTCCTTTCTTTGATATTCCTCATTTTTAATCTCTCAAGCCATTTTTTACTCTTTCAATTCCAAGTTCCCCCTCTCTCTCCGGCTCCTGTGCCCTCTTTTTCTTTGTCTCGCTCTCATCAAACACAATGTCTGTTTGTGAAAGGAGGTTGAAGCATGTTTTATTTTGCTGCCACCCCCTCCCCGGCCTTCTTTTGTGGGTTACAAAGAGGCTGTGGAAACCTTGCTTTGGTCATTATTTCATGCAGAGAGTAATTAATGAGACAATTAGGCTTTTTTTTCCCTCCCTCTATGTTCATTTTGAACCAAATAAATAGCCAAAGGTGTCCTCTTTAATTGCTCTACATGGGTCATGGATATAATTAAGATACGTAAGCAGCCTCTTTATGAAACCTGGCTGTGAATAACCGTCCTTCTGTTTGTTGCTCTGACTTCATTTGAGCTTCATGAGACACAGATTTGATTCAGAAGCCTTTTTGGACCGGCTTTATGACAAACATGGCAGAGATCCAGTGAGGCTGAGACAAAAGTTGTCATGATCAAAACCACTGAGCACAAAAACATTACCTGTAGTCTGAAAAGCGCGTTAATGAAGCTGAAGGAAAGCACCGAGCTAGCAGCCATTTCAAAGAGGAACCTTTTTGTTTTTCAACTTTTTGTCACACTGCCTGATCGAAGCTGTCGTGATGTGACAAACCAGCGCTGAGGAGTCGTTTTTCTTAACCTAAATGAAAAGCAGTGTGTCATATTTTAGATTAGCTGAAGTCAGACTGGAGTTTTCTTTCTTTTTTTATTTCTCATTGCTGTTGTTGTTTCAGCAACAAAGAGGCTGCACTGAGATTATTACAGAGAGGGGTCCTAAAATCGGAGAGGCATTTCTCTCTTTTGATGAAGGACGCCTCTTTTGATTTCTCCCACATTTATATTTTCTATTATGCTTAACACGAGCGGCACAAAATTGCTGCCACGCTGTGCACTTTAAGTCTCCGACTAATAACTGTAATAACTTCACTCAGAGGCTATTGTTTCAAAATAAGTGTGAAAGTGTTTGGTAAATGAGAACAAAATTTCCATGATTCCCAGAATTTCTGATTTGTAATTTATCAGATATACATGTTTATTTCAAGTTTATTTCGGGGCTTTCACGCCTTGTGCTTGTCTTAAAGATATGATGGTGGATAAAGTAGTAAACTGGGAAGAGCTTGTGGGGAAACCCCTGAGGTGAAGGGCCAGGTTGAAAGCAAAGACTGTATATACTACTAGTTCCATCTTCTGCCAGGATACGGATTTGAAGCAAAAAAGCTCTCAGTAATTCCGATTTTTTTCTCCACTTCATGAAACCAACATTGCGTTGGTAGTGTTGTGCACACTCCACCACTTGTGCAGTAGCATTGTGCACATTTGGCGAGAGGGTCGCTGTGATGACGCTCGGCTCTAACAGCGCATCCCCCCAGGTGAGCTACGCAATCTTCATACGCCCATAAGCTGTATCAGGTGTCAATCATAGGAAACATGAACCTCGTAACTTTTAAAACTGGAGTTGAAAAGAAAAAAAGAAGACTTGAACACAAATCAGTCTTACAGTAACTATATGTCAACACTGTTGGGGGGGGGGGGGGGGGGGGGTCTGTGTAGTAAATTTCTGTTCTTGTGGTGGCTTCATTCTGCAAGGAGGCAGACGGCGTCCATTCTATATACAGTCTGTGGTTGGAATCTAACCCGGGCTGTCCGGTTTAAGTGCTTTGACCTCTGTGTGTGAAACATGGGATTTAACAACCAGGCCGAATTGGGACCACATTTTGACAAATATTTGCTTTTACTTATTTTTAATCCATTAGCTCTCCATTTTCAATTCTTGAGTTCACAGTAGCATTCTTGGGCAAATACGATGTAGACAAAAACTGTGTTCAACATCTTGTTGAATAAAAAATGTGCCTATTTTCACTCATGAAACAACATTATGGGATATGAGTCATGTTGGCATTAAACACATGAAGCTCTTATTTTCGCCCTTTTTTATCGCCTGTCCTATTGTTAAGAGGCTGAAATGCTTCCCACTGTTTATGGTTCAAATAGTGTGTTTGCTGTTCGATGCAGAAAGAGCAAAGTAGGCTTGTAGAGCTTCACTGTAAAGCCGCTCTGCTAGCCGTGGCCAAAAACAATAGTGGAAATGTTCTGCAACCAAATCCAAACAGTAAAAGTTATCAGCCAACAAACTGAGACCCCATCCACATCAGTATGCTGATATTTCAGAAAACAAATCCTTTTGTCCTCCTGTCAATATGTAAGTTCACAAAATGAGATTTTGGATAATGCCTCCCGAAGTTTTTGAAAACTCTGCTCCGTCATTTTCATCTGGAAAGTAATAAAAGTTTGTGGAAATGCTGAAATAATTGCACTTGGCAGATGTTGTTTTTCGTGTGCATGCACCACAACAGTGGGCTTTGAGTTTATTGACAGCTGCTTGGTACTGTTAGACTTAACTGCACATTTATAAGAAAACCTTTCTGTTCTTCATCATAACACTTCAGAGCGAGATGAATCAATATATCACGCTCAATTGTTTTTAATTCCCCACTCCGTACACACACTTTAAAAAATACTGTTTACTCAAAATGCCACTCTATATGAATGCCCAAATATTCTTTAGTGATGTTTTGACAGTACTGATTGCACGTTACCTCAGGTCTGGCGTGCTTGAATAGATGTTTTCAACAGCCTCTGCTGTGAAGAAGAGGAGAAAGAGAAATATTCAAAAAGTTTCAGCAAAGGGTCAAGGATGGTAGTCGAACCAGTGACCATTATGATAAAGACTACAGTCTCTGTGCCTGGGGCGCTCAAACCGCTGGGTTATCAGTGTCCAGCAAGCCTTTTTAAAGAGCCATACATGTGAGGGTTGAAATAAAGCAGGATAAACACTTCTACACTTGTAAAAGACAAAATCAATCAAGAGATCAGACGTAGCACTTTGAACACAGCGAATACCAGAATGAACTCAAACTGAATCAAACTAAAAGTTCCTTTCGAATTGGTAACAAAAAGTTTATCAAAGCCAATTTAAGTGGTTTGTACAAAGTTCATTTTAAGGAAATCAAAGGAAAGAAAAAAATGGTACAGACTTAGATGCTCACCTTATTCTAAGGTTCATGCACTTCCTGAGGGACAAACTTGTTCAAGTACTGTATCCTCTGGGCCATTTCTTTGGTGAGGTTGAACAAGATTCAGATTTTGACAACCCTCCTTCAAGGAAACATCTTCCCATTGCTATAAAAACTAACAAATGGTTGAAGTTTCCTCTCAGACTGCTGCATGTGGCAGAAATATGCCTGAGAGGAAATATAGGGGTGATTGACACCACTTACAAAGGAGAGTTAGCATGACTAACACTCTCTGCTGTGATAACGCAGATGGGTTATTTGGTTTGCTTTCATGACTCTACTAGTTTCTTGCAGGCAGCTGAAGGAGCAAATCAAGCACAGAAAGACGTCTCTCTCCTTTTTTTTTTAAATATGAAATACACTCCAGTTCTCCAAAAAGCTGTAGTTTACGAAGATGTGATTGTGATAGCCACAGAACAGCTGCAAAAACACAAAGTGCTTTTAACTTTTTCGTCAGATCTCTTGAGATGTCTTTGTTACAGCTCAACTCTCCGTCTGTGTAGTAACAGGTTTGTCATAAAACTGTACTTTAAAAGAAACCTAACAACCCACACACTCTCTTACACTCACACACACACTGAAACTGTCAATTCCCCAGACTACAATAAAATATGTGAGGGAGTAATTAGTGAGTCTCTCAGCACACCTCTACGTCTCTCATTAATCTCTCATGAGTGATTAGGCGGCTGCGACGTATGGAGCAGCGGGAGGTGTGAAACTGGGTGTGAAACTGTTGTCATCTCATATGTTATCGCACTCTGGAGACTAGGAGGATTAAACCACGCTGGGCACAGCCCATTGGCAGCTAATCATGCCGCTAATGATAAGTGAAATATTCCACTGCCTCTCATTACAATGGCATCGCAAGGTCAAGATCTCACACAGATCATGAACACAAACAAGCAGAGAGGCTGTCGGTCTTCTGTGGTTTGTGTTGTTTTGTTTAAACCAACAGCAGAGGCCTAACACGGGCCTTCTGTGTGTGACACTTGATGGCTGATTAGAGCCCAACATCAGGGTGGTCTCATACTGTGACGCTCTGATGAGAAGTGATCTAAAGGGTCTTGTCAGCAGACATCACGCTGACCACTGCTGCTGTGCCAGATGCTCGCAGCTTCCTACAGCTCCACATCAAAACTGTGGTATCTGAGCCCCGCAGGCGACACTGCCAAAGAGATCGACGTTTAATTAAAAAAGGTACAAAGTTACAAATTGGAGCAGCTCAAATCAATCAACCTGGGCAGGCATTTCAGGAAAGATCAAGAGAGACTAGATTTTCAACTTGTCAGATTTTATAGACAGAGAGTGAAAGCCCCGGGAACACGACATCCACCACTGAGCTTTCCACATAATAAAATAGTGCCTTTTAAAGAGTGGTAAAGCCATATAGAAAGTATTAACTTTTTTTTTTCATCAATTGCAAATTATTTCCTTTAAATCTTCCAGATGTTAGGTCTGAATTATGCATTTTAGGGCTCAAAATTTATTAGACTTTAGGAGGACGGGGGTCCCATTCAAGAAGTCTTATAGGACAATGCTATGATTGCTCATCACAGACTGTAGAAAACATGAACATAATCTCAGCGTTGTCACCAGATGGAGTTTTGAAGCCTATCAATAACAGACGCCACATTGGAAAAGCTGACCCAACTTAACTTTTGATATTGAGACAAGTTCAAGCGAGCATTTTACCTCCTTATTAACAGCTACCCCTTTGTCACTCAAGGACTTACAACCTTACTATTTTCTGAGTTAAAAAAAAAAAAACACCCCCATACAGCTTGTGCAGACAGAGAAAGACATTCAGGCCAAAACCAGGCTGTTTATATATTAATTTTGCCATAAAGATGGACTTTTTGAATGAAAAAAATGAACAACTTTGAAGCTACTGTGAGGAGTTTTTCAACGTTTATATAGACTGAATTTGATATGTTTTTATGACATATGAAAGCAATCAAGACCATCGGCAACAAGACTGAAAGTTTTGATGTTGTATTTTCTCTCTATAAGCGAAAGAGTCTTCTTCAAATCAACTTAAGAATCTGTTCTGCTGTGGATTGTGCCAACCTGAAGGACCTTTTAAGGGTGTGACATCAATCCCACACCGAGTTAGAGACATGTGGTCCATTTAGTGTATTTTCATAGTTATAAAACAGCATGATGACTTCTTTATAAAATCACACAAATATTAAGTTCACTCATTTTTATAATGGATGCTTTAATGTGGAATTCTTACTATTTCAATCCAAATGCCCAGAGGCTTTAGTGCTTTTCAAAATTGCTTTTCCAAAATAAAGCAAGTAAAAAAAGTGAAGTATTATTATGATGCATTACAAAGCTAAGTTGAGAAATATATGGTTTTATCCAGGGTCAGCTCTTTAATGAGTCAACTCAGGCCAAGAGGTCAACATCTGGTTGAGACAAGACCAAATGGGGGCTTTGATGATCTGGATCCCCCCTTAAGCAAAGTACCGTCAAAGGGCTGCATTATTTCTGTTGAAATTATGCTAATGTGGAAACTCTGACTTTTTTGCCTTCAGGCTCCTGATGTATCTCAGGATTTCATATTTATTTAATTTGATACAATTTTAAGAAGATTAACATTTTAAAAATGCAGAAGCACTTCCAATTTGAAAAGTTGAGTTTAGTGAAAATTGTTCAGTGCTAATATCGACGGCCCTCAGTCTTGTAAAGGCCTGCTTGTTAGTCCCCTTCTGCTGGTTCTGTTTTGCTCCCTAGTGAGTGGGGTTTTTCCACACCTGGCAGTACCTGGTCAGTCAGCTTCAGTCTTCTTGTAGCTTGTTTTTTTGTTTTTTTTTGCACCATACAACATACTCATACACCCTCCACTCACCCAAGAACCAACACACTGATGCACACACCTCATCCTCTTGATACAGTTTGAAGTAATTACACCAAACGTTTGTACTGTCTAGTGCATTTCCCTTCTTTTTGTCGGGTCCTGTGAGCCGGGTCATGACAACTTGGGAGCTTGGCCAAAACACAATGTTTTTTCCAAGCTTTATTCAATATATTATAAAGAACTTGACTCAAGTTGGTGCTGGGAGTAAGTTCTACAACTCTGCATATGGTGTAGGTATGAAGGCTGCCTAATTATGGTCCAGTGATGATCTGCTTTTGTATTTCTTGCACTTGTGTTCTTGTCCTTTAGAATCTTTCCACTGCCTACGATACTGTAGACTATAACTTAAGACTACATAGATTGGGTACATAGAGGTACAGTCCTCAACTGTTAAAAAGCAACCTTAAGGACCATTCATCAAAAAAATAAAGATGTGGAATGTGGTGTCCCTCAAGACTCCGTTCTTGAACCATTATTATTATCACAGCTAACGTGCCATCCAGAAATACAAAATAAGTTACCATCATAATGCAGATGATTTGCAGCTTTACATATCACTATCTCCAGATCACCATAATACCTTAAACTCCCTCAGCAAGTGTCTTGATGAATAAAAGTGGTGGATGTCAGAAAATTCTTTCAACTTAAAGACAAAACAGAAGTTATCATTTTTCGTTGAAGAACTCAGAGACTCAAAATTGCTGCTCATCTTAGCTGCATGTCTTTGAATAACAAGAATGAAGCCAAAAATCTGTGTGTAACCATTGACAGTGATCTGACCTTGCTCTTAAGTATATAAAAGACAGACTTGGAAGCTATACGGCAGCTCGAATTCTCAGGTTCACAGACAGTGCCCTTTTAAAGATTCTGTATATGCTCCAAAGCAGGAGAAGCTACTTTCAGTTTTTATACCCTGCCAGAAGACCTAAGAACGACTTCAACACTGACACTTTTAAAAACAGGTTAAACACATTTATGTTTAACCTGTAAGGTTCATTATGTAACCTTATGACTAGATTTGTGTGTCTGTGTGTGTATGTGATTCTTATGTTGTGAATATGTTTTGAAAACTGTATTTATCTGTTTACTTAATCTGTATTTTGCTCTTTCGAATTGCATTTATCACTGTGATTGCTTTGCTGCTGAATGTGAAGCACATTATTTTTCTTCTGTATGAAATGTGAAACATGAATAAAGTTTGAATTGACTTGACTGGACGATTTAGAGCTTTAGTTTAGTCCAACATACAAGTCCAGTTGAATCAGTTGATTAAATATTTATAACATAAACCCACTGTGTGTTCTACATTAAATCATTTTCATTATTTCAATACCCTCATAGTTTCTGTCATACATTAAATACTTGAGTTTGGAGTGCCTAAAAATAACAAGCAGATGACGCTTTGGTTACTGTGAGTGGATTTTAGATGACAAATGATATGAAACAATATTAAGCAGATATGATGCATGCGAACACTTCCAAGTTGAAGATTTGGGTCTTCATTCAAATAGTTAGTGTCAGATGGCTGTAGAGGTTTGGAGCCGGAGAAACTCATCTCACAGCATTTTTTAAATGCTATTTATGTTTCCCTCTATTTATGCAGCAAGTGGCTTAAACACACATAATTTCTGTGGCTTCATAAAAAAAGAACACCAAAAGACAGCCTACTGGCTTATTATACATCATTATACACTCAGCTGCCATTTTATTAATAAACTAAGCTTAAACTAATGCATCCTACAGTCCTGTAATCCTGTTTTTATGAAGGTTTTGGATTTTGGTTGCAACCGTTTCAGAGAGCTGTTAATTCAGCTGTGTGGTTATTTTTGTGTTTATTTCAGTTGAATTACTTAAATGGGGGTTAATTTGTTTAAACAGGGTAAAATTAATGTCAGAAACACCAAAAGTTTTGGCTTAAGAGTGACATTACATTTGCCTGTTTCATTAAAAAAGATGCTTCATTTGTGTGCACAGAGCAAATTTCTGATTTTATTCAATTTTTGATAACCCAAACATGTAAATGATCTAAACAAGTGGGCTGTGCTGTGCCCAGAAAACTAAAAAAAACATGAATTGGGAGACGTGAAATCACATGAGAATTGAGTGTGATGGCTCCTCTAGGCTGTACTAAACATCTCAATTATCTCCAGGGGGTTTTGAAAAAGCTCTGCAGTGAGGGGCTGTGGCAGATACAATATTTAAATAGTCTGTCAGTTGAAGAAAAACCCTGCTAAGCTCATATTTGATTACATATTTTATGGAGCACAAACAAAAGCGCACGCACAAATGCATCTGAGCTACAGTAGAGCCAGGCTGCAGCACTATTATAATCGTCAGCCACATATGGAGCTGCTGTACCGCCCTGTGGGGAATCGGGTCGTAGAACGGGCCGACGGGATGAAACCAGAAAGACCTCAGTACTCAGAGGTGATGAATGCTCGGCTGCTTACGGAGCCTCCTGTAGTGCATCTGTGAGAGCAGATGAATGGGGAGGAGAGGCTGATAAATTGGGTCACACGAACGTAGCGTTTCTGGGTAATGCGGTGAAAAACGCTGGAGGAGTGCAGTTGGGTGGCTGCACGTGCCGACAACTGGGGCAAAGCAGCTACAACTTCACCGGATTTTCTTTTCTTCTGATCCTCACGCTCCTCCTGGCATTATTAAAAAGTTACGCCTTTAATTTGGAAAACACATGCTTGTAATTTTTTCATTTCCTGAAGCTACTTACTCAAAACAAATCCTGTGAAATGAAAATGAACTCAATTAGAAAACATATTTTCATAGTTTTCTGTATGATTTTTTTTTTGTTTTGTTTTTTGTGGTAAGAAAACTGAAAATAAATAATTATTACCAACCTTTCATTCAAGTTTCTGGTCTTTCGTTACATATAATCACAAGTGGTGTTTTTATTTTGCTGAAATCTTTATATTCAAATGACACAATTAAAATCAGCCCAATTTACAACTTTCAGTTTTTTCCACTGTATTGTAAGCCTGGTAACATCCACTTAAGTTATGTCTCATTAACTTTGAAAACAAAAAGTCCACAACAGAAAAGCTAAATTTTTAACTTGTGTTTCCTCATAGATAAAACTTTCAGGAGTCTTTCTTTTTGTTTGTTTGTTTGTTTTTGTTTTAATCCAAATCCCTTAATTTTAGCTGCGGTCTGTGTTTTCAAGGACTTATCCTGCAGTTGATGACAGACAAAAGAGAAAGATCCAATCAAACAGGATTGTGGATGACCAGACAAGCAATCCTATTATGAGTAATAAAATAGCTCCTGACATGTAAGCTTGGGGGTCCTAGCGGTTGGTTATAACTATAGCTAACATTTTGTACAATCGAATGCATGAATGAGTTCACCAAAACTCCTCCTGTGACAAAAAATGTAGCTAAATTATGCTCTCTGTACTAAAGACTTAGGCACATATAAAGCCATACTGTTTCCCTCCTTCAGAATAAAACAGGTTAACCAGTTATTTTCATCGATTTCTTGAGATCTTGACTTAAAATAATATATGATCAGAACTTGGGTTCCCAGACCTGCAAATGTACAAAACCCTCATAGAAGCTGGCCAAACATATCTCATTAAAGAGGACAGCGACACAGTTGTTGTCCAATACAACTCCTTTCAGCCAGAAACTACAGTGACCCCCTCATACCAAAACAGTTGACAAACAGAGTAGCAAGAGGCTAACTGAGTTTACGCTTAATGGTGGAAACAGTTTCCATTTTACAACTCTATAACTTTCGTAGGATAGTGGCGACTTGTCTTATTGTTATATCTATTCTTATTCTTCGGTTGGAGTTTCGTTTACTACCTAGTGTCCTTCGACATTTTAATGTGATAGACCAACTTTGAGAAAATCAACTTAGTGTGATTTCAAGTCAGGCTAAAATTTTTTTATTTTTATTTTTTAATGTATTTTAAAAGTCAACTTCCAGTCAAGCAAACTCATTAGTTCATTTTTTTTTTGACTCCATGTGAAAGTCATGGTTTGTTCTGTTTTCTACATCACCAAAATTACCCCGAAACATGTGAAAAGAAGGTTTTTAATCCCAAGAGTATAAGATACTTCAATAGTGGTTCACTGATCACAGTTTTTTCAATGGCCGACGCTTATACCGATAATGTGAGAGTAGGTCAGCCAATTACTAATAATTAGTATTACGCTTATACGACATTGTCTTTTTCTATTTAGTTACACTGACAATTGACAATATGGCAATATGAGGATAATTACATCTCAATGCCCAATTAATCAGCCCAATTAATTGGCCTACCCATTATTTGGTCTATCCCTGTACATTAAAGTTATACTATAGCAAAACCAGGATAATTATCTTGAGACAAGAAAAATTGAGCTTTCATAGAAATTAAACAAATGTTTTGCATCAGAAAAACCAGCGTCAACTTACCAGGATAATGAGATATAATAACTTGGGATCTTAAGCAACAACAAAAAATCATCTTGTCATTGCTGAAGAACAGTCTGAGTAAACTATTCAGATGTTCCTCTGCTTAAGGCTTATGTGCAATGCAACATTTCCACCCAAGTTAGTATCTGATGTTTGACTGTGAGCGTAACAGAAAGCCCAGCAGCATCTTTGATACCAAATAAGCAGTATTGACCTTTAAAATCTTGAAGTCTGTCAGTGATCAGATGCCAGCAAAAATGTATGAGCAGCATGTGCATACGCCACATCACATCACATCATATCACATATCTCAAGCTTGGTGTTTTTATCGCCCTCTCTTCTGCTTCTCCCTACTCAGATCTCATTTTATTAATTTGGCTTTGTGGTGGAGTTTGATTGGTTGGTGGGGGCACACAGGAGACGGGAGGATGGGGGTCTTTTACCTTGGCACAGATAAGAAGACAAACTAGATCTGAGGTCGGATAGATCTTGTCGACAGCACACGCCGCCTCTTGGCAAGCAAGGTGAATTCAATATTGAGCGGGGGCCTTTCTTACCTCCTAAGATTTACAGTATCTGGAGCGCCACAGCCTCGTACTTCACTAGATGGATGAGTGTTTCATTCTGAGCCAACTGGCGCTACATGAGTTGAGCTGAAGGTCATAGTGACTCATTTCCGAGCTCAGAAGCTGGGTGGCTGGAGACGAGACGTTAAATCTCTACTTCTGACTGAGTTTTAATGGGACAAAGGAGGCAGGTTGGTGGAGGAGGAACAGACTGTTGCCCTGCGCTGATGCAACACACATGTACACAGCGGAGTACAGTGCCAGGGTACAGTAGTAGCGGGGAGTGGGTACAGATTGCAGTAGAACCTGGAGGCATATGGCAGGCCGCCCCATGCCTCCCAGCTAATTGAGTCCTAATGAATCACTGGTCTGGCATGCGACACGTCCCTTGTGATGGCTGGTGTCATTGATGCATTGAAGAAGCCTGGTCCTGTGGAAAGTGGACGAGGCGGGCCCACACTCCTGCTTTCACACTGAACATTTCACTCACTCACCAGATGTTACAGGCCAGGGCACACGGATTACTCGCCACCCAGCTCCACACAATGGAAATAATTGTGTGATGGGCCGGCAATTCACTGCCCCATTTGATTCCAGTTAACACTTTGTATTGCAGTGGGGTCGCAGCCTTATTGTCGACTCAACAGGGTCAGCACGATAAGGGACACAACTGTGAGGAAACACTCCAAGTCAATGGTGCTTGACTGCTGTTTAAGCTTAATTTACACATATATGTACATCTATAAATGGCGGAACTATATATGGATTAGAGGAAGGGTTGCACAAGCTTTGACTTCTGTTTGTAACCACTGCTGACCTTGTTTTCCACAGAGATATGGTTGTTTTGTGAAAAGAGTGGACTAATCTACTTCCATTATGTCTAAATGGGTGTACGAAATAACCTTTAAACTCATATGTGAGAATAAATGAAGGGAAATGGAGTTGTGGTTAAATACGCTGGATAATTCCCTCTATTTTGTGTGAGCTCTCTTTAGTTTAAACTTGTGGGCCTATTTCCAATTCTATTACTGAAACAGTTCCAGCCTGGACATATTGGAAAGGAAATGTTCATGTAAACATTTTCCTGTCCCTGGTTTTATTTTTTTACACAACAGCTTGTTGGTTTCTGAGAAGATCGAGCAATAAGTCAGAATTGTTTTTAATAACGCCCCCTCTCTGAGGCCTGTCTGGGGTAAATATTTTTAGGTATTGAAGGATGATTTTCCTGGAGATATCAAAAAGAGATGTTTTGGTACCATTACTCCTTAGAAACCGGTTTCAATAACTGGACTTGAATACTGGCCAAACACAACTCTCGTCAGAGACTGGGGCAAGTCTCCACTTGTATCACTCTGCGGTGTTTTGCCATCATTTGCTATTTCATTAAATATGGCAGCTACAAAAATGTCAGGGCATTGACTAGCATACTCCACAATATCTCATTTTCAGATGTTTCTGGTACTAAGACAGTATTAGCGAAAAAAATTAGTGTTAAAAGTATCGTGCAGGTACAGGAGAGGGAATGAGCATGGGAGCACAGTCTAGAAATTGACAGCAAGATAACGCATAATAGTGTTTTTTTATCCCAACACAAATGAAAGCATACCAAATACAAACATGTCCTTTTCAATTTTAACTTTAATATTGACCTTGTGTTTTATCTGTCTCAATAATTTGAGATGGTTGGACAGAAATCTCATTCATTAGTATCAATAAATTGGTGTATTTGTCAAATGCAAATAACAGCAATATAATATCTGCTTTATATATCAGTCCTTGGCAGACTTGCTCTCACATTATTGGTCAAAAAAACTGATACTGGTTGACCAGTAATGCCAGCTTCTTAAAATTTTGCTGAGTATGGAGCTGCAAGCTGTCCAAAGTTTGCTTAGCTCAGCATAACAATGTAAATAAATTAAATCAGCTGGTCTGCTAGAAGGTTTATTTTCTCAATAATTAACACTTTTATATATATTTATTATTCCAAACTGTATATTACACTATTTTACTACACAGCTGTGTTATACCTCATTTTGATTGGTCAAAACCATTTATAGTGGTAATTTAACTCTAAACAGCCAATCTAAAAATCTAAATCTAGCTGGAGAAGTCTGACACATTTCACCTCACTCTGTTGACACTGCAGACAAATGTTAGTTTCATTGCGAACTTGTTTTGAGATTTGGGATGTAATGACAGTTTGTGTGCGTAGACTTGAGAGCAGCCTGAGGAGCTTCTGGGCCTAAACCATCTCTGATAGAGGAAAGTGGAGCAACCTGTCTTGGAATCCAGCAGAGCTGCTGAGTGCATCTCAAAGTTGCTGATCGCCTCAAAGTAACTTAAACCATTAGGGGTAGTGACATGTTGTGTTCACACTGTGACGTTCTCCTTATTTATTTTTAAAGAGGTGTCAACTGCTATGCTCAGAGAGGGAGGAGAGCTAAATGAGGATAGAAATGTCTACGCCGATATTCCAGCAGACGCCTTATCCACCTTATCTAACATCACCTTTGATGGAAATGCTCACATCAAATAAGTATCCTGGAGTTTATACTTGATAGTGAATGTAAATATTCAATTTAATGTTGCCTTATGGTGAGACAAAAGCTCCATGTTGAGGTCTTGCTCACCCTGTAACCACACAATTACTATACGTAAAACCATAACAGGAGTTATGAGCCTAACTTATTCTTGGCAAGTCCTCTGTGGGTTGTTTTGACACTTGACCCTCATGTCATAGCAGTCTGGTGTTTTCCTCATTTTAACATCTGTAAAAATCTTTTTTCTGTAACTGTCTGTATAAAAGGCAAATAAAAGTATCTCACAAAGCTTGAGGGAAAATGATAGTATTCCCTCAAACCTCCCAGGGGGAGAGTGAAAAGTTCCTTTTCTTTGCTACTTTAACAGCTTGAGTCTTTGCCTCTGACACATTTGGTTGCCACAAACCCTCTCGCTGCACTCTCAGCTTCAGATGCACCTGTCATGTTGATTACACTCCTAGCAGAGCGTGCGCATCATTCATTATCTAACAATGCACCACTATCTGAGCAATCTCCCTCTTTTTTCAAGCCAGGCAGCTGCCATCACCTCTGACCTGCCTGTGCCAGGGGCCACGTCTTCATTAATGAGCAGACTGGATGTGATAAGGCCACCAGCAAAATGAGAACTCAGATGCAATCTCGCACGCTCATTAAAACTACTTTTATAAAAGATTTAGGCCACTCCAGCAATCATGTGTCTAATGCTGGAATGCTACATTAATGTGAGTGTAACCCTCTTGTTCGTTAGATGCATTATCTCGGAGCACTTGGGAAGTCTTATGGGAGTTCAGGCCGAGGAAATGCAATATGATGAGAAGCAACAAATGTGACAATACAGCAGGCTTTCAGTGAGACAAAAAGCAAGAGGAAACACAAGCAAACAACCCAAAGGATTTCAGGAGTGCAAAACAACCAGCATCCAAAATTGTTGTCCCTGCATTGTTGTAATTGTGCTGAGATAACATGAAAAAGAAATAACTTCACCACTTTTTCCATTTTACAATAATTGCACAAGGGGAAAAAGCATTACGGGCTTAATCGGATAAGATACAGCTCCCATACCCGCTTGCCGCGTTAGCTGTCAGGAGCTAAATTAAGTGTCTTGATTCCACTGGGAAACCCAACAAAGAAGCCCATACTGGAGAAGTTAATGCCTTCGAGTGTTTCGGTTCAGCTCCATCTTAAGCCCCACAACTCACACTGGGCTGCAAAGAAGTGTCCTGGGATGACAACAGAGAATTGTACAGTACATGTGTGTGTGTATGTGTGTGTGTGCAACAAATGTGTCCTACAATCCAGCCAAAGAGTGCAGCTTAGGATCCGTTGCAGGAAAAAACCCCATAAGGAGATTACCAAAGGCAGTTTGGACGATTGGCAGAAGTTGCCATTGAACTTTGGCATCCATGTCAACGGCGCTGACCTTTGCCACCGTCCCACCAGGCTACAAAATAAACACCACGTGAGGTCAAACAGGATGTTTGTTGGCTTTATTACTTCACCAGCAGCTTGTTTTAAAGCAGCTGTATGTGCTTCGAATCTGCCTTTCCATGGTGAAAGTCAAAGGCTGTTTTCCATCTAGTCTTGCTCTTGCATTAGCACTGAAGCAGAAGACATAGAGCATCATGATCGACATATGGTCCAGCAAAGAACTGAGCATCTGAACTGGTCTTGTTGGCTCATTTTCAGGTCTAACCAAGGGGGGGTTCGACTTTTAAAAGGTTAAAACCATAAAAATATGTAAAGGGTTAAGCACTCCTATAGCAGCAGGGTAATAAAATTAAAGAAATGTCAAAAGATTAGTATTCATAAACTATTGTGCTATCTAAATTGTCTTTTTCCTTCGTTCATTGAGAAAGAGATTGCTGGAATTGAGAGAAAAAGCTCCAAAATATAAAGATTTCACAGCACTGGAAGCATTAAACAAGGAACCCTACGCCGTGACAGACTATTTAAAGTTAAATTCAAGAGAAATCTGTGCAAAAAAGCGGCATCATTAGCGCGTGACATCCATCCATTCCCCAACGGCAACATCCAAATGTGGGCGCAACTGCACTCTCTGACGCAGTTTAAACGCCATCCTCACCCCCCACCCCCCTCAACCTCCCTCCTCCGGACGCTTCAACAATCAACAGGATTGTTTTGACTGTTTTAATGACCCTTGAACGTGAATGAGGACCAAAGGACCCTCTCCCCTGCAGGCCTTTGCTCCGGTTTGAGGCGGACTTTGGCTCAGCGCTGCCGGTCACGCCAGTGCCGCTGCGCCGCGCTGTGCGCTCCCATCCAACACACACAGACACACACATCCATCCACAGGTACTCGTCGCCCTCCAACACAACCCGCTGAGCATTTTCTGAACATTTCTCAACCCAAATCCATACATGTACGGACTTATGCGTCATCCTTCAGTCATTCGATTCGCCCCAGAGCGCGTTAACAGGCAGAGGTCTGAAGATGACTTAGTGCTGTTGCAGCAGGACAGCTCCTCATTTGAATATTTGGAGAGGGGAGGGGGTGCAGACGTTGATGAAAAAGCTTCTTTTTCTAATACTACTATCTTTTGATTACATTTTTGCTCAATATAGCCAAAAGATTTAAGTGAGGTATTAAAATCTTGTCATAAAACGTAACGTCCGTGACCAATTTGTGCGCAATTGAATGTGGGACAGCAGGTTATTTGACAGGCGACCGGCGTTTGAGCTTTAAAGCCCTCCACATTCAAACCTAGCACTGATGAGCTCATTTCTCATCTTATTTCTCCTCTTTCCTTAAATATGAGGCTGTTTCTCAGTCCAAAGCGGACTGTTCCGCAACCCGTTTCCATCCAGCGGCCAACGCATCCTCTCCATAAATCCTGACATGTCGCTGAGCCGCCTCACATCCTGATCCAGCTCCTCACTTTCACAGTTTTTAAACACTCACGTTCACAGACAAGCAGAGAACTGAGGTGTCACTCACCTTTTCTGAGCGCGTGCGTCTCTTGAGTGTCCCATTTATGCGTCGTTTTAATCCACATCTGTGTCCCCTTCATTTGAGCGCTCTATCTTTTCCCCCCATTGAGAGAGAGGGAGTGAGAGAGAAAAAGAGAGAGAGGGAGAGAGAGAGAGAGAGAGCGTTCAAGAAAATCCATTTGTTAATTCCATTTCCCGGACACACAAGGTGAAATCACATTGCCTTCTTTTTTTCCTTACAAAAATTCTCCCATAATTTTAAGATCCCGAAACGCTCTATCTTCTTTTTTTTTCTCCCCTCTCTCTTCTCTCCAGCTCAGAAGTTGCCTGGTTACCCCTGTTTCTCATTCAAGGAGGCTGAAGGCTGCACACAGCGGCCAATCATAGCAGCAGCCGGAGAGATTAACTATTTCTTGGCTTCACTATTCTCAGACTCGGGCGGAAAAAAATGAGGATAGTGGGCGGGGAAAAGTGGGCCCCCTGTGACAGAAAGAGAAAAATTAAAATGCACAGAGAATAATGTAGAGAGAGAGGGGGATCCGTTAGAGGGAGAATGTGAGGAGGAGGAGGAGGTGGAAGGGGGAGGGGACGAAGAGGATTAAACATTTTTGAAAAAATAAAGGATGGAGGGAGAAGAGGAGGAGGAGGGACCGGTTGCCACTTCTCACAACAACAAAGATGTAAGTGAAGGATATTTCTGCAAAACGCTGGTTTCTCCTCCTCCTCCTCCTTCTTTAAGGAGCAGAGATCCGTCTCATTTCTGAAATCCCCAAAAAGCAATCCATCAGGGTAATTGATCGCCCCCTTTAACCAGCCATCCATCAAGCCTCCTCGCTTGTTCTCCTCCCTCCTCCCTCACCCCTGTCTCACTCCCGTCCCCTCATCATCAGCTATATTGATTTCAATTTCCCCCCTCCAGCCGGGGTGAAAGGTGTAGGGGAGCGAGTCGGCTTCAATCTCTAATACAGCAGCACGTGGGGGCGTAATGACCCCCTACCTGCATGCGGAAGGGGGCTGCTACATCCAGGTCAAGCCCCCTTCCACCCACACACACATGCACACACACACTCTCTCTAACACACACATACTGTACAGAGGCCTTGACCTTTGTGCATGGCTGCAGCCGGGCTTCAGAGCTGGCAGCCACAGGGTGCCATGCAGAAGTGCTGGTGCATTATGGGGGAACAGCGGGGGGTCCTGACAACCGCGACAACAAGCTGCTCAAAGAGACAGGACTCAGGAGGGTGAGGGTGGGTGGCAGTGGTGGGTTACTGGTGGGGGTGGTGACCCATGTGTGGGAGCGTTCATAAAACAGTCTGGGACATTCCAGCAGATAAAAGACGGCATGAAATATTTTTTGTTGAGTCTTGACTGTCAACATTTGTGTTCCTAAAAGGCTTTTTTTACGCTCCACACTGAGGATGTCACTCATATCTGATTCATGCTTTGGTGCAAAAACAGTTCACATAAACAAAAACACATGAAAAAAAATAAAATGGAAAAAAAAAACTTTCTCTCTCCTTCATTTTTCCAGTTGTTTTTCAGACAGTCTGATTGATGCATCCCTGGCTTCCATCCATTCCTGAGATTACAAATGAAAACAACAGTGTTGGGGTCCCCCCTCCCCCGACGCTGGACGAGAGCTGTTTGTGTACGTGGGTGTACAGTTAGTGACACACACACACGCACACAGACACTGAGTGCACACACACACTTAGCGTTTGATTGACATGTAGCTCTTGGCTTGAGCACAGCTTAATCCCACCGCTACAGATGGACTCAGTCTTCCTCTTTTTGTCTGGTGTCACAGGCAGCGGCATGTTATACATTTACTCACACACACGCACGCTCACACACTGACACACACACACACACTGACACACACACACACACACTGTAAAGTACCATGTACTTTTGTTTACAGCGGAGGGGGGCTGCGGTGGTGTTCTAATCCCCCCTCTGTAACCCGCCCTCCTTTGAGCTGCCACCCCTGCTACACACACACACATAAACACACATACGCAAATGCACACAAGCATCTACTCTTTGGTCATTAAAAAACAAAGGAGGTCAGTGTCAGGCAGCTGGGTCCTGCAAAGCGAGAGTTAATCCCCATTTTCGAGGCCTGCGGCCTCACAGATGAAATATTTCAGAGTTACACATGAACACGCCGCTGTAGTGCCACCTTCATCCATCCCATCCACAATAACACAGAGTGTGTGTTGTTGTTGTTGTTGTTATGGAGTCCCTCAGCTCCTCACAGGTTTTCCTCGGTGAATTATTAGCATGAATCGAGCGAGGAAGGGGGAGTAAGATTAGACCTTTTTTTTTTTCCTCCCCCTCCTAATCGTATTGCACTTCTGCAAAGGCTTTGATTTCCATGTAGATGGAGCTGTGTTGATAACGACGAGGAACTGCCCTGGAGAAATGAGGCACAGAGATAAGATAAGACCCAGCAGATCCCCATTCAGACAAAAAAAAAAAGACAAAGGGGAGAGTCATCACCCCACATAGCGGTTAATCTCAATTCAATCCTGAGATTAGCGCAGTCAAAATTCTCATCGAATGATTAGTCATCTCCCAGAGGAGAGATTGTTAACTGATGCCCCCTGCTCTGCAAAATCCTAGACTGAAGCTTGATCAATAACCTGGCCCTGGTTACAATGACAGACATAGCAGCAGCTATGTGATCACAACACAACATGTACTTAAACACGCTTATTGGACACGCATGAGACGCTGATATGCCACAGTGTTTCCTGCTCCACCACAGGGCCTGCAGCAGAGAACTAGACGAATGTCAGGGTCGCTCTGTGTTATTCTCTACCTGAGTGCGAGTCCTGTTTTCTGACTTCTATGCTAATGGACTGTTTTAATTTGGTCTAATCGTATTGTCCTGGTGGCATGTTAGCGATTAGCATTCAGAAAAGGAACAGCGGAGGGAACCTGACATCGATAAATGAAATGTGACCCTTGACCCCGTCTGCCCTGGCTGCTGAAAAGTTCCTCGCCTTTTTTATCAGTCTTACCCCAGGCCTCTTCATTTCCTGTAGCTTCATAATCATGATGTACTCGGACACCAGCAGGTCTGGACAGAGTCTTCTGAGGACAAAAGAGAGGAGCACCTGTGCTGGAAAAATACACCCGTTTTCATTGTGAGGGCTAAGAAGATAACTGACAGTCATCTGTTGTGACTGGGGACAGGAATCAAAATCCAATTCCAGATTAGATCCAAGACCAAACTCTTGGAGCAACTGGCATAATTGTCCTCAAAGGTTCCGTTACCATTACTTTCCACTTTTTTCTGCATGCCTTGCAAAACAATGATGTGACACATAGCAAGGGACAGTTAGCATGAAAAACACATGCAGAGGGAGAAATCATGCCAAACACAAGACAGGAGCCATTCAAACTCCTCTCATGTGCAACATAATATTGTTATTTCATTATCAGCTTTTAAAAATGGAACAGTATGATAAAGTGACTTACCATAAAATCCACTCACTTTATGAGACCGGCTGCTCTCACGTGATCAAGTCCTTCTGTTTCTGTGACATTCACAGGCTTTTTTTTCCTGCAGAGAAGATCAGGGTATCACCACAGACTCTCCATTTGCTTAAAAGCAAATGTAATCTGTGAGGATGTACAGTATGTCCATCCATCCATCCATTTACTACCGTTTATTCCCGGGGGGCGCGGCCTATCCAAGCATCTTCGGGCGAAGGCAGCGGACACCCTGGGCAATTTGAAAGCGGCCAATTAACCAAACCCCATTTCTGCATGTTTTTGGGGTGTGGGAGGAAACCGGAGTACCCGGAGTAAACCTACACAGACACAGGTGCTGTGAGGTGACAGTGCTAACCACCACATCACTGTGCCGCCCCCGAGGATGTATGTTTAAATTTAAATTGTGTTATTTCTGTCCTGAGACGACAATGCTAGATATGGGTGGCCATCTGGATTTTGATTTGTAAATGAATCAGAGACTGTATCTCTCATCAGCTAACCTGTTGTGGCCAAGTCAGGAGCCAAGCTTCCCCATGACAGCATTATAAAAAAAAAAGTGTGTTTATGACATGGAAAATTTGTGAACACCCATTTTCTTCCCACACAGAAAATCCACAGATATCGATTCAGAATTAACAAGTAGTGTCCAGATTGGTTCCAAGAAATGCTATCGCTGCCCATCACTACTTATGATGGGCAGTGATAGCGGCAGTAGTTCAGGAGGTAGAGCGGTTGGCCAATAACTGGAAGTTTGGTGGTTCGATTCCCCACTATCCCTAGTCTGTACGTTGTGTCCTTGGGCAAGACACTTAACCCACCTTGCGCCCAGTGTGTGTCCTCTGCTGGTGTATGATTGTAAGTGTTGTGTGGTGGTGGTCAGAGAGGCCATAGGCGCAAACTGGCAGCCACGTTTCCACCAGTCTGTTCCAGGGCAGCTGTGACTACTAAGGTAGTTTACCACCACCAAGGTGTGACTGTGTGAGCGAATGAATGATGTATCCAATGTAAAGCGCTTTGAGGTCACTGACAAAAAGCACTATAAAAATCTGATGCATCATTATTTTACTATTATGACATCTTCTCACAAAGTGATTATGCAGAGCTTATACAGTTTAATGCTTAACAGCTTAATTATCAATAAAGCATCAAATCACAGGTAAGAAAATGTGACCTTGTGGTGGCAAACCAACAAATGATTACTTACTAACCGCAGTGCACCTATGACTTATGGGGTTGTTTGGTGTCTTTAAACTCATTATTTTGTTAATTTGTAGAAATTTGCTGTTTTGTTTTAACACTAAACACAAGGAAGACAAGGCTTGAAACTGTACACTTGATGCCGGCTGCAAGAGTGAGTCAATCCCCATCGGATCAAACATTAAATTTGCTAATTTTTACAGAGGACATAAACTTTAAATCCGTCACAAAAACATAAAATTATTTGAAGAAACTCAGGAATTATTTTTGTCTATGACTCAAATACAAAGCTAAGACTTGTAAGTAATTTATATCTTTACCAGTTTCATGATTAGCTTTAAGTTTAATGGAGGCAGCTTTTCTAATATGGCAACCGCCATTTTTGGGCCTTGTAACGCTTTTCCAAAAGTCTGTGAGCGATGTCGCTGAGACTATGTCTGTGTTTTCAACTGTGTTTAAAAGAGTATTTCCCAGTTTATTTATTATTCAACCTGCATTGGAAATGCTATCAATCTTTTATAATCAGAACACTGGTTGGACAGCCCTCGCCAATTCCCATATGTGTTGTTGGCAAACACATGATCTTGTTAATATTGAACCTTGAATAAAGTTAAATGTGGCTTTATCAGGTGCAGGTGCAAAAATGACTGAGTGCTTATTTTTCCTTATTTCTGGTGAATGGAAAGGCAGCTTTTTGCTCACAGCAACTTTTTTTTTTAATCAGTCTTAAATGAGTTTTCTGTCTTTAAGTCCTACAAGAACTTGGTGTAATTTTGGCCCCTATCATCCCCCCTAAGGTTGTCACTTGATCCGCTGTTTTGTTAAAAGACAGCACACATATAGTGAGGAACCA